TCGATCAAGTAGAGTGATTGCCTTAGAAACAATTATGGTCGAAGACGTTGGGGGTGTTTGACAGCATATAAAGCCCTCGCACGGTCGGCTCGTTGCCGTGAGGGCATTATGATAGGTTTAAATATATAGTTGTCATAAAGTTGGTCAGGAAAAAGGCGATCATTTTTAGTTTACGTAAGTTGATTTTGTTTGCAAACTATTTTGGTTTGGCTTGGTTTACTGCTCTTCACAACGGCTATTGTACAGCATTGAGTTTGTTTTCTGCAGTTAGAAGTAGTAAGTTGTTGAGCCCTACTACCAGCAGTTATTATGATAAACATGAAGTAGTAGTAAAATCGGGACTGATAAGACAGCTAGGAGATTCTTCATTGAATTTTTATGTTTTTTTTTTTAGTTTTATGAAACATAATAGACTAGCGCTAGCAAAAGTTCTTGCAAATAAATCTAATGAAATATGTTATGCCACATCATTTAATGCAACCAATACAGATGTTATATTGTACAAGGGAGTTTACTTAATAACACGTTTGGCTTGGTTTGTTCCAGTTATGAATATCGGTGACAATGTTGAGGTAGAGATTGATAATGATCTCGACATCTGGAGATGTTTCTAGATGGAAAGACGTTATTAACACAAAAAGAAACCGATCAATTTTGAATGGTGTTCATGCAATACCAAGAGTTATTTGGAAATCTTAATGGAAATCAGGAAAGACTTTGTTGGAGACGAATTCTACAAAATTGCATGATGAAACACCAATCAAAGAACCCCCGAGAAGAGTACCATTTTGAAGAAGCAAATTAGAAATTGACACAGAGAATTTAAAGAAAAGAATCATAGAATATATGTAGTCCAGGTCATCTCCAATTGTCCTAGTACAAAAAAAGTCTCAACATAGCGGATACGTGTGGATTCTCGGAAATTAAATGGAAATACCATTAAAGATGAGTATCCGATACTGAGGATTGAATAACACTTCGATGCTTTGTGTGGATCCAAGTGGTTCTCATTTGGATATGAAATGAAATCTAATGTAAAAAAAAAAATGCGTATTCAACTCCAAATTGTGGACTTTATCAGTATACATCAATGCAATTCGGACTATGTAATGCGGCTTCAACGTTCAGGAGAATATTTGAAGCAGCAGTTAGTGGACTTCAGTGGCATATTGCAGTGTTATATCTTGATGCTATTATTGTTTATGAGAAATCATTTAATGAACATCTTTCAAATCTTTTTTTAAAACTATGGGCATATACTTAAAACTGCTGGTTTGAAACAAAAACAGAAGTAATGTGCATTCTTTCGTTATGTAGTATAATATTTAGGACAAATTAAGTTTCTAGAAAAGGTATACGATATGATCCAAAGAAATTTAAAGCTGTTGCGGAGATGACACCTTGCAAAATGTGAAAGATCTTAGATCATTCTTGGGTTTAATTTCGTATGAAGGAAATTCATTAAAAACTTTTCATTACTAGCTAAAGTCCATGTGAACTTACAAATCACATAAAACGGATTTGGACAGAATAATGTAATAAAACCTGTAAAAGAATAATTTAGTAATAAGTAATATTTTGTAATCAGAATTTCAAGTGCTAGGCGGGGGAATTGTATTAATTGCATTTAGTGTTCGTTAAAGATATGAAAATGTGAGGTGTATAAATACTGACAGCATATACTTCTACAGAGAGACCTGTTACTATCGGGAACAGTCAAGAGGAGAGTTTATAAGAGAGTGCAAGATATATATAGTTTTTCGGTAGTAAAGATAAAAATAAGAAGATGTGGTATGATTGCCAATGAGACAATTCTCCACAAGAGACATTAGAGTAGGAGTTAAAACTAGAAGTAGAAAGCGCTGGCTGTTTCTTTTATTTACGAATGTGAATGAAAGTTTATGAAGTTTTATGAATATGTACATATTGTTACAGTATTTGGAAGTTATAAAATAATTATAACTTCACAAACTACCCTTCATGTGTTTTACTTAATAAAATGTTAACTTAGCCTCTTCTTCTTTCAACCAGTAGATTACTCTTTAAAACTTCAACACTCTTTAAGTCTTCTATACTTTAAAATGAGCAAAAGGTAATTTTACAAAAATTCTTGTGTTTTACTTGGCTATTACTAATAAGAAGCATTCCCTTACTTATCAAATTGAGTACATAATCTTCACAACTCTTGTATTTTACTCTGATAAAGAGGAATATAGCCTCTTCAGCTTTCTTCTAGTAGTTTACTCATTAAAACCAGTATAGTCTATTCAGCACTTCGTCTTTTACTCATTAAAATGAGCACATGACATTTTCACCACTATTAAAGAATTAAGAACATATCCTCTTCACTATATGAAATAAAGGAGATGTGGGGGTATATGTAAATAAGGTCAGCCCATCGACACAAATAACCAAAATACATCTTCTGGTGTTTTACTCTGTAAAAAGGGAACATAGCCTCTTCAGCATTTCCAGTCACTTATGCACAAAATACAAATGGTATCTTTCACTCTCCACTAAAAAAAAGAACATAGAAACTACCATTTTTTTCTGGTTTTTCACTCATTTTTAGTTCTGCTCTAGATCTCTTCTGATATTTTTCTCACATAAACCCAGATACCTTGAAATTTTTCATGTCTTTTACCCATGACATTACTTAACCATTTTCTTAACTAGAGGCTATCAAGAGCCTGTGTCGCTCACCTGAGTCTGCTTTGGTTTTGGAAATCATGTAAAAATAGATTAAAATCATAACAGATACTATTAATGATTGAGGCCAAATTTGGTTTAATATTGGACCCGTAATTTAATCAAAAGCAGAATACTTTTGTAAAGTTTACAGAAATTACCAATAAATTCATTGAAATTGTAGAAAATGACTTTTTAAGGACAATTATAAACTCCAACAAGATGTCAATTGACAATTTTGCTCATGTTGACTTATGTGTAGATCTTCTTTTCTAGATATTTTTGCAGTTTACAGTATATCTCAATCTATAAAGATACATGTATTAAGGTCTTCATCAGCACCTCATAAGGAACATTTATGCCATGTTTGGTTTCATTCCATTCAGTGCTCCTCTAGAAGAAGCATTTGTATGTATTTCCCAAAGGGTCTTATGTTAAACTAAGTCTCCTGCTGGTGGCCATCTTGGATGATGGTTCAGCTACAAAGTAACAACACTTGGTCAGCATCTTATTAGGAACATTCATGCCAAGTTGGTTTCATTCTATTCAGTGGTTTTCTAGAAGAAAACATTTGTATGTATTTCCCATTGGGTCCTTTGTTCAACTTAATCCCCTGCTGGCAGCCATCTTGGATGACAAATCAGCTACAAAGTAACAACACTTGGTCAGCACCTCAAAAGAAACATTCAAACCGTGTTTGATTTCAATCCATTTAGTTTTCTAGAAGAAGACATTTGTATATATTTCCTATAGGGTCCTTTGTTAAACTAAGTCCCCCGTTGGCAGCCATCTTGGTTGATGGACTTGCTACAAAGTAACAAAACTTGGTCATCACCTCATAAGGAACATTCATGCCATGTTTTATTTCACTCCATTCAGTGGTTCTCTAAAAGAAGACATTTGTATGTATTTCCAATACAATCCTATGATAAACTAAGCCCCCCTCTGGTGGCCATCTTGGATGATGGATCGGCTTAGAAGTAACAACTCTTGGTCAGCACCTCATAAGGAACATTCATGCCATGTCTGGTTTCATTCCATTCAGTGGTTCTCTAAAAGAAGACATTTGTATGTATTGTCAATAGGGTCCTATGTTAAATGAAGTCCCCGCTGGCAGCCATCTTGGATGATGGATCAGCCTCAAAGTAACAACACTTGGTCAGCACCTCATAAGGAACATTCATGCCATGTTTGGGTTTTATTCCATGCAGTGGTTCTCTAAAGAAGACATCTGTACAATGTATGTATTGTCCATAGGGTCCCATGTTAAACGAAGTCCCCCCGCTGGTGGCCATCTTGGATGATTGATCGCCTACAAAGTTACATCACTTGGTCAGCACCTCATAAGGAACTTGCATGCCATGTTTTATTTCACTCCATTCAGTGGTTCTCTAAAAGAAGACATTTGTATGTATTTCCCATATGGTCCTATATTAAACTTAGCCCCCCTCTTGCGGCCATCTAGGATGAAGGACCGGCTTCAAAGTAACAAATCTTGGTCAGCAACTCATAAGGAACATTCCTTCCATGTTTGGTGTCATTCCATTCAGTGGTTCTCTAAAAGAAGTGGTTCTCTAACAGAAAACATTTGTATGTATTATCTATAGGGTCATTATTTGTTAAACTAAGTCCCCCGCTGGCGGCCATCTTGGATGATGGATCACCTTCAAAATACAACACTTGGTCAGCATCTCATAATAACTTTCTTGCCATTTTTTTATTTCATTCCATTTAGTGGTTCTCTAAAAGAAGACATTTGTATGTATTTCCCATAAGGTCCTATGTTAAATTAAGCCCCCCCCCCTCTGGTGGCCATCTTGGATGATGGATCGGCTTCAAAGTAACAACACTTTGTCAGCACCTCATAAGGAACATTCATGCCATGTTTGGGTTTTATTCCATGCAGTGGTTCTTTAGAAGAAGTTCAAAATGTAAAAAGTTAACAACAACGGACGCCAAGTGATGAGACTAGTTCACTTGGCCCTTCGGGCCAGGTGAGCTAAAAAACTTTATTCATCCAAGAATCTAGCATTTGTTATTTGTTGCTCGTTTTATAAGTTTGTATCATCATGTTTTTAAATTTGGTAAACATTGAGAGATCTTTTCCACACTTCATAAAAAATTTGCTTCTGTGAACGCTTTTACACCCCAAAAAATTACAAAAATCTTAAAACATAAAAACATTAAAACAAAATAATCAATCAGTATAATTCAAAATCAGATATGATTTAGAGAAAACAATTTCACACCTGTTCAATTTAAAACATTTGTTTAATATGTGAACTGGCATTTATTTTGAAAATATTAGTGAATCAAGGTTATTGTAAGATTTTTAATTGTTTGTATACAACTAAGTCCAAACCATTTAGTTTAATTCTCAAAACACTGAGTCCAAATCAATATTAAGTATCAATGTCACACTCTGCAAAGTCTGCAGAAACAGACTCAAATTATACCTAATAACTCTAAGGTGGGACCAAAATTTTTCACCACATTTTTATCTAAATGATGTCATAGTTATTTTACAGCAGTCATATGTCCCCAAGTTTTTCCAACACTGATGGAAACTTTTACTGGAACCTTTAATTTTACAACAGAACCACATAATGCACCAGAATCTTCCATCACTGTTTTTAATATGCCTGAAAGTAAAACATAAGAATTAATTTCACATTACATTTTTCAAAAATGTATATTCTTCATCATCCTTAAAGTATATGTCAAATTAGCTAGCTCTTTCATATTTTTGTAGAGGAAGAAAAGAGAGGACACAAAGGTTAACTTACTTTATAAGTTTTGTGGTAGTGTGATCTACAGGATAGTAAAAGTTTATCAAGATATGTGAAGATATGTGCTTCCTAGGCAATCTTTATATATCAATCATTTTTACAGCAATTCCTAACTAGTTTTTTGCCTGTTACAGTATGTATTGGTTAAGCAGTCAAAACTTTGTGTTATTATGTGGGTCACAGTGGCATAGAAGTTAAGGGAGAGAATTGTAATCTACCTTACAAATCTTTTCAGATTATCAACACACAAAATAATGTGTGGTTCTTTCTTATCAATTAAATAAAATAAAAAGTACCTAAAGTGGCATAGGAAGGTTGTGAAATGTGAGGGGTTCAACTGAATCTCTTTCTGTTACAAAACATAGTTATATATATAGACATTGTATCAAACATGTGGAGCAAATAACTGCTGCGGTGATGAGAGGTATAGTCTTTAGGACTATGTTGTTGAATTTTAAAAGAGTTAAACAATCAGCTAAATGGAGGATGCTTACTTTGAACTGCCTTGATGTCGTCATCATGAACCTCCAGCAGTAACTCATCATGTATCTGATATAACTGTCTGCAAAAGTTAAAGGTACACCATGTAAGTACAGAATTATTTCAATTGATATTCAACCTAATAAAATTGACACCAAAGTAACTAGATTGCTTCGCTGTAGGGAAATGTCCCTTGTCCTGTATATTGATTGAGGAATTGATTTGTGTGTCACTATGTGTCATTGAGGTACAACAGTCAATATATGATAAAAGGCAGTTGGTTAAAATTTCTGACCAGTTGAACAGTTTGGTTTGATAAAACAAACTGCAATTGGGTCAGGACTTTGAACTGCAATAGGTGGAGAGCAATACTTTCAGTCAGGTCACAGTAATAGATTGGAAACTATGTAATTGCAAGTTAAAAAGTATTGGAATTAATTCAAGTGTTTAATTTAACCATAGTCAATGAGGAATGAAATGTAGGCCATCCTGACACTATTTTGGAAAAGGCAATCATGATTCTATATATCCATCACAAAGTTAGATACAAGCAAAATCCCAATCTCCTCACCTCAGCATGATATTCTAAAAGTATAAAGGTATCATAAAGATAATGTTGACTACAAACCTAGCCCTGAGATGTTGATGGTTCCTAAGTGACTGTTCTATTTGAAGCATTGCTGCTTTACATAAATCTGCTGCTGACCCTGAAATATTAAATTCAAAATCAATTTATACTTGCTCTTTTAATTTCTTTTTCATGGTATTATTAATATTTCCCATTAGTATATGCAAAACCAGATAATTAAGCATAATTGAAATTTGGAAAATCTGAGGTAAACTAGTACAGTTGTGCAAGTGCTTTTATGTAAATTATTATTTTTTTAAAAGCAGGGATCTGATGTACCATTAAAAAACACAATATAATAGGTCCCACTAACCATCACATCTGCCTATCCCATAGCGGTATTATCCACCTGATATACATGAAAATACTCCCTAAGATACAGTCTATACAAAACAAATTTGACTCTGACCTTTGACCTTGATATTTAAATTATTAACATGTTTTTTTTCTCCAATAGAAACTAAAACCACAAAACTTTGGTTTAGTTTTGTTTCATGACTAAATAAATGTACCTTGAACACAAAAGTTGACAGCCTGTCTTTCTGCTTGAGCTCTGAAAGGAGGTGATGGATGTTTAATATTTGGAATCATTCTCTTTCTTTTGAAAATTGTGCTGGTAAAACCTGTTAATTAATATTCTATGTGTAAACATGCAGAGTATAAACACATTATACAGATAAAATTTTCACTAAAATATTACAAATTCTACAGATCTTAATATTTGTTCTAAAACTTAAAACTTGAGGAATGTTTATTGTAACATTTTCTTTATACTGAAGTAGTTATTAAATAAGTATAATAAAAAAACAAAAAAATAAGACTTTTGTCAGCTTTACTCTTTCATTTCTCAGTAATTGCATTGAATTTTACAATTCAGACAAGAGGCTCTCAAGAGCCTGAATCGCTCACCTGTATTTCAGAGGAGAAGATTTTTAAATGTTAGCAAACTTGATGAACAAATTGTGTAAAATTGTCTTTAAAGGACAATAACTCCTTAAGGGGTCAATTGACAATTTTGGTCATATTAACTTTTTTGTAGATCTTACTTTGCTGAACATTATTGCTGCTTACAGTTTTTATATATCTATAACAATATTCAAAATAAAAACAAAAAACTGCAAAATTTTGTTAAAACTACCAATTCGGTGGCAGCAACCCAACAATGGGTTGTTCGATTTGTCTGATAATTTCAGGGCCGATAGATCTTGACCAATTAAACAATTTTACCCCATGTCACATTTGCTCTAAAAGATTTAGTTTTTGAGATATAAACCAAAAACTGAATTTGACCCCTATGTTCTATTTTTAGCCATGGCGGCCATGTTTGTCGATGGATCAAAACTTCGGATACAATTTATAAACAAGAAATCCTAAGGAACATTTAGTTAAAGTTTGAAGGTAATTGGCCCAGTAGTTTCAGAGGAGAAGATTTTTAAATGTTAGCAAACTTGATGAACAAATTGTGTAAAATTGTCTTTAAAGGGCAATAACTCCTTAAGGGGTCAATTGACAATTATGGTCATTTGACTTTTTTGTAGATCTTACTTTGCTGAACATTATTGCTGCTTACAGTTTATATATATCTATAATAATATTCAAAATAATAACAAAAAACTGCAAAATTTTGTTAAAACTACCAATTCTGTGGCAGCAACCCAACAATGGGTTGTTCGATTTGTCTGAAAATTTCAGGGCTGATAGATCTTGACCAATTGAACAATTTTACCCATGTCAGATTTGCTCTAAAAGCTTTAGTTTTTGAGATATAAGCCAAAAACTGAATTTGACCCCTATGTTCTATTTTTAGCCATGGCGGCCATGTTTGTCGATGGATCAAAACTTCGGATACAATTTATAAACTAGATACCCTAAGGAACATTTAGTTAAAGTTTGAAGGTATTTGGCCCAGTAGTTTCAGAGGAGAAGATTTTTGAAATAGTTTACGACGACAGACGACGACGGACGCCAAGTGATGGCATAAGCTCACATGGGGTCCTTTGGGCCCTGGTGAGCTAAAAATATTTGAATATGGTGACTATACTAACTTCTGCATCATGCATGTTTTTTTTTTTTGCAATTTACCCATAAAAGTCAAGCTTTTTAGACTGCTGGGAATACAGATTGACCAATTGTATAGACATCTGCCTATTGTTGAAGATTGTATTGGTTGCTGTCTCATTGACAGATATATGTTATTCATAGATATTGAATATTTTACAGTAAATGCACAAATTGAATTATTAGAAAATTTTTTGCTTAATCTGCTAAATGTATATACTTAACTCTTTAATGGAATCCAAATTGACTAACGGATGCCTATATCATTGTCTGATAGCTTAAATCAATATGTGCATACTAAATAACAACTTACCATGTTTCTGACAGAATTCTATACACTTCTTCGAAAACTGATTAACAGCAGGAAACTTTACTGAAATTAAAAACTTATCTGCATAATCATGCATAAAATAAAAAAATTTCAGTTTGAATAATAATAATATTAATATCTATTTTTTACATAGCAAGCTGTCTCTAACATAAGTAAAAGATAAATTTATTTCCTTGATCAGATTTAAAAACCAATTTGCTTCATTATCAAAGTTAAAATTTATTAATAAAAAGAAGAAATTGTCCACTCCAGAGATACAGATGCCATTGCCAACCAGCTAAATAAGCAATCTGTATATATAAGAATTTAAACTTAACCCGTCCATATATTGTATCTTTTATGAGCTCAGTTGAAATGCATTGATACCATAAGATTACCTGATTTTCTATATTCTATAGCTTATGCATTGAACTCTTAATTTCATTGGACTTTCTATAATAAATAGTAATTTTTAACTTTTGATAATGCATATCTGTAGAAAATATTGCATATATTAGTATTGTGTCTTGTATTCTAATTCATATTTTACCACTATGTTAAACCCCAATCCATCATCGTCATCATTATCATATTTCTATCATACATAAGAACTCACCTAAGAAACTATTCATTATAGCTTTTGCATTGTCAGGGCTTAACTTCAAATATTCTGCAAGCTTTTCTTTACCTGAAATTAAATAAAAAGACATGATATGAAAATTGGTCATGAGGCATGTGCTTGGAAAGATAAATAATTTCCAATTTCAGTCCAGCCATATCGATGATATTTGAAATAAATAAGAATACATGCTGAAATGTGTTGCCTGTTTCATTGGTATTGGTACATGTATTTACATGTACAGCCAAATTAGTCAATGGACAATTGGCTTTTTCAAGGAGAAATTCAAATTTCCCTTTGAAGGGAATAACAGCTATTGTATTTATTCAATGACACAGTTCACTTTACAAAAATTTAAATGGCCAGGTAAACACCAACTGATTGTGAGGAAAGGTTTTATTTCTTTCTCTATAGGATAATATGAAATGTTCAACAAATCAGAACAGATAATTTGAAAGTAATCATTCTAAAATAACATCACACAATCCTATCTACTTTTGGCTAACTTACATGTCATTTACAGAACATTATATAAGAACATATTGACAATAGTTAATACAATACAGGGGAGTGTCATCCAGAAATTCCCAGAAAATAAATGCTAAATCCTAAATACCTGAATAATAAAGCATTCTTTCCCAGATCCCAAAAAATAAAACATTAATTCCTGAGTCCCAATAAGTGTAAATTCTGGATTACCACTAAAATAAAGGCAGAATCCTTACATCCGGAAAAAGGTCCTTCCGCCCAATAATACATTTACATACCTGCACCATACATAACAGAATATACAATCCTCTTTGTCTGTTCTCTTTCTGATGAGGTAATACTTGAAATGGATTTACCAAGCCTAAGAAAAACAATATAAGAAGTTGCATGTGATGCCTTGCAAAATATACCCCACTCTTTTTTTTAGACATTTAAAACAAAAATCCCATGCTCAGTATCATAAAAATTCAAAGTATAGTCAAACAAGGAGTGACTGTTGTGGCTTACAATTAAGTTTCAAACCAAATATCAAATCATTTTTAATGCAGAATTAGAGTTATATTCCACTTAAGTATCAGAAGGGCAGGTCATTGCAGTGTACCATCCTGTAATTGTATGAATAAAATGTGTTGTGAAAATATTGAAATGAGTACCCTACGTTTACATTAATATACCATGGATTCAGAACAATTGTGGTGTACATATCTTCAGTTGTTAGCTCAAAAGTAAAGTCATTTATGTTTCAAATTTCCAATTTTAAATCTTAACTATGTTTTGAGATATATTTTTGGCTTGTAGACTTTATAATTTTTTAAATGCCATTGACAGAGCCTTTTTGTCATGAATGTGAGAACAGCTGCTATATTTCAAATGTCAGGAAGATAATAAACATAAATCTAATGTAACATCTGACATAGAGGTCTATAAATACTATCATAATAGAAAGCCAATGATCATTTAAATTCACTTTTCTCAATTGAAAGAAATTAATTACATATGTATACTGTGGATTCATTTACTTTCCTGGATACCAACTTTCATAGATTGAGGAAAAATTGTATTTTTGATGGACATTATAGATTATTTCTTGGTTTTGCCAAAGTCTACATAGCTAGCCTTTAGAAAATGTGTAGTTTGTTGAACATTGAAATACAATGTTTGCCCATTATGGCATACCCACGAAAATTGGTATACCATGAATAATAATGACTCCACATAATTTAGTAATGTACTTCATTTAATGTAGTACCTACCACTGTGAAGTAAGTTCTACAAATATATCTGAGTCATTCTGCTTCTGAAATATCTGTAACAGCATCTCATCATCTGCTAGATGTGCCAGTAACCTAAGTTCAATCTGCTGGAAATCTGACAATTATAAATACAGTAATGTCTTATTTATATGAGTAACACTTTGTACTGAAAGTATGGCATTAAAAAAGGGGGTATTTAGTCAAGAAACATTATTCAATTGTTGATGTCCCCTTCAAATATGCACTGACTTCTGATTAATGCAAAGAAAAAAATATACCATATAGGAAATACAATTTTATATTCAAAAGACATGCCATATCCAAATGAAAAAATAGAAAAACAAGGCTTGAAGCAGTCTACCCAATGCTATAAAGAATCCTCAAGATTGAAAAACATAACTCTCCCCCCAAAAAACCACAACAACCAAACAACAGGTACGCAGTTCCTACTCAAATATATGCACCTATTGTGTTGATAAGGATAGGTAAAAATGTGTGGGTCATACTCTTTTCAGTAGAGCATTTCATTCTTTTCCTTTCACTTGCATGTTCTACATTAACATGCAAAACATAGAACTAGGAAATTACCTGCAGCCAGAAATGACCATCCTTCATGGCTTATAAAAATGTCTCTAGCAAATATTTCTAATGTATCATCTTCTTCTTTATCTAAACAGAAATAAATATATATGGTGTTATACAGTGATGCAAAACTACTGATGATTCCAAGATTTTCATCATCAAGCATTTTACATTAGTAAACAGACAGAAAGTCATAAGACAAAAAGTCACAGGACAGAAAGTCTCAAGACAAATAGTCACAGAACAGAAAATCTCAAGACAAAAAGTCACAGGACAGAAAGTCTCAAGACAAATAGTCACAGGACTGAAAGTCTCAAGACAAAAAGTCACAGGACAGAAAGTCTCAAGACAAAAGGTCACAGGACTGAAAGTCTCAAGACAAAAAGTCACAGGACAGAAAGTCTCAAGACAAAGTCACAGGACAGAAAGTCTCAAGACAAAAAGTCACAGGACTGAAAGTCTCAAGACAAAAAGTCACAGGACAGAAAGTCTCAAGACAAAGTCACAGGATAGAAAGTCACAAAATTGATAGGATAAAATCGTGTTAATTATTTAATTCTTTGAATAGATATTAGAAATGTCTTGAAATACTTAATTTTCATCCTCACATAGATCACCTATCAATGATTGCATTTTACTATCGTACACAGATGATTTCATTTGATTCAAAGATGCTATGACGGCCAATTATAAACCAAAAGCTGTATAGTACTAAAAATTCTAAATTTTAATCATACAAATGATAAGATATGTTGCCACCTTGAATACAGTGAATTGAAAAACTGCTTTGACAGCTTGTTTTCTTAATATCTATTTGATCAATATTAAAGATTTTACAATAAATCTTGTTTGCAAAGTAGCTTAATATAAAGTTAAAGAAAAATACTAGAATGATTATAAAGGAAAACAGTTTTTCTTTTAATTTGAAAATATATACTGTAAATTCAGAAATTATTGCAAGGGAAATACATTACTTCATATAAAAGCTTTTAAACCTTTAATTGCATATCTTAACAGTTTTATTTTGATAAAAATTCAGAATCAATCAATCATGGAAAAAATCAAGTGAATTTCAAGAATCATACAATTTTCAAATACTGTAACTTAAGAAATTATTGTGAGGTTTCATTAATGCGAATAATGTGACTGGGTGAGTATTTCAATAATAAGAACTTGTATTTGGATATCTACGCAGATTTTTGTTAAATCACAATAATTAACCTCACATTTTTGTACTTTCTTCAAAAATCACAATAATAAATACACACAATAATTTCTGATTTCACAGTTCACAATGATCACCAATTTTTGAAATTCAAAATATTACATATGTTTTGGGTTGAATTTTTGAAGAATAAAATAGCCTGAATAGCTTTTGGAAGAAAAGAAAACTTTGGTACAGGAAAAATTTCTACAAAAGATACTGTGAAATGTGTACTAGTTAAAAGGACAAACATGGATAAAACTGAACATTTTATAGCTGTGAAATAAAACTGCAGTAACATACCAACAATAAAATTGTCTTTATAATTGGTGATAGTTATAGAAACTTTAGGTATGGCCTGTACATTAGGTTGATAGGAGGAGAGCCGGCCTGTGGCAGCAGATATCTGGTCCCAATGTGTCAATAAATTGTCCTTCTGTACACAACTCATTATACCATCCATATAGGTGGACTTTAGCTTCTGAAACTATAAACAATTATGGTTTATAGAATATCTGTTATTGTTTGCATTAGTAATTATGTCATCAATTTTGCTTGTACAATGAAAATAACTAAAAAATAGTTTTTATTGGTGGACAAAACCCTAGTGCCAGGAATAACCCACATATGTTCATTAGAAAAACTGACAATCCTAATCAATTAAGATTGGAATTGAACGAACCATCCAAGTGCAGGGTTCGAACTCACAACCACAGTGTTGACAAGCTAGTGATACTGTAGAGGAACTAATTAGACCACTTGGCCACTGAGGATCCATTTTGTATGTAAAAACCCCTGCAATATAGTATAGAGTAAAATATGACTTACCTGTCTATATTCCAAAACCAATCCTGGCAGTGGGTGGAAGTCTACAAGTTGTTGTAAAACTGATTCAGATGTTGAAATCTGATGACCAATAGATGTCTTAGCTAATTTATTCTTCTTGGGAAGTTTTGTGTCTAGTTTTAGCTCTTCAAATAGTACCTACAATAAAGAATTGTTTAAAGCTTAACATTTCAAAATATTGTAACTTTATGTTATTTAAAAATTGTTAGGAAGTTTTCCCACAGATGCATACCCTGTCATCTTATTTTCACTCATAATTATCACCAATATAGCTATTTAAATTTTCTTTAGCAGTAACAATTAAATATCAATGAGCCTTCAGATTATTATTTTTGTTCATTGGTTACAATAAACAAAATTTGAAAACCCCTAAAGTCAAGTTGAATAAGAGGATGTAGGCTGTTCTGTTTAGGCTGTTTTACTTTTATGCTCTTTAAGATTTATATTTTTGGTTTTCCAATTTTTTGGTCACCAGCATACCTGATGAAGGTTATTTCAGAAAATCTCTTTTTTTTTTTAACTTGTATTGCTGATTAGTTTTTCTGTTTACAGTTTCTCTCTATCTTCTATATGTTTTGCCCAAAACACAGAACTAGAGGCTCTAAAGAGCCTGTGTCGCTCACCTTGGTCTATGTGCATATTAAACAAAGGACACAGATGGATTCATGACAAAATTGTGTTTTGGTGATGGTGATGTGTTTGTAGATCTTACTTTACTGAACATGCTTACTCCTTACTATTATCTCTATCTATAATGAACTTGGACTGGTAGTTACAGTGGAAAATACTTCGTAAAAATTTACAAAAATTTACAAAATTTATGAAAATTGTAAAAAATTGACTATAAAGGGCAATAACTCCTTAAGGGGTCAATTGACAATTTTGGTCATGTTGCCTTATTTGTAGATCTAACTTTGCTGTACATTATTGCTGTTTACAGTTTATCTCTATCTATAATAATATTCAAGATAATAACCAAAAGCTGCAAAATTTTCTTAAAATTACCAATTCAGGGGCAGCAACCCAACAACGTGTTGCCTGATTGGTCTGAAAATTTCAGGGCAGATAGATCTTGACCTAATGAACAAATTTATCCCATCAGATTTGCTCTAAATGCTTTAGTTTTAGAGATATGAGCCAAAAACTGCATTTTACCCTATGTACTATTTTTTAGCCATGTCGGCCATCTTGGTTTGCGGGCGAGGTCATCAGACACATTTTTTAAACTAAATACCCTAATGATGATTGTGGACAAGTTTGGTTAAATTTGTCTTAGTAGTTTCAGAGGAGAAGATTTTTGTAAAAAATTACAAAAATTTACGAAAAATGGTTAAAAATTGACTATAAAGGGCAATAACTCCTTAATGGGTCAACTGACCATTTTGGTCATGTTGACTTATTTATAGATCTTACTTTGTTGTACATTATTGCTGTTTACAGTTTATCTCTATCTATAATAATATTCAAGATAATAACCAAAAACGGCAAAATTTCCTTAAAATTACCAATTCAGGGGCAGCAACCCAACAACGGGTTGCCTGATTGGTCTGAAAATTTCAGGGCAGATAGATCTTGACCTAATGAACAATTTTTTCCTCATCAGATTTGCTCTAAATGCTTTGGTTTCAGAGATATGAGCCAAAAACTGCATTTTACCCTATGTACTATTTTTTAGCCATGTCAGCCATCTTGGTTCGCGGGTGGGGTCATCGGACACATTTTTAAACTAGATACCCTAATGATGATTGTGGACAAGTTTGGTTAAATTTGTCTCAGTAGTTTCAGAGGAGAAGATTTTTGTAAAAGATTACAAAAATTTACGAAAAATGGTTAATAAAATGCTCCGCAGGGCGCAGCTTGATACGACCGCAGAGGTCGAACCCTGAACAGTTGGGGCAAGTATGGACACAACATTCAAGCTTGATACAGCTTTGCATTTGGATTGTGATTAAATATTTGACACAGCATAGGTTTCTGACACAGAATGAATGTGGTCTAAGAACTTAAAAATTTTAAATTGGACATCCACCTATTATGGTCCAATATCCAAAATCTAAATACATGGTTAGATTCAGCATATCAAAGAACCCCAAGAATTCAATTTTTGATGAAATCAGACAAATTTTAATTTTGGACCCTTTTGACCTCAATGTGGACAAAGTTGATAACGGGGCCCAAAAATCAAAAATCTAAATACATGGTTAGATTCAGCATATCAAAGAACCCCATATATTCAATTTTTGTTGAAATCAAACAAAGTTTAATTTTGGACCCCGATTTAGACAAACTTGAAAACTGGGCCCATAATAAAAAATCTAAATACATGTTTAGATTCAGTATATCAAAGAACCCTAAGAATTCAATTTTTGTTAAAATCAAACTAAGTTTAATTTTGGACCCTTTGGACCTTAATGTAGACCAATTTGAAAATGGAACCAAAAATCAAAAATCTAAATACATGGTTAGATTCAGCATATCAAAGAACCCCATATATTCAATTTTTGTTGAAATCAAACAAAGTTTAATTTTGGACCCCGATTTGGACCAACTTGAAAACTGGGCCCATAATCAAAAATCTAAATACATGTTTAGATTCAGCATATCAAAGAACCCTAAGAATTTAATTTTTGTTAAAATCAAACTAAGTTTAATTTTGGACCCTTTGGACCTTAATGTAGACCAATTTGAAAACGGAACCAAAAATTAGGAATCTGAATACATGGTTAGATTCGGCATATCAAAGAACCCCAATAATTCAATTTTTGATGAAATCAAACAAAGTTTAATTTTGGACCCTTTGGACCTCAATGTGGACCAATTTAAAAACGAGGCCCAAAATCCAAAAACTAAATACACTGTTAGATTCAGCATATTAAAGAACCCCAAGAATTCAAGAATAAAACCCCATTGAAATTTGTCAAGAAATAAGCAATTTATATGAAGTATCTTCTTTTGCACAATACTGTGCAATTAAATATTTCTTGCTATTGCGCAATACTGTACAATTGACAATTTCTTGCTATTGCGGAATATTGTGCTATTGGATATTTCTTGCTATTGCGCAATACTGTGCAATTGAAGATTTCTTGCTATTGCGCAATACTGTGCAATTGAAGATTTCTTGCTATTGTGCAATACTGTGCAATTGAAAATTTCTTGCTATTGCACAATACTTATTATATAATAATTAACACATCCTGTTTGGTGTGTATCTCCTACCATATCATTATTACTTGCTTTTAAATATTAATCAGAAATAACCAACTTAAAATGGAAAATTTTAAAAGAAAAAAAAAAGGAAAAAAAGAAAAAAAAGGAAAAAAAAAAAAAATCCCCCCCCCCCCCCCAAATTTTTTGAACCCCCTTATGATTCATCACCCCCAAACTCAATCCCAGCCTTCCCTTTGTGGTCTGGTACCTTGCAGTACAATTTCAGAGAGATCCATACACTTGAACACAAGTTATTGTCTGGAAACTAGAAAAATGTGTTTTTTGGCCCCTTTTTGGCCCCAAATTCCTAAACGTTTAGGGCAATTACCCCCAAACTCAAACCCAGCTTTCCATTTGTGATATGGAACCTTGTAGTACAATTTCAGAAAGATCCATACACTTACACACTAGTTATTGTCCTGAAACTAGAAAAATGCTTGTTTTTTGCCCCTTTTTTTGCCCCTAATTCCTAAAATTTGGAGGCAATTACCCCCAAAATCAATCCCAGCATTCCTTTTGTGATATGGAACCTTGTGGTACAATGTCAGAGAGATCCATACACTAGCACACAAGCTATGTCTGGAAGTTACAAAAATGCTTATTTTTGGCCCCTAATTCCTTTACTGTTGGTACAATAACCCCCAAAATCAATCCCAACCTTCCTTTTGTGGTATTAAACCTTGTGGTAAAATTTCATAGAGATCCATTCACTTAAACTAAAGTTAGAGTGCGAAAACCAATGTGTCTTCGGACGACGCCGGACGACGCCAGACGACGACGACGACGACGACGCCAACGTCATACCAATATACGACCACAAAATTTTTTTTGCGGTCGTATAAAAATTGACTATAAAGGGCAATAACTCCTTAAGGGGTCAACTTTTGGTCAAGTTGATTTATTTGTAGATCTTACTTTGCTGAACATTATTGCTGTTTACAGTTTATCTCTATCTATAATAATATTCAAGATAATAACAAAAAACGGCAAAATTTCCTTAAAATTACCAATTCAGGGGCAGCAACCCAACAACGGGTTGTCCGATTCATCTGAAAATTTCAGGGCAGATAGATCTTGACCTGATTAACAATTTTACCCCATGTCAGATTTGCTCTAAATGCTTTGGTTTCAGAGATATAAGCCAAAAACTGCATTTTACCCCTATGTTCTATTTTTAGTCATGGCGGCCATCTTGGTTGGCAGGCGGGGTCATGGGACACATTTTTTAAACTAGATACCCTAATGATGATTGTGGCCAAGTTTGGTTAAATTTGGCCTAGTAGTTTCAGAGGAGAAGATTTTTGTAAAAGTTAACGGACGACGACAACGGACGACGGACGATGGACGACGGATGCCAAGTGATGAGAAAAGTTCACTTGGCCCTTTGGGCCAGGTGAGCTAAAAAGGTAAAAATCATCATTTAAGGGCAAAAATTCCTATGAAGACAATTGACAATTATGCTGACTTATTTGCAGATCTTGTCTTGCTGATAATTTTTGCTTTAAGTTTCTAATTTATTATAGTTTTCAAGATAATAGGCAACAATTAATTGGTACAATTTGTCCTTTAGTGGTAATAACTTGTTGTTGTTCTGTTAAGGCCCTTTTACTTTTATGCTCTCAAACATTTCTATTTTTGGTCTTCCAAACTTTTGGTCACCAGCACACTTGATGAAGTTTATTCCAGAAAAATGTGTCATGTGCAATGAAATCATATCACACATTTCTTATTACAAATTGTTCCAGTTGTTTAATAAAATGCATCTGCTGATCATCTATATAAAGCATAAATAATTTTGCTGTATATGATTTTTTTTTTCAGGATTACTGTTTAGAAAACTCAAAAGTTCTTTGTTTCTTTTAAAGTGATATTCATGATTTCAATAAACACATTGGCTGACACTATTGTAGTATCATGGTAAACTCACTTGTCTAAGTTGAGCAGGACTCTTTATTAAGAATGAGTGACCAACAGATTCATAGGCTTTCTGTTCTAATTTCTGTAGTTTTTTCTGAAAATAAAAATATCAAACTAATAAAAGTTAATGTGTGTTCAAAAGATAATCCTTTTTTTCCCCTCTCAAAAAACTTGGTAATCTATATTCAGACAAGTGGGAAACCAAAGTTATAGAAATAAATGTGTTTGCCACCACAAATTGTTTGACAGTTATATTGTCAGTGTCTAACAGAAGTCATGAACCCATAACGTGCCCTTTCTCACATGATATCTGACTCTTCAGATATTACAATATTCAGATTTGACTATAGGGTAAATTTAGAGAAGGACATACTTACCAGTGTAGATGTTTTATAATATTCCAAGTTTTTATGGGAGTTTGCATTTCCCAAGCTTTAGTTTTGAGATTTCAAGATGTATGTATATTTTAATTATATTTGTCTTAAATCAGGATATGTTCTATGAACAGTCTCATTATTATATTTCTCTTGTTGCATTGTCATTCTAGTATAACTCTTCCAGACTTCAGGTTGTTTCAGTCTTTTCTGAAGAACAATCCCAAAATTTAATTTTCCTTGTAGTACTGTCTCTTCAATGATATCCAAGACTTAACTAGCAACAGTCTACTCAAAAAAGTTGCAATTGTACTTTTCAGCATTATGAAGAACACATAGATTTATTGAATACCCAGATTTTTTTTCCAAATCAAAATTATTGAGGTGAAATTGTAAGTATTTATTTGTCTATAAATCCAAGATAATAACTAGTTGCTCATTAATGATACAGGGCATACTATAATTTTCTGTATATAGGAAGTTGATGTGTGATGGACTGAGAAAAGGCATCACACAGTATAGAATTCCCAAGTGAAGTTAAATTTAAGGAAGCTCTGATTCTCATTTCCTGAGGAAAATGTGATGAAACTTCATTGGAAGTTTCATACATGGTCATTATGTGTAAGAATTAGAGATGTCAACTTGGTGAACAATTACTAATCGAGTACTCGCTCGGGAATATTTCTACAACACTGATACACAAAAATACGTATTTTACATTCTGCTGTTTGTTGTTTAACAGACGAAAAACCATATACATAAGTATATGGGACAAGGAATTACACACCATAATTGATAGCTCATTACCTACAAGTACTCATTAAGTAAAAAACAATTATCTAATCAATATGATTTGATGAGTACCTATTAATAATTACAGGTTGTGTGTATTTTAAGTCCAGTTATATCATTATCTTGCATAGTACAGTGTACTTATCAGAGGTGGCTTTCAGTATTTAAGATTTAGAGTTCTCTAATGATATTGAATAAGTTTTATGAATGTCATATTCTGAGCACTATATGAAGGCGATTGTTCTCACTTGTTTATGAACTAGTGCATTATGTCCAGTTTGTACCTTTTTTTATCTATGTTTATAGTCAAATTAGTTATCAAAGGTACCAGGATTATAATTTAATACGCCAGACGTGTGTTTCGTCTACATAAGACTCATCAGTGATGTTCAGATCAAAATAGTAACAAAGCCAAACAAGTACAAAGTTGAAGAGCATTGAGGACCCAAAATTCCAAAAAGTTGTGCCAAATACGGCTAAGGTAATCTATTCCTTGGATAAGAAAATCCTTAGTTTTTTCATTGGCAATCATAACACATCTCCTTATTTATATAATGATCTATATTCAACGACCTCAGGTACAAAATAAATGTATGTAACTAAACTATGATGGGAAACCTTTGACTTCTTTCTTTATATAAACTTTTGATTTGGTACCATAGAACTATGTAGAGTAAATGTACATTGCAACATGTCAACTCTTTCAACTCCAAGCAAAATTATATTTCCAAGCATAAAGTAATTTATGTATGAAATAAAATGCTCCCTGCTGGGGCGCAGCTTGATACGACCGCAGAGGTCGTACCCTGAACAGTTGGGGCAAGTATGAACACAACATTCAAGCTTGATTCAGCACTGAATTTGGATTGTAATTAAATATTTGACACAGCATAGGTTTCTGACACAGAATGAAAGTGGTCTAAGATACTTAAAAAAATTTAATTTACCTATTCAAACCATATCATTATTATTTGCTTTTATATATAAATCAGAAATAACCAATTTAAAATGGAAAATTTTAAAGAAAAAAAAGGAAAAAGAATCCCCCCCCCAAATTTTTTGAACCCCCTTATGATTCATCACCCCAAAACTCAATCCCAGCCTTCCCTTTGTGGTATGGTACCTTGCAGTACAATTTCAGAGAGATCCATACACTTGAACACATGTTATTGTCTGGAAACTAGAAAAATGCTTGTTTTTTGGCCCCTTTTTGGTCCCAAATTCCGAAACGTTTAGGGCAATTACCCCCAAACTCAATCCCAGCTTTCCCTTTGTGATATGGAACCTTGTAGTACAATTTCATAAAGATCCATACACTTACACACAAGTTATTGCCATGAAACTAGAAAAATGCTTGTTTTTTGCCCCTAATTCCTAAAATTTGGAGGCAATTACCCCCAAAATCAATCCCAGCATTCCCTTTGTGATATGGAACCATGTGATACAATGTCAGAGAGATCCATAGACTTACACACAAGTTATTGTCATGAAACTAGAAAAATGCTTGTTTTTTGCCCCTTTTTGGCCCCTAATTCCTAAAATTTGGAGGCAATTACCCCCAAAATCAATCCCAGCATTCCCTTTGTGGTATGGTACCTTGCAGTACAATTTCAGAGAGATCCATACACTTGAACACAAGTTATTGTCTGAAAACTAGAAAAATGCTTATTTTTGGCCCCTTATTCCTAAACTTTTTGGGCAATTACCCCCAAACTCAATTCCAGCTTTCCCTTTGTGATATGGAACCTTGTAGTACAATTTCATAAAGATCCATACACTTACACACAAGTTATTGCCATGAAACTAGAAAAATGCTTGTTTTTGGCCCCTTTTGGCCCCTAATTCCTAAAATTTGGAGGCAATTACCCCCAAATTCAATCCCAGCATTCCCTTTGTGATATGGAACCTTGTGATACAATGTCAGAGAGATCCATAGACTTGCACACAAGTTATTGTCATGAAACTAGAAAAATGCTTGTTTTTTGCCCCTAATTCCTAAAATTTGGAGGCAATTACCCCCAAAAATCAATCCCAGCATTCCCTTTGTGATATGGAACCTTGTGGTACAATGTCAGAGAGATCCATACACTTACACACAAGTTATGTCTGGAAGTTACAAAAATGCTTATTTTTGGCCCCTTTTTGGCCCCTAATTCCTTAACTGTTGGTACCATAACCCCCAAAATCAATCCCCACTTTCCTTTTGTGGTATTGAACCTTATTTTAAAATTTCATTGAGATCCATTCACTTAAACTAAAGTTAGAGTGCGAAAACTAATGTGTCTTCGGACGACGACGCCGGAGACAACGACAGCGCCAACGTCATACCAATATACGACCACAAAAATTTTTTTGCAGTCGTATAAAAAGGAGTTCTTAATTAAGAAATAAACTGATTCGCTGAGCGCAGCTGGATACACCCGCAGAGGTACTACCCTGAACAGCTGGGGCAAAAATGGACACAATATTCAAGCTTGATACAGGTCTGAATTTTGATTGTAATTAAATATTTGACATATTATAGTTTCTGAATAAATGTAGTCAATGAACTTGAAATAGGTTATATGAATTGAATTTATATTCAATTAAAGATTTCTTGCTGTTGTGCAATACACTGTGCTGTTGTGCAATACTTAATAAATCTGTTGCCAGACTATAAACAAATAAAGTTCAATTTCTTCTCAATGTCATATTTGAAATTTATGAAAATCAATAGGGAGATTACATCAATAGCTATAAATAATTCACCAAAGTTTCATGTGAACTGCTTAAAGCATTTTTGAGTTGTTGTCCAAAAACTGGAAAATCCCCCCTTTTTTAATGAATAAAACCCCATAACTCAGAAATGTAAAATCTAAAATTTATAAAATTCTAAAGGGAGCTTACGGATTGATAATTTAGTCTTAGATGCAAGATTTTTTTATCAGTTGTTAATGGCTTTGAACTAGCTGTCAGTAACTGCGAGTACTCTCAGATTTGTACTTAGTGTATTTTTGTTGTTTGGATGTACAACTACCCGACCACGTCCACTTGTATTTGTATTTATCCATCTGATGAGTTTAGCCTCTTTCAACTGATTTTTATAGTTCTTTCTTATATTGTACTGTTACACCACTGTCCCAGGTTAGGGGAGGGTTGGGATCCCGCTAACATGTTTAAGCCCGCCACATTCTGTATGTACATGTATGTGCCTGTCCCAAGTCAGGAGCCTATAAAAGTGTAATTCAGCGGTTGTCGTTTGTTTATGTGTTGCATATTTGTTATATTTGTTCATTTTTTTACATAAAATAGGCCGTTAGTTTTCTTGTTTGAATTGTTTTACATTGTCATTTCTGGGCCTTTTATAGCTGACTGTGCGGTATCGGCTTTGCTCATTGTTGAAGGCTGTACTGTGACCTATAGCTGTTAATTTCTGTGTCATTTGTTCTCTTGTGCATGTGATGAGAGTTGTCTCATTGGCAATCATACCACATCTTCTTTTTTATATTTACATCAACAGATATAAAAAATTCACCAAAGTCAAGGTGAGACAACAAAACTTAGTTGTAAGATCTCTGAAATTTTTTTACAGGGTACGAGTTTTTCTCATTGTTGGAGATTGTACGGTGACAGTAACACCTGTAACTGCTTAAACCCATTTCTTATGCACTTTAGTTTGATAAACTCACTGAATATCATACCACATCTCCTTCTTTTTATATGCATTACAATTTACATGTGCATGTAATTGTAAATATATATATATCAGAACAAAATTCATTGCGTCACTTTTATTTATGCATCCTTTGGCACAATACAAGTTCTAAAATTACACAACATAAAACAACTAAATGTTATTTCAGATGAAAGTTTTGTTTCAGTTCCATTCATAGGATTTATTAGAATTTTGTATGTTTTGCCAAGTCCAATAATTCGCTCTATGTGACATAGAGACATAGTTGACTAAACCACCAGGTGTCGAACATTCAGGAATTTTCAGTGTTTCTGTTTTTATTTGATGAAAAGGTTGCCTGAGCTCTAGGAGCTTTAGGTTTTATCACGGGATATTCTGTGCTGTCAATAATAATCCAAGTCGTAGGAAACTTTAATTTGAAGTTGGATGGTGAAAAATACCTGACTAAACCACTAGATGGCCAAGTGTTAGTTTCACACCACTGTTTAGACATAAAAACAATCCATGTATACACAATATTCTTAACACTAGATTCAATCTAGAATCTAGACAGTTCAAAGTTGGTTGTATGATGCCTCAATTTCATCAAAGTCATAAAAAAACTGATTTTCAACTGACACCCTATCAATTTGAAAATATATGTATCTCAAACAATGTGCTGCTGGACCAAGTGTGGTCAAAACAAATAAAAATTTAGTATACAACTCTAAACCGGTATAAAAATGCATGGCTGTGTCACGTGTCTTCATTTCAAAATTCTCTGCTGAAAACATAGGCATTGATGGTGTTTGCGTAATTCCATCTGTGAAGCTCAACATTAGCTCGGCAGTTGGTGGTGGCAGTCATATATCCTTTCTGCAGTATGAATGACTTCTTCAGGAAAACCAACTTTACAATCAAAACTTTCCTCTAGATTTCTACTACAATATTCATCAAGTTTAGTTCTTTTGTTTTCACAGGAAACTGCCCTGATTTTTCTTTTTGCGGACGATTCAGTCTCTTGCTTGGTCCAGGAAAATAGGCTGGGAATTGCAGTAGACTTAAGTCTCTGTATGGTGGGTTTGCGCCCTGAAAAAGGTTATAAAACTTTAGTTTTTTTATAATTAAATGAACTTCCATTAGCAATGTATACTTTGTACTACCTGGCGAAATATTAACTAGATTTATTCATTACAATCTGGATAAAACTATGTTTGTCTGATTCAATGTATGTTATGTAAATCCAAAGGACAAACAATGAGAGACTTATGCAACAAACGTACATTGTTTGTACCTAAATAACTATAATATAGATGAGAGCATGTCATTGTTTTGTTCCTGTTAACATTGTCATTGATATTTTTCAAGAAAGTCTATGAGGCATAGCTTATGCATTCCTGTCATTACTACATTAGCATAATTACTGCTAAAATAATTCTCAGTATGATATACCTCTTGTAAGAAATCATTATAATTGTAGCAATCACCAAAAAATCTCAAACAGATCACATTGAATCGTAATCCAAAAAATTATGACGTCTTGAATTACCCACCCCCTTTTATTCTAAAACGATAATTGCGGTTGTAAACAGACTTTGGTTTATTCGCATGGCGATTACATATATAACTATATATTTCACAAAGAAAATAGAGTTTTACCATGAATAGTTTCCTGCACGTAGTCTTTTTCAGTAAAACGTGCCTTGCAAACAACAGCTGATTGAGATGGACTCCACGATATCATCCAATCTGCGTATGGGCCATGGCGTTGATCCAACTTTTCCTTCTTTTTAAGTCATTTGGAAATGCATGTCCTCCTCTTAAATGACATCCAGGTACACAACAACAAGTACTTGGCATCGTTAATTAAAAATATAACTGAAATAGTTGCACAGTGCAGAAACCGGAAGTAGAGGAACAGGATTCGCTACCACGGCGCCACCTATTCAGGAACGATAATTTGCTACTTTATATAACTGCGAAAATAACGTTAGACGGGTTCACGTGCATAAACAGAAATGCGCTTTAAATTGTATAATATAATTCATGTTCAGTCGACCTTTAATTATTATATCAACGACTGAAATGATTTATAAACATCTAGATTGCAGATAACACTCGAAATATTAACCCGAGCTCTTTCCACACGGAATTCAAATAATTCTAGTTTGTCAATCGGTTGACTGCTTATAATGCAAAATACTAATATATCAAAAGTTTTTAAAACTAACAAAACACAATGATCGTTTCTCTATTTCCCAATGTAAATGAAATGAAACAAAAAACATTTTATATCGCAATAAGAAGAGGAGAGAATTCAACATTTCCGGATCTACTTGGAGTCTAATGACCCCCCACGTAGATAAGTTGGATATCGCGGAAGGAAGGATTAACCCGGCAACTAGAAAGGCATTAAAGCACTGCCTTTAAAAATCATAACAAGGAAAACCATATCAAACAATAGTATTTGGTAATCATTAAGAAAACACATTTAATGTTTACAAAGGCGTAAGGATTATAAGTTTAAATATTCACTGAGGGTCACCAGAGGATGCAACGAATTTATTTTATTTGGAAAGATTTGCTTGGCAACTATTATAGGGGATAGTCAGTTTTGCAGCATTCTAAATTACGGTCTTGCAGAGGAAAATATTTGCTCTGACGGTACCGATGTGACGGAATGGCTAAGACATGTTTAGTTTAAAGTGTTACCGGTAGTCTAGGTATAGACCACATATTTTCAGAGACATTTTAAATGACATTTTAGCACAAGCATTCGAAACAAAATGTATTTTATTTACTAGTGTGATTAATCAGTGATGCCTATTTAATTTTCCGAAAGAGGTTCTCAAGAAGGTAAATTTTATATAAAGAAGACATCAATATAACCGAAAACCAATTAGTCTAGTATCGTTTAAGTATTCGATACTCGGTACTACCGAGCGATACTCAAATGACATCCCTAGTAAGAATATATAAGTATTCAGTAAACAGGAAGTTAATGAAAGATGAATGTTCAAACCCATAACACTGTATAACATGCTCACATGAGGCTAATGCTATGAAATTTCAGAAAGCTCAGTTCCTGAGACAAAATTTCATAGGGCCAACCGACAGATGTGAGGCACATAGACAGACACGCAGACATAAACCCCCAGAGTGGGGAAAAATAAGTGATTCTTACCCACACAAAATAAAAATTCATACTATAGAAAATCTTGATATAATGTGTGCTTCATCTTTGGAATAAAAAAACTGTAAATTCCTACAAATATTTTTCTTTTCATTTTTTGAAATCTAAAACAACAAATTTGGTACCTTTAAGATATTGGAGAACATCATTAATTTGTCTGTATCAATCTGAACCTGCTGACATTCCATCAATGCTAATAATGGGACCAATTTAGTCTCTACACAACAAAACAAGTCCCATAACTCTCTAGACTGTAGTTTCTGGTACAAACGATTCATTAATTTACCAAGTAATGAGAAGTCCTCTTTCAATAGCTCATAACAGTCTATCCCTTCTTTCTAAAAGAATAATCCAAATCATTTAGTTATTCTAACGAAATTTATTTATTTGTTGATAATAACAATATTGATGACAATACTTTCTATAGTAAAATAAAAATGCCAATCTATAAGCAATCAAGAACGACAATTTAATTCTAATGGAAGAACCTTTAGTGAACAAGCTCACATACCTTATACCCAACATAATTAATATGGGATATTTTTACAAGTACCCCTCCCCCAAAAAATTTCCCCATCTCAGAGTTTTTTTTTATTATTGAACTCATTTAAGGTTCTGATGCTTGGAAACCTTATTAAAAATTTGAAGAGGATCTAATAAAAAAAAAGAAAGAAAAAAGGGGGCTTATTAACCCAGGGACAAGAATACATATGAGATAATTTATAAGTCCCCCCCCTTACCAAAAAATTTAAATTTAAAGAGGATTCAAAAAAATTGAAGGTGCTAGCATGGCCACAACAAAGTGAAACTGACAGGTTAAAAACATTATATCCTCCACGACTTGGTTGTGTTTTAGTAGAACAAAAAGTTTTGTAGTAATTTAAACATTTAAATTGTTGCAAGCATTCAACCAAAATCTGTAAAATCGCCCTGCAAAAAGGAAAATGTACAGGAGGATATCCTTAGTCCAATAAACATTGCTTTAAGTTTGACAGTTAAGGTTCCATAACCCAGAAGAAGCAAATCTTAAAATTTTCAAAATTGAAAGGGAGATTACTTCAACAATTCCAATAATAGAGTAAAGTTTGAAATAAATTGACCCATGCATATTGGAGCTTGTGTGCAAAATGTGAAAAAATTGTCACTTAGTTCAATATCTCTGGAATGCATGACACATCAGAAAATATTCAAGATCACTCCAGACAATATCATAAACTTTGGAGTATATTCATCAAAGAAACTCAAGTTAGTGGGCAAAATGTGAAAAATAGCCAAAAATATGATCACCATAGTCGCAAAACTTTGAAAAAAAAATTGGAAATTTTGAAAATAAAATGGTAGTTTACTTTTATAACCAATCAAAATAATAATATAAAGTTTGAAGTAGATCGATCTCAGCATAGTGCACAATATTTTGGAGATAACAGAGGTGTCATTTTAAAGTAAACTGTAGAATTGGTTCTCACATATCATAAACTTATAGTAATGTAAGTAATGTAATTTTTTTCTAGTTTAAATAAAACAGGTTTAGAAACAGAAATAGATTTGCAACTCTTATAAAAATTTTAAATCCTCACAAAGAAGTATTTTGAATATATCCATGTGATGGTAAGCAAGTGTATTATACTGTCATAACTCAGAGAAACCAATGTCCACACTGTGTAAATGTGCAAAATTATAACAAATGGATAGCCAATACTGCTGTAAGTACATTCAAGCTGTGTGTATAGTGCACACATTTATACCCTGGGTCGTGTTTCTTGTAAGAGGGGTGCGCATTATACATGCCTACAAGCATTTTCTTAGTCTTTTTTCAGGTTTGAACTCCGACAAAGAAAAAACCAGGTGAAGTGAAGAGTATAGAATTTTTCGCTAAAACCTCGATTTTTATTATGTTTCACATGTTATATTTGTAATATGTATCTTATTGTACTTGATATGTCATGTTTTATTCAAATAAAATACAATTTATATCTCTGTAGTTACGTTTATCGTGTAAATTTGTCCATCTGTTTGCAATCCGGAAGTTTGCCATATCTTAATAAAGACACAATGAAGCTTTTGTTGTCAGTTAATTTAGCCTCTGTGTTTCTTGTGGTCATAACTTACTGTTTTTGTATGTGTTCATCATGGAGAGTAGAAGATAAGTGTATGAAAATTGAATAAACAATGCTCGTTTTGAAAAGATAAACCGCCATTTTTTCTATTGTATCAGGTGATCGCCAGTCATGTGACTTAACATTGTAACATGATGATTTAGTCTATGAGAAGTTTTTTTTTTATAAATACGTTTCTACTTTGTAACTTTTAAACAGTAACAACTGTTTGAAACCGTTCAAGAAATTATGATTGAAAACATGATAATCCCATAATTGTAACCTGAACACATTTAATTAGGAACAAGGTGAACCTGTCATTGATTTGTTTTGACATCGATTAGACCCATTGATTGAGGTGTGATAATCCAGATTAACAGCTAGAATCAACAAACAAAAAATAAAAATTATGAGATTTTAACAATTTATTTCAGCACTAATTCATAACATAAAATTAAATAATACAAGATAATACAATTTCGTATTAATTACGTATTCCGTACGGAATTCACCGAAATCGGTGACCATTTAAAAAACTTCCAGTTTAGACTTACTGTTTGCCAACAAACGACAAACATTAACTTGTGGGTTATAAAAAGTAGATAACTATTAAAATTCTTTATTCAGCTACAATAAATTCTTTCCATGATATTAATCATGACTTCTCATTAATTCCTTGCCAAAAAAAATCACGCTCAAGCAACATTTTACCGATTTTGGAGCTGTGACTTTTCCGAAAATGTCTATGTGTATTATACGAAAAAGACACTTTTTTTCTCAAGTTTCTTGGACCATAAAGGGGGTGCGCACAATACACAAATGCGCACTATACACACCAAAAGACGGTATACCTTGTTCTGCTGTATATTAACTGAATTTAAACTGTCTTCAAAACAAGATGGAGGATTGTCTGGATCCAGCAACCAGCCTGCTACCTGTGGATCTATAACTGTCCAATCTCCTATCTTTACTAAAATTATAAACATAACCTCACATTTGGTAAAGTAATCTTATATCATTTTTAGAAATTTCAGTTTACAGTAAGATTTTCAAAATAGCTACCAAAGCATTTGTTAAATTATGAATTACTCTCCAGCAAGTAAAAATATAGTGCTCAAGACTTTGTTTACTTATCTATTTCTATTCTTCCTCAGCAGAAAAATCTCTGTATATAATTTAGGAACATTTTGTTACATCTGGTCATCCGTTTATTTGGCAATCGCCGTGGCAGTAAGCAGGGTTTAAGAACATACATTGTTCGACCTGCTAGTCAAATGCGTTTTGTTAAAATATACTTTTCACTTTTTTGGTCTTTTGGAAATGTTGTTTGTGCTGTATTTAGACCCCTCTACCAAGAAATTTGTTTTGCATACACACATATAAAAATTGCGGTTTTTATCCAACGCAATCATAGGTTTGAACGTTGTTTTCAATTTAGACTTGTTTTTAATTTAGGAACATGATATTCAGTGACTATTTTTGTTTCTTCTGTTAGAAACATTAGAACATGAGTTTTTTTAATTCTTGGTATAAAGTACAAATGTACAATGGTTGTTAAATTTATGCATAGCAAAGGAGACACTTTTCTTTGATATCATATTTTAAAAGATGATCTTTTTCTTGAAATTTTAAATAATTATTCTATTTCAACACACCTTCTGATTCATTGAAAATATTTTTCAGCAGGATCAAAAACAGTTCTTTTGCTCCATAACATATTTTTCTTGATGAACATGTAAATACTGAATCCCAGAAGGACCTGAAACATTTATAAAAGTTTGTGAATTTAGTGATATAACGTCTACAAATAATCATAAACATGTATGTTGGTACAGGAGGATTCAATAAAAGAAAAGGTTAAAATAAAAATGGTTAAATGAAAATGTTATATTACAAATATTAATGTTGAAATAGGAAATTACTTGCAAAATTTGCTTTCATTTATGCAATGATCATTTTTTTTAAATACATAATAAGTATTTTCCTCATTTTCAGATTTCTACAGCTGTTTTGAGTCTTTTTATTATAAGAAGTAATTTTCAAGTCTATAAAGGGAAAATCAGCTGAAAATAATTTATTCCTTTTTCATGAAATATTTAATAAACTTTAATTACAAGCTATTGGTTATGTGACCACTTTTTGTGTCAAATCCTGGCTTTTTATTACAAATGTATCACTGTAATATACCTAATCCATTCCACTAAATGAGCGTGTTTGATCTTGGAAGGCATAGTATACAGTTGAAGATTTTCTGTATTGTTGCATGTCAATCCAATTCCTATAGATACAATCTGAACAGAGATAAAAAAAAATAAGCTAAAACAATAAAAAATCTGATTCTAAACAATTCTTGAATAAGAGCAGAAATTTAAGGTAGCATTGCAAAGTTTAATTGAAAATGTTTAAGCATTCTATATAAACTTAAATAGCTGATGTACATAAAGGCTTTTGAAAAAGGTTAAAACAAGATTGCAATCACTTTTTGTGCCAAGCATATCGCCACTCATGATACAATGTACCTGAAAACTGGAAGTTAGTGTTTAAAAGATCTGAAAAGTGCTCAAACTTTACAACTCATCACTAATCAGCTGCTTGTCCAATATGAAGTCAATCTGTTCAGCAGTTCCTGATAAAAATCTGACATAAATATTTGTTGGACAAAAGGACAGACAAATGGACAGGGTGAATGCAATTGGCCAAAACATAAGTGATTATGTTCAGTAGTTCCCGAGAAAAGTGTGAAATATTTGTTGGTTCAATGGTTTGACAAAAGGATAGACAAGGTGAATTCAATATAGCTTCCCCTCCTAGAGTGGGGTATAATATATGTCTTATATATAAATACCTGTTCAAATGACTTTGATTTCATGCTCTGTGACTTCTTCTGAAAGACATTATACAAAAGAAAATAAATATATAAGCCAATGCAACTGGATATTACATTTATGGAAAGAAATAAACTAAGAATAAGATTTAAATTATGGCTACCTTACATACCTAAGCTAGCTAGTCGCTTCCTGTAGCACACTTTGACATTGCTTCCATAGTTTTATGTCCTTTTTCAAGTTAGAGGTCATCTTGTTGGTTACTGGACTGTGTAGGGTTTTTCATCGTGTGTTTTTTTTAACTTTTATGACATATGTTCTAGATAGACAAAGAGTGGAAGTTTGTACACATGTAAAACTGGTTTATCCACACAACATTATGTGCCTGAAGTCAGACTATCTGGACCATGTAATTTTGGTTGTTGCTTGTCTTGTGTACATTGATCTTTCAGAGGAGTCAAGTGTTGATATTTGTTGTGGTCTGTTGTAATGAATGACACATTTGGTAATTTCTGTTATCCATTTAATGTGATATGTATTTAATAATTTCTGTTTTCAAAACTTCTTAAAATCTTTAAAGAAACAAAAGGCTGCTATTTACTATGAAAACACTATTTCAGCATAACAGATTTACTTCACACGGTTAACTCTCATTTCCTGCTTTCAAAGTATTAATGGTATGTGTTGAAAGTTTACCAAATAAAGTACAAGATAGTACTTTTTTGTTCCGGGCCTTACTTTGATATTTTGTACATACTTTGATATTTTGTACAGAGTATCAAAACAACATCTGATATAAGAAACAAAATGATAATCTCTTTTGCTCAAAAACAGGTAAGTGAGAATTTCCAACTGTATACATAAACTTAAAGAGAAGTCTTATTTGAGGTAATGGCTGAGTATAAACAAAATATAGTAGAATTTAAAAAAAATTGCAAAACATATATTGTGTTGAGCTATTTCTGAAAAAAATAATCACTGAGCTTGTTATCAAGATGTGGTGTGTAAAAAACTTCCAGAAAAAGAAATAAACAAACAGGATCACCATAATGTAACATCTTGCTACATTAAAGAATAGTACAATCTATCATTAATTTAAATCATCTGAGTTATCTCCCATTATAAATCAAATTCATCTGAATTATCTCCCATTTTTAAATCAACTTCTACATATTTTTTAATAAAAAAAAATCTGCATTATAAATTATTAACAACTATATGTTACTTTGGCAGAATTATCCCTCAGCTGATTAGTTGAATCATCATACACCACAGCTAGTAGAATTTCTTTACTTTTCTGGACTTCCTGAAGCAACTCCAATCTTTGACTTGTATCTAAACATGTGACATCAACAGTAGTACTGGTTTTCTGAAGATAAAATGAAACATCAAAAGAAAAAAGAAATTCAGAAGACACAAAACTTAATATTAGTGGTGAATGGAGAATAAAACATTCTTACTTGAAGTTCTTTGTTCCAATCTGAAACTTTTAGGTGTCATTTACAAAAAGCATAATGATTGATGTCAAAGTTAAATTATGACAAACATGAAGGTATATGTTTGCAAAATTTTCATTACATTTTAAGAATTACACAGTGCTAATGCATATAAAACCAATGAAAAAACTTTCAATCATGTAGAACACTATAGTAACTCTCATGCTTTATATTAGTTTGGTTCACAGTATATACCTAATTGAGCTAAAGAAAAAAATTTAGCATCTTTGAATACATATTTTTACTGCATGTATTTTTCAATACTAATTGATTAGAAAACAATGGAAATTGTAGATACCTGCTGAAATTGACGCTTAAAATGTAGTTTAATTGTACCAAAAAAACAACAAAAACAAACAACTTCATCTAATTAAAACAAGAACACAATAACTTGAAATAAATACTTCAAAACTAGATTTATAATAAAGAATTCAGGGTTAAGAACGAGAGTAATAACATCTTCATTGTCTCAACATAATTCCAACAAAATTTACCTCAACCTGCGAGATTTCATTATCACTTTTTTTATCTGAAACTTTTTGTTTTTTGTATGGAGCAAAGAATGAGGGAATTTTCCTTTTATTTATCTGGTCTGATACTTTTACGTCTGTTGCTAAAAGTACAAAGAACAATATTCTTTTTTACAAACATGAGATATTGAGGTTATTTAATATACGTTTTTTTCTACTAGCTATCATTGTTACTTATTATGAACTTTCAGTATATGTTCATGTTTTAGTGTTTGTATTTGATTAATTCTATCAAGCATTAATGCTTAACTTGTTGTACCCATTTCAAGTTTAACAACGAGAAATGGAAATTAATAAGGTACACTGTTTTAACGGTATTTTTGTGACATTATAATTGTATTTAATCTTACCTTGACTTTTAGTTTCCTTCAGCTCATTCCTAAAGTGAAAAAAAGTGCAGCAATATTAAATTCAATGCTGAAAAGCAATAAACCAAATCAATTTTATTTTACTAAATAATTATATTGGGACCATACAACAAAATGACAAAAGATAATTAGAGTTGAATGATAAATAGAGGGATATAGAGGTTGAGATACAGGCTCCAAAAGCAGACAGGTGACATACATCAAGATCTATATACTCTCTGACTGAGGACTGCAAGTTTATCCCTGATTAAATTGATTGGACTGGGAAAATGGGTCCAAATGGCAAATTTATTCTGAGTACATGGGTATGGCAAACACATTAATAAGTTAATCAAAAATGTGCTAACACTCTTACCTGATTTGTTGATGTTGCAGTAATCTTTTGGAGATGGAACACATTTCATTTCCCTGTTCAGCTGTCTTAGTCTCTCTTTCTTTGTCATTAACATGTACCATGGCAGACACATTTCTTTCTTTTACATGTTTATTCTCAGATCCATTGTCAGTTTTTAGTGGAATGATAATTTCACCATCCATCACATCTGATAACTGTCGGTTGTTTTTAACTTCTTTATCATCATTCATCATTATCTCCTTTGATGTTACAAGATCCTCTCTTTTATCATCAGAAATAAAAACTGAATGACTAAAACTGTGATCAGCATTACTACTACGGTGTACTGGTGTCACATCATTCTTTTCCTTCTCCATAGTTTCCAAACTAGGAAACAACACAGGAGAAAGTGACAAAGGAGCTGATTCTTGAGACGACCTTTGAACTGAGAGGGCAGCACCTTCCTCATCACATGATGTATATAATGAATTATCAAGTACGGAAATCAAAACTTCTTTCTCTTTTGAGGGAAAGACAAATGGACTAGTACTTTTGACAGCAGTTTCTTTCATATTTTTGGTAAAGTATTTATCAAATGACCTATGACCTCCTTCAAACCTCCTATCACCTCTTTGATCACAAGCGTTTGTTGTGGATGTTTTCTGAATCCAGGCGTGTGTTACTTCATAGTGATTTTGTGTGTTTCGTGAAGGACCATCAATATTTTGAGTATTTGTACTGTCAGCAAGTAGATTTACATGACTTGCATTGTTAGTAGCATTACTACTTTGACTGTTTTGTGTATTCTGTAAAGGTCCATGTCCAAACTTAGTTCTGTACAGGTTCTGGTAATATTTGCTTGGTCCTGAAAAATACTTATATATGTACTTGTCAATGATTGGAAAAATCAAAAAGATAGAGGCAATATCAATATTACTGGAAAGTAGGACAAATTTTGTCTCATATATAATGTAAATCTTTTCTATATTTCAACAAAGGAGATGTTGCTATATGTCAATGAGATGGCAACCCAAAAACAAAAACAACCAAAAGACATCTAGAGGTCATTAAATACATGTATGTGTATGTCAAGCTCTAAATTGTCCCAAGTCTATAAACGATGTAAATAATTTAAATAGGAACTATCAAATATCTGCCATCAACACTAAATTCTCAAAATATATCCTCTTCTTATTCTGATTAATGATTTGATTGCATGTTTCAATAATTATTTCTTTCATAAATAAATCAATATCATACTTATTTCAATTCTATTAAAATAAAATTGCATTCAGTAATTACTAAATAAAATTGAGAATGGAAATGGGGAATATGTCAAAGAGACAACAGCCCGACTATAGAGCAGACAACAGCCGACGGCCACCGTCAAAGCATGTAAACACTGTTAAGCAGCAGTTCCCAAGTCATTTCAAAAGCACTGCAAACAATATAAATAGGATTTTCCAATATTGAGCAGAACATATATCGTCCTAAAAATGTCTTTTGATAGCAGTCTCATTAGCATATGTATCATAACTCCTCTTTTAATACTACTTTCCAATGTCATAGTGGTGGTCTGAAGGTTTTGACCACCATAATTTACAAAGGACTGACATAAGTTTTGTATTTTGCAATAGAAATAATAGTGAGGACCAGCAGATTCTCTTCAAGGACCACAAGGGAAAAAGAGATTTTGAGAACTCTGCCAATGCATGTTTGTCCTATCAACAAAGTGAAAAATAAAAAATGCAGATAGCTTCAGTATAAAATCAAATGATTTTTGATTTTTTTACATGTCTACTGGTATGACTTATATCTGCTATTTTTTTCTATACAAGTGTTGTCTGAGATAACTTTATTTTTTATTATCTCTTGATTATCTCCCCTATATTCTATCTTTTTATTAATCTTCAGTATACCTTGTGATGACGACTTTCTATCTAATTGAGACATTAAGATTTTGTCTTTCTGTTGCTGGTATTGTTTGTAGATACCAGCCATGACCTTCTGTGCATCCAATGACAGATGTGAGAACTTGTCTAACACAGGCGGAGGTTGTGCTGGCTTCAACACAGGCGGAGGTTGTGCTAGCTTCAACACAGGTGGAGGTTGTGCTGGCTTCAACACAGGCGGAGGTTGTGCTGGCTTCAAGACAGACATTTTGCATCTTCATTCTAAAAACAAATTTGTTAGAAGCTGACTATTTTTTTCAATAACAATAGAATTATTATTGTAACAATATTTCTATTCAAATCAAAATATATAACTTTCCTTTGGCTAATGCTTTATCCAATACTACAACCATACTACTATTTATCAGCAGAATATCCTTAGTTCTCTGAGAGATAGAATTCATTATACATGTAAGTACTAAATTGAGTAACAGAGTTTTTGACAAAAAAAAACCTGATCTTTTACTACTTTTGTTAGAGTTTCAATATAAAATTTTGAGCAGCCATACATGTTCCTGAAGAATTATATTTAGGTCAATAATTTTGTTGACATTGAAAAATATACAACACTCAGTGCATTACATATATGGGTATACAAAAGTATCATCAAACAGAAAGAGACTGCTTGGAAAAATTTTAATTCTTCCTTAATACAGAAGCTGCACCAGCAACAGAAATAACAGATTGACAGTTAAAAGGATGAACATTACATGATCATTGCAGCAACTTAATTACCAGTTTTATACTCATGTCACAAGCAAAATGAATGGTACCCTCAAATTCAACCTGTTTTTGGAGGGTTTAAAGTGTTGATCAATCTTGAAAAAATTAAAACTTTATTGAAACAACGGCCAGACATGATAAAACAAATATTGCAGACAACAACCAACAACAACCACTGAATTACAGGCTCCTGACTTGGGACAGGCACATAAAGAATGTGGCAGGGTCAAACATTTTGTTAGTGCTCAACCCTCCTCTCACCTGGCACAGCTGGTGTATCAACACAATATATAAAGTACAAACTATAATATAAGTTGGAAAAGTCTCGCCTCATCAAAACCACTATAAGCACATAAAATAAACATAAATGATTCATTTTTTGCTTGGGTGCAACAGGGACGTAGCTGTTGTTAAAATATATATTGTCAAGTGGTTAGAAAATATGAAAAATTCAGAATTTTAATATCATTTTGAGGGATTTTATGTCTAAATTTTGTAACAGGATATTACAGTGAAGAAAGTTTACTAGCCAAATGCAAAATGTTGCCATCTTAACTCAGAATGCATAAAAAGAAAAATCTTTTTCCAAGTCTGTCAAAAGGAGTAGGTCCGGTAAGGGCCAATTTTGGCCTCAAATTTCAGGTTCATCAGATGAAAGATTTTGGACACTTTTTAAACACTCAAGTGTCTACTTCAGTCGATTCAATTAGTTTATGTGAAAGATTTTAACTAAATTAGTCATTTCAGACGCTCTAATGCAAGCTTAAATATGAAAAATCTATCAAATATGCCATAATGTGTCACTTTTCAGATGGTTTTTGTCAAAAATGAAAGTGGCAGCATCCGTGTTCACTCTTGACCTTTATATATGTTATGTATTATCATCAAATACAACTTATATTTAAATATTAAGAATGAACACAAATGCGGCCACTTCCATTTAAGAGGGAAACCGTCTAAAATTTAACTCAAATTGGAAAGTATAATATCCATTTTTATGTAGCAGAAGTATTATACTTTCCAATAAATAGCTAAAAGTTTACATTGTAACAATTTTGTAAAATTGTGAAGATTTCAGTAATTTAGCATGACTTAATGATGCTAGTACCCGATATATGTGCATTGTATTGTCAAAAACAGCCCATTTTTATGTAGCAGAAGTATTATACTTTCCAATAAATAGCTAAAAGTTTACATTGTAACAATTTTGTAAAACTGCTATATTTTGGGGCCAAAAAGGGGTCTTACTGGACCTACTCCTTTAACTATAACATTTTAAAATTTGGTTATCTGGAGCATGTTATATATGCTAAATCTTTGCAATGACAGTTATGATGATCTACTTGGTACTCAATCTTATATTCACATTGCATTTCATCATATGCTAATTAGCTGTAAAATTAAAGCTTATATGGAAAACAAAGTGTGTCTGTCCTGCTGTTGGTCCAACATAATTTTGTGTCGGTCTACAAATATCCTGTTCATCAAACCGACTGAATGGTCTAAGCTACTGTATCACTAGCCTGTCAACACTGAGGTTGTGAGTTTGAATCCCGCATGTGGCAGGTGCGCTCGACTTCAATCTTAATTGCATAGGAAAGTCAGTTTTCCTACCTCTCCTGGCACTATGGCTCCCACACAATAAAAACTGACGCCACGAAAAGCACAATAGTGCTGAAAAAAAGCTTAAACACCAGTGTGTGTCTGTCCTTGTTCAGTTTTTGATCTTATTCTACAGTCTCACTAATTAGCAACAAGAAGAATTTTAGCAACACACAGTGACAAGAAGTAAAATTTAGCGACAAGAAAGTTTATATTCTACTAAAACAAACAAATATGTAAAAGAAATCGATAAATTACAGTTGATTTTGTGGTTTCTTATAAAAGTTTTAAATTTTGTTGCTATTTAAATTTTTGAGCTTTGGATAGAATTAATACCATACTACGTATATATAAGCCACACCAATTTGATGTCTTGTTCTTTGGACAACTGCTCCAAAAAATATGGGGCAAGCGAGCAAAATGTTTTTGTTTTTATTTTTTTCTTGAAAATGAATTTTTTTTTAGGCAAGTGCTCTACAAGTGAAGCGAGCGGTATAATTTTTTTTTTAAATTGTGCGATTTAGAAGTAATAACTGGGTAACTTCATCGAAAAACGAGGAGGCATATTAACCACTGCAATCTTCATTTTTTATTTAACAAGCATTCTGAGAGTATTGCATGGCAGTACATAGTCCCCTACCAGTTAAAAATTCATTGTACTGGAACAAAATGCTTACTTGATCTATAACTTGTCATGGTGTAAACTATATAACAAATGTCAATTCAATATCTTCAAGCATGACGTAAAAAAAGTGTGGAAAACTGATTATTTGAGTGAATTTTCTAAGTCCAAGGACCATAACTCTGCACAAAATCATTAGACCAGTACAAAATGAGAACTTGATCTGTTACTTGTCATGATAAAACTATATACTAATTATCAAATCAATATCTTCAAGCAAGACGAAAAAAAATGTGGAAAACTGATTATTTGAGTGAATTTTCTAAGTCCAAGGACCATAACTCTGCACATAATTATCACACCAGAACAAAATTTAAACCTGATATGTAACTTTTCATGATAAAACTATATACCAATTATCAAATCAATATCTTCAAGCATAACGAAAAAAAGTGCGGGAAACTGATTATTTGAGTGAATTTTCTCGGTCCTACTAAAAATCGCCCAGGAGCGCCCGGGAGAATAAAATAATAATATTTTATAACAATAAACGTTTTCCTGAATAAAAAAAAAAATCATTGCTTGTTTTGCCCTTAATATAAATGGGGATATTAAGTCCAAGGACCATAACTCTGCACAAAATCATCAGACTGGAACAAAATTTAAATTTGATCTGTAACTTGTCATGATAAAACAATATACCAAATATCAAATCAATATCTTAAAGCACGAAGAAAAAAAGTGTGGAAAACTGATTTGGCAGACTGAAGGACATACGGACGGACGGACCGACCGACGGACGGACGGACCGACCGACGGACGGACGGACGGACGGACGGACCGACCGACAGACAGACAGACAGACAGACAGACAGACAGACAGAGTGCAAACCTAAAGTCCCCTCGATTTCGTCGGTAGCTTAAGGGGACTAATAAAACATTTTTGTCATGCATATCTGTTTATCATGATTATGGTACTCTTCTTTTGGGTGGAAGTTTAATGAAAGGGATTCAAAGGTTTTACAAGAGGAATTATGTTAGTCATGTTAGTTAGAAACAATGTAAATGACACATGTTTAATAAAATTAAAATATGTGTATGTATCCAAACAAATGCCCCTAAAAGATATTTGATAGAAGTTGTTTTCATTATATGGTAATGATAGTTTATTGGCAGCTTGACATCCAGTTGGAACTATTCATTCATATTCAGCATTTGTTCAGGATCAAAATAATGAATATTTCTTGCTTTGTACTAAAACAACATGCTGAGCAAGATAGTTATATTGCTAAACATGTTGATCCCAAGGTATCAAAAAATTCCCTTACAATGCCTGTAACCCAATTTGTATCGTGCATTTTGTGTTGCAGAATATTCATTTTCATCAGAGACTCTGTTTTCATACTGTCTTGTGCAAAATATTTATTTATTCTAGGGTATAACCAGGCCAGGATATTTATTTTCAAAGTCCTCCTCTATGAAGTTAATGTGTTTAAAGTAGTGACATAGAAGTGAGTAACAAATAATTCCTTCTTACTATAATTGACTGTAATTCATAAAACTACGTCACGTCGTTGCCGTCTGCAAATGTTCCGGATAAAAATATTCCGGATTGCATCCGAACTTTGTTGTACGCCTTCGATTTCCGGTTGCACGTTGCAAAAGTTTTGGATCTCCAGTACAACTGTATTTAAAGCTATTAACCTGTTAACATTGTATTACGATGCAGTTCGACATCAGAAGGTGCTGTAATATGTTATTGATTTTTAGCTTTGTGTCCACCTATAAACAAAATGATTAAAAATCACTACTGTATGTTTTTATATACAGAACAGCTGTGATTTGTAGGTTATCGGCTTGTCGGCTTCATTTCACATCAAATCAAAATGACTTATTTGCTTATTATTGCTCTCACCAGTTGTCACAGAAAAAGAAAAAAAAATACTCAATTATCCCCATGTCTAAATGTTCCTGTTTGAATGATTATAACATTTAATGCAGAATGAACATTCCAGTTCCATTTCGATTTCCTTCCGACATCATACATTATACATTATACATGTATACTTAGTTACTTATAGTTTATTTCCAGTACAGGATCCAAAAGGTCCCTCTTCACCAGACTCATAATTTAATCTGTTTGTTACACCATTTTTTCTGTATTATTATTTCTGTGACTGCTGGATAATTCTGCCCTATAATCATTGTAGTAGATAGATGTCTTCATTTATCCAATGCTTGTCTAACTGATTTTTAAAGGCATTTATGTAATCCCTTTTGGGATTCTGAGTCTGGAGCAATTTTCTGCTTTTGCCATCTCAGAATCCCTAATCAAGCACTATTAGTCAATTTCGAAATTTTTTTCCAACTACCTCACCTGGAACCTGTGCCTTTAACATCTTCAGCACTCGCTCACCTTAAGCAGGTAATAGTTGAATAGAAGACATATCAGCCTTTCAGAATCAGTTAAAATTTTGAAATACCTTACTTTAAAGGATAATTATAGATTCAGCTATTTTAACTATTCTTTCTCTTTTTATTGTCTGCGTTCTAATAATTCATCAACAGAAATGACACAGTGATAATTATATAATAAAAGTTTTGCTCGAAAAGGCTGTGGAATATTTCTGTTTCAAATCTTTACAAAACACCTTACTTCATTTAATTTTTTTTAATGTTATATTAAATTACAAAATATGATAAAAATGTATCTTATGCATAATGATGTGTCCAAAGTTAGGCGAGGTGTAAAGAAATTGAAACTGGAAATGAACACCCTGTAGAAGCCCATGGCTATACGGCTTTTCAGTATTGGACCGAGCTGAAAAACAATACTAACTCGTGATTTATATTAACAGGGGGATGTCATCAGTATTGCACATTCTGATATATCCACACTAGGGCTGATTTGCTCATATCATTTTCATGTAATACTAGGATATATATACATGTATGTATTAAAAGAGTTTAAATCTATTTTATGGGCGTAAATTATGCATCTTATGTCCCTTTAATTTATAAACTTCAAAAGTCATATATGCATAAAAAAACACTAGAATTGTAGCAAACAAATCAGTATGAAACAAATAGGAGAATACAAATGTTGAAAAATTATTGGAGTAAACATTCAGAATAGCCCTGTTGACATGCATGTAAGATTGACAAATTTTTATGCCCCTGCCGTACTACATGTCTACATCTACAGCATACATTTATGTTCTTGTACATGTAGTACTTAAAGTCCATTATTATTAAAAATCTTATTTATATTTCAACGTTTAACCATGTCTACATCTATAGCATACATTTATGTACATGTAGTACTTAAAGTCCATTATCATTAACAATATTTGGTGTTTTTGTGTAAAGGTTTATTATGTATATGTAAAACCATGTACAACAGTACAAGTGTATTTCAGACTAAAATAGCTAGTATATTCATCTACATATACATCTATATTCAGTGACAATTTTCTATTTCAGATTTGATATTTATAGAAAAGTACCAAAAGATCTGACTCAGCCTACATTAACAGGAGCTTGTATCTCTATATCCAGTGTATTATTTATCTTGTATTTATTCCTATCAGAATTATCACTTTTCCTCACACATGAAGTGTAAGTATAAGTTATCAAAAGAATATGTACTGCCGCTATAGTTTGACGAAGGCTTTTTTGTAGTTTTGTATGAGGCATTTATATTTGCACTTCACCTCCATTATACATGTTATACCTTAAGATTACTTTACAGTCCCATGTTGCATTTTACAAAGGATCTTTTTTAAAAATTATACTGAATTGTCCATTCTAAAAAAGGATTGCTACCAAAAATACTGTAAACTAACTAATTTTCGCGAGCATTTTATTTTCGCAACTTTTGCAAGTATAGAGATAACATGAATATAAATCGTCACGAATATGTAAAAATTGCATCTTTCCTTATTTAACCACATCAAGTAAATTTGAAAATGGCGAAATTGAATAGCCGCAAAGTGGGCCAGTAAGCGGCTAAACGCAAAATAAAATATGTTCATTTTATATAAATTTTGTATTCTATTAGGGGGAACAAATATACGTTGACAGTATCCCAGTTTTGGTTTCTATTGGTGTAAATTGAAATAATTTGTTTTACAGAATAAGTGAGCTGACAGTAGAGGACCCAGTCCGACACACAGAAAAAATACCAGTATTTATTAATATTACATTACCACAATTGAAGTGTGAATGTGAGTAATATATTTCTAAAAAAAAGTGTAGTTTAGCTTTTTGATATTTTGTTGATTTCATGAAAAAAAGTTTTAAAATTATAAATGTATCATATGATATATTTATCAAAAAAAGTCTTTGCTGATAAATTTATAGCTACATGTGTAGCTGTTAAGAAGCTACATCATGCAAACTAAGAAAAGGTTTGATATCATAAGAATATTTCATGTAAATTCTCACCAGCTAATACAATCATTGGAATAAGCTTCACATGATAACAAGAAAATGGTTTGAAAGTTTCATATCTTATCAATTTGTGTTAAAAATATTGAGACATACAGTTAAATACATTAGCGCCTTTCCCCTTTACCCTTTTCATGTCATTATTGCTATTTTTTTAAAATGAGTATGATAAAAACAATTGTTTAATGGTAGCTTGGTAGGATTCCTTGATAGTTTTTTGTGGCCTGCTATACCATGTATACATGTATCCCAATCATTCACAAACTGTAAATCAAAACAAATAATGTTGATACCAATTTTGTGGATTGAGGAAAAAATGTAGTTTTGTGGATATTTGATTTGGTTGTTTAGCCAAAATCTGCCTACAGACCTATAGTTAACTTGTACTTCATTGAACATTAAATTTAGTGGTCTTCAAATACCCAAGAAATCCATGAAAATTGGTATCCTAAGAATAATAATGTATTTGTTATTTTTTCCTGGTTAAAATATAACTGATTTATTATGAAATCATGTCCACAAAATTATACCAAAGTTGGAATGTCAAAAAAAATGTTATCATTATATTAATATTGTAACAAATTTTGAGTTGTTAGCAAAAAAAAATGTTCTGGATGAGTCAGACATTTACAATTATTTTAAATATTTACAGATTTGGGTATAGACATACAGGATGATATGGGCAGACATGAAGTCGGTTTTCAAGATGACACACAGAAAATCGAAGTGAATGAAGGGAAGGGATGTAGAATGGAATCTCATTTTGTAATTAATAAAGTAAGTTTTTGCAGAATTAAATATGCCCAAGATTTATTCGTTTTTTGCAACTTCAGGTCAGGACTGATTCATCTTTATATGCAGTGTATAGCAAAATTTGTATCTGTGTTAAACTAGAAATATCACTTGACTGATTGTAGAGTAAAGATGTATGTACTCATGTCCCAATCTGGGATGAAAATTTATTTTCTTGAAAGTGTTGACCTTTTAACACTTTATTTATGACTCAGTGTTCCAGCTAGGTCGTTTTCACAGGGCAGTCCGCCCGCCCTTTCCCTAGTGCCGCCCTGTGCCCTTTTTACAGTTTGCAGGGCGCCCTGCCTTTTTTGAAGAATGATTGGTATATTATTTTGTTCGTATTGATATGATCAGCCAATTACGAAAATTTACCTGGCGACAAGTATTTGACTTTGTTTATGACCCCAAGCTAATCAACGGTTACAACAGGTGTCATAATCTGTTGTTATAGGTAATCCGTTTATCGGATGGGTCATTTAATGATCATCAACATTAATTCATTCAAATAGAATCGGTCAGTCGGCATTTGTCTTTGAACTTGAAGAAATGTTCATACAACTTGGGCACAATTAGCGATGTTTACCGTAGTTTCATGGAGAAAACGTAATTGACAGAAAGTCGAATCAACTCGTTAAAAACATTGCTGTTATTGTTTTCAGTGAAATAAATAGCAAATTAAGACATATTTTTCATTGACTGCCTTCATTTTTTATACGAAAATAACAAAATCGGCCGCCATATTGTTGATCGTATTTACATCTTCTACGTACTGTTAATTATCCTCCAAAGAAGGAGCACACCCAAATAAAGAAAGATAACTCAATCTTATTTTTTCCTAGCATTGAGTAACCTACTAAGATATTATAAAATATGTCTTCATACTTCTGGCTTTAGAATTTATATGTTTAGGTGTTTTGAGTTATGGGAAAAGTTAAAGAGGGTCTTAGTAGCACGGTTTTTAGGGTGCCTTGGTCATCTTTTTCTGTATTTTTTATTTTCAATCCAAATTTTCACTGTTCACTATATCCTAACATTGTGCATTTACAGCTGTTTTGTGCTGTATTGCCATTAAGCACAGAAAAGGTAGAAAGGTGAAACTTGTAAAGTGTGTCAGACCATAGAAACAGAATGAAGCAGGACATTTTTCAAAAAAATACTGCATATAAAGCTTGACTGTGCCAAGCAATGATTTAAAACTTGTGTCGCAAGCTGCTTAATAAGTTTTCAGCCTAAAAAGTAGAAAGATAGTTTTTCTCTGGTCTAATGATGTTGTTCTTGTATATTTATAAACAGTGATTCAATGAACAAACAATGTTTGATTATAATCTTTATTAAAACATGCCCTTTTCATATTATCATATCACGCGTTAAATGCCCTTTTTCAGGATTGGCACCCTGCCCTTTTGAAATCCTAGCTGGAACACTGTGACTACTAGATATCATCTCCCACACAACCTTTTTAATATCCTTTTTTATTTATTTTGCACATATATACCTTTTTTTTTAATTCAATAAATGTTTAAAACTAGGATATTAGTTATGGCATGGAAGTAATATTTAAAAGGAAAAACAACGTCGTCACTTCAAAGGTTTCATCTGCATTACCGCCCATCTTTCGATAACTCGTTAATTGGTTTAATATCTGGCATGGAAGTTGATTCTCCGCATGTGATCGATCAAATCACTGACAACTTTCGGTCATTTTCGTGTTCACGGAAAACTACGAACAGACAAGTTTTTGTCGTATATACGTGCGAAGTAACCTAAATAGTCCATTCGTTACATTCCGTTGATGTACGCTGCCGAATATAGTCATTCGTTCAATTTTTATTTTAGACCAATTTTCCTATTTCTGGTTAGTTCGATCTTAATAGTACCGACAGCTATCACATATGAAATTGGAGAACAAGGCTGGGTCATTTTCAATTTTAATATTAACAGACAGTTGAAAAGCCTTTCCGTAAGTTAAGAAGATGATTGTACAAAAAATACGTTTGGACCCCCTTTTATTAAATACGAATAATCTAAGTCTTTCGTGTATTAGTCAATTAAAATATTCACAATTCTAAACGGTTCTATCCTTTAATTTATAGGTCTTGATACATAAACTAATTCGTGTAAAATTTGATTTTGCCGTAAGACAGATAGCATCAAGCTCATTTTGTCGGTTTGTTTTAATTTTTGCTGTAGCTTGTTATATTAATACAAGTATTCCACAATAAACACTTTTTAAAAAAATATATGTTTACGAACATATTATCCCTATTTTAGCTGTCCAGTTTCAATAATGTAATCAATGACATTTATGACATGTACATAAATTTAGAATACTTCTCGATAAACTTTGCACATTTCAACAGTAAAAAAATCTATGTCTAGATTTGTCTACATTATTTTGTTAAAACATCATGTGAAACCTGATCGATTCATCGGTATTTAACTGTTTTACTCAGGATCCGCTTTTAACCGGAAAATACTTTTAGAACAGTTTAAAACAAACGGTAAAAAGCAAAAATATGCTAAATTAAGTACAATTTTCCATGCTAAACTGTTGTAGGTTGAACAATTCTCGTCCGTTTTTCAAGTTTTTTTACATCATACGACTTCTTTCTGAAGGTAGAGGTTTTATATGATACAGCGCCACCTTCTTATTAATAAACCTAGGATTTCACACAGGTGCATTATAATTACCGGACTCGATAAAATCATGTGACTGATAAGAAATTCCAGATGCCATTTTACAACCGCGGTATCATAGATAGTAACCAAAGGGGTCTTACCGCTGAGACTATAATTGGATAAAATCATATGACTTCAGTACAGAGCTCTGCAGGCTGTTAATACATGCTAATTAGTCGTTGTTATTCCTTTTAAATATTACTTCCATGGTTATGGTATGTGTTTTGCAGGTTCCAGGTAATTTTCATGTATCGACTCATTCATCTAGAACTCAGCCAGATAATCCTGACATGACACATTTGATACATAAAGTCAGGTTTGGTATGGACTTACAGGAAGGGAAGGTAAATATAAAGTCAAATTGATTTTTGAGTGAGGCATGTTTCTGAAAACCTACCTGTATAGTTAAATGTTTGAATGTATAATGTTTTTATAGCCTTAGGATATCAATTGAATAAGCAAACAAAAATCAGAAGAGTAGGTTTGCATATTTTTACGTCCTTGGTTTGAAGCAACAGATTGTAAATCAAACAGGAAAAAAAATGACCAGCACCTGCAAATATATTACATTTAGCTAAAACTGAAGCTTCTTGAATACTTGCCAAACATATCATCTTAGAATTGATTGTTTGATTTTCATGGGAAATTTTCTTTTGACTTAACAACAGCACTGGAAACGATATATTATAACACATACAACCTACAACTTTCTCTATAAAATACTTACATAAATTGGCATCCCTGAGAGAACAAAATGCACTAATTTACCTGAATACACCGTAACAGAAATGATTTGTTTTACAGGAAGTTAAAGGATCGTTTAATCCCTTAGAAGATGTAGATAGAAGTGCAGGTCAAGGTAAGAACATGCATATGGCTACCATAACTGAAATAAATCTTATTTCGTTCTTAATACAAAATCTTCTTAGAGTTCTATCATAAATATCCATAGTGTTCTGTCTGAAAAATGGGGAAAAGGTCTTAGTTGCTCTACCTTTCCTTTTGATAAAATTTAAATGTTTGTCTTAAAAAACTGAAAAAATCTGCGGTGTTGTGCCTAAAAAAAATTACGCGAAGAACCTTTCCTGTTTCTTAAAAGAAGGCAAAAATTAGAAAGGACATAATCTTGAGTAGCCTATCTTAAAGTCTCTAAAATGGGTAAAATATTGTAAGTGTCTGTTGGAAAAATGTAAAAAGAATTTGAATAATGTTCACATGCCCATTGTTTGAAATTTTAAGCATTTTATTATATAAGCATAATCATCTAACAGATTTATTTATGAAATAGTCAACATTAGATTATATTTACATAAACACCTCTGCACCAATGAAAATTCAATTACTAGCATATATTTATGATGCTAATAAGTGTTTTGGAAGAAGGGAGACAACTCCATTTATAAAAAAAGATGTGATATGATTGCTAATGAGACAACTCTCCACAGGAGACCAAATGACACAGAAATTAACAACTATAGGTCACCATACAGCCTGCAACAATGAGTAAAACTCATACCGCATAGTCAGCTATAAAAGGCCCGAAATAACAAATCTAAAACAATTCAGACAAGAATTTGTTAATTTTGATTGTAATTTTTAAGAAAATATACCAAACAATGCATTCTATCATATATAAAACAACACTTTACCATATATCCAAACTTTAAATGCCATCACTTTATGTCAATAACAAAATAACCAAAAATTGGGACTTTCTGGCTTGGAACAATTGCAAACACTAAATAATGTTGAGTATAAACTCACACTATTGAAAATTTCTAGGTGATTTTAAATATTTACAGTACACTTTGACATATTCTAATGCATTTTCAGTTTGAAAGGTCAATTTTTGCTGTCATTTCTTTCTATAATATATGAATTAAGAAGACAAGAATTTGCATTATAACAAATAACTAGCTCAAAATAAAATAATGAAAAATATATACCACATCTTCTTATTTTTATATTGATATACATGTATTTCAATTTTTTCCTTCATTTATGATGGAGTTTAGATCTACTGTTTTTCACTATTTCTCTTCTGTCTATAGCTTTATTGCCATATTATTAGTTTGTGGACCTCCTAGGACTGTAGATTGTATGACAATCCTATCACAGAATCGGAAGTGTGCACACTTACAAAACTTGACATGACAAATAGTACCCTTTTAACTGTGTTGGTAAAACAATTTTGTCTTGCATATATGTTGTTTTTGTTTTAAATGTATACTGCTTAAGTTTTCTTACACTAATCTCGATTGTCCCAAGTGATAATTTTAGTATTTGTTATTATTATTATTTTTATACCGCTAAAGCCAAACAAGATTATAGGTTTGCAGTCTGTCTGCATATCCGTCTGTCAGTCAGTTTGTGCTTGTTCTAAAATTTTTCCCAATGTTCAGCTCTTGTGGTGGAAAAATTCATTGCATTTCAAGTTTTTCATCAAGGGTGGATATATTGGCCTTATTTTTGGTATATATGAAAGTTTAAAGTCCTACCATTTATATTCGTGATATTCAAGCTGAGGAAAAGCAATACAAGCTTTTTTTCATGTTATAGGTGGTTATTGCTTGGTTTTTGTTGGAATATTTTATGTTATTATACTTCACGTAAAAATGCAATATTTTGATTGGCTTATACGAGGGTGTTAATTTACTCTATTCTATGGTAAATACTCTATTACCCTTCACGGAGACGCTTGATCAAGTGTGCGCTTTATTAAATACGACTCTATCCTATGGCAAATACTCTATTACCCTTCACGGAGACGCTTGATCAAGTGTGCACTTTATTAAATACGGATGGTTGTTATGTACAAGGCGTCATAGTTTATTACTTTGAATTTGAAATTTAATCGACAGTAATAACAGAACATTCAGTATAATAAATTTAATAACACATATCGGAGAGGGTGATAGAGCAGATTGTTACCCCTCGAAAAGACATTGTCAACCTCTCAGCTATGTGTTATTTATATAATGTATCACATTCCCCAATGAAGGAACTAAATTTCAATTTCTTTTAAGTATTATTAAAATGAATTTCTTTGGACAGACCATTCTCTACTTAAAACATTTTTCAGAGTTTTTTTCAATGAAAAAAAGTAAAATAACAAAAATACCGAACTCCAAGGAAAATTCAATTTGGAAAGTCCCTTATCAAATGGCAAAATCAAAAGCTCAAACACATCAAACGAATGCAAAACAACTGTCATAGTCCTGACTTGGTACAGGGATTTCCTTATGTAGAAAATGCTGGATTAAACCTGGTTTTATAGCTAGCTAAAACTCTCACTTGCATGACAGTTGCATAAAATTCCATTATATTGACAACAATGTGTGAACAAAACAAACAGACATAATAGGTAAAAATGTCAAAAATAGGGGTACAGCAGTAAACATTGTGTTATAATCTTAATCACTATAAAAACAAACAAATATGTCAACAAAGAAAAACAAAATGCCATATAGACAAAGCACATAAGCAAAAATAACAGACAAGAATACAAAAAATGACCACAGCACAACAACACAATGGCAGAATGCATAAGTACCGAGCCACGCCAAAAGGATATTACCAAAAATGGACTAAACAGTAAAGGTTAATAATTTAAAAAGACAAATAAAAGAATGTTCTTCTTTTTAGCTTTAGCAACTCATAACTACATTGTAAAAATAGTTCCATCAGTTTATGAAGATAAGAGGGGTAATGTAGGATACCCTTACCAGTATACATACTCTTATAGGGTTAGTATGTGGGCTGTGCATGTCACAATCCTTATTTGTGAATGAACCAATTATCAGACAGTAGCCATTTTCTCATCAAGGAAGGCATATGGTAGATCTGTTTATACTTTGTCATTAGCTAAAAGTTGATTGATTCTTTTTGTCAATTTATGTCTATCTTAGTGTTTTTCATAGAGCATTTTTGAATGGATGTATCAGTTTTGATTACCATATAAATTTCTTTTAACATAATTTTCCCCTGTAATGCTTCAGTTTTTAGAACCACCATGCATGCTTTAGTTATTCGCATCATTCATTGTTGGAAAACACTTATGACAGACAAGCAGTCTAATATTTAAATGTTTCTTTCTCAATTGAACAGCTTCAGATTTTTTCCAACAAACCAAAGCAACTATTTTTGAGAAAATGGTTACTGTTCTAAATGTGTCAAATGTTGCAAGTCACATCTATTTTGTTGCTTGGTTTTGAAATTGAAAATTGAAAATTTGCGATCGGAATTATTTCTGAAGAATATTTACAATTTTTGTTTTCCGATTTGGCGTCATTAACATGAAGACTTCAACATGTATAATATAAAATTTCTGTAAACTTAGAATAGATGTGAGTTGAAACAGTTGTGGATGATCCTAAATTCCTTGTGTGATATTCAACTTATGTTCCAGTTTTGTATATTTATAGCACTAGCAACACACGATTACATCGTTAAAATTGTACCAAGTGTGTATGAAGATGTTAGGAGGAATATCATATACCCCTACCAATACACTTATTCTTACAGGGTTTGTATTACAACATGCATGCAAATTCAGAGAAATTATGGAACAAAGGGAGATAACTATTTATATCATTCTGTTTCTTTGTTTTACTAAAATAAAGCATGCTTTAGAATTGTTCATTGTTGTAGGTTAAAATAAATTTGTTTAAATGTGTGTTTCCATTTGCTTTAGAATCAAAGTTATAGTCAATAGATCAACATATTGAATTATTGAAACAAAAGATTATGTTGCCAGAGATCTTAACACTTCCAGTACCTATCTGAAATTTGCCACCTAAAAATTAGGATTATGATCCTAAGACAACTGAAAACAGATATTTTTTATTTGGCCTTATTAGATCAGTTTTGATCTATTTTTATTTGACCTTAGAAGGATCAGTTTTGATCTATTTTTATTTGACCTTAGTAGGATCGATTTTGATTGACCACTTCATTTTCAGATTTCTTGAATTGGAAAACAGTTTTGTTGCATGCATGCTAAGGTACAGATATAATACAGTTCAGGCCAGTGATGGTTTCTGAATGTTGAACTAATGTCTTGAAAGCATGTTATTGCTTAATATATTCTACTAACATGAATAAGCAAAGATTGATTTGTTTGAATTTTTATTAAATTTCTACTGTATAAGATGAGCATGTGATGTCAGCACACTTATACTCTATTCAATAAGGTGAGCAGATAATTTCACCAAAAATAATTCATGGACCAGCATTTTTATAATGAGTATAAATCTTAAAATGAGGAAAAAAGTTCTATACAGAAGTGTGTCTGTGAGGTCCTGATGGCAAACTTAACTAGCTTTTCATTAGTGAAGATCTCCCTTGTATAGCTTGAGGTGTGTAGATGAATCTATAGTTGATATGGTGACAATGTTACACATGTTTATTAAGCCAAGCTGCTGTGTTTGCATCTGTAGAATGGTGAAGGGGATATTCTTACTGATTATTTGTCTGGATAGTTATTACCAAAAAAAAGCAATGTTTTAAATAATTTTTTTATTGTGTATTTATTTGTGTGTGTCAAATAGAAACACCCTAATTTCCATCATCCATTTACTTCAGAAGTCATTCCTTAAAGTTCTTCCAGAGTTATGGAACTTTATTTGTGAAAAGCCCTTTTCATTTTTTTTCTCAATAACTCAGGTTTACATTAATCAATTGATGTGAAATTTTTAAATGGTGTTTAGATTGATATAACACCAATTAAAACAGTTTTTTACTCTGATACTGGCGAAACTGTCATAATTACATTGATGCAGGAAAACGGTAGAAATGGGCTAATTGTGGTAAATATAAACGGTTTATTTTAAAAGTGTTGTAAAACTAACAAACTTCAGAAAGGTTTCACATTTAAGATAATACTTTAATTTGTTTATCAGTAACTTGTTGTAGGTTTTGTTAGGGTTATAGAAATACAACAGGTCTAGATTTAATGACAAGACTTGTTTTTTAGGAAGTAATGCAGTATGGTCATGGCGGACGTGTAGTACCTGCTATATGGTTTAGATATGAACTCAGTCCAATCACAGTTAGATATATTGAAAAGAACAAACCATTTTATACTTTCCTTACAACAGTAAGTAATGCTAAGTTATAGGTAATTCAATACTCTCTACTCTTGTGCCAATGATTTCAGCATATATTTTATAACTTAAGGTAGATCTTGTGTCTTTTTCTGAGCATCCCTTCTGAGGATGTTGCAAAAAAAATATTTTGGTTTGAAAATATTTTATAAAGTATCATATAATATACAACAGAAATATCTAAAACTTGAAATTTAAAAATTCCTAAATAAGGAAAAATTAAGTTTCCCCTATATAACCCAAATGAAATAATTGATTTCATTAATATCAATGTATATTAACCAAAAAAACAAGTCTGTGACCCCAAGTTTTTATATTGAAATTTGAAAGTATATTGACGAAGAAGTCTTTTACAGAAGTTTATGAAAAATCTATTGTCAAATATTTCGATGTCCCAGCTACCTTATTAAACCTTATTTAATTATGCAAGGAATTGATTTATTGAAATATTATGAAACTTTAAGTAACACCATTTGAAAATAAAATATCCATGTAATTTAGATATATTTAACAGAGTTGTAACTTATTTCCATTTTAGGTGTGTGCCATAGTTGGAGGAACATTTACAGTAGCTGGTATTTTAGACTCTTGTATATTTACTGCTGCAGAAATCTTTAAAAAGGCAGAATTGGGAAAATTGAGTTGATGGATGACATGTTTTAGTTTTCAAATTCTCCTCTCTTTTTTCACTGTAAAAGATCTATCGTTATTTACAGAAATTCCAATGTTAATATTGACCAATGCAATACTGCTAATGAATGTCTAAATTCAATTAAGAGGTAGAAACCATGATATGAATAAATTAGCATTTGAGGAATTTTTCTTTGATAATTATAATGCAATTTTGGTATTATTGAGATTAATCAGTGGGTTTTTTTCTGATTTCAACTACATGTGTATTTCTAAATGGAAAATGTAGATCAGTATATGGATTAAGGTCTTTATTATCACTCACTAAAAGATACTTTGAGAAGGAAAACAAAGGTTTATTAAAAATAGAAAAAAACTGTCAAAAATTTCCAGATATGAAGCTATATAATAATAACCAAAACCAAAGCAACATAGTTGTAAAATTTCTAAAATTAGACGTAAGGAAAATTTTGTTTTAAAGTCTATTGTTAATATTTTTTATATATCAAATTTAACTACTGGTTATTCACGTTAAGTCATATAATATAAAAGAATATCAATTATAAAGTCATTTTAAGCAATATTTTAGTAAAAAAAAATATTATTGTTGATGAGATTGCATGAAAAGATATTAGACTTTTAAGTATTGGCTTATCTTTAATGTTTATAAGCTTTTATCAACAGAAATTGTTAGTCGTTTAATAGATGTTTTATTTGTGTGGTTGTAAGTTTCATGTGTATTACAGGTTGAATGAAGTACTGCTTTTATAACTTTACTGCTCACAGACAGCTCTCTTTAATAGTGTTAAAAATCTCATGTTCTCCATCATCTTTTCCCTTTGCTATTATTTTTTTTTAAATCTCTTATTGGTGGAAATTAGATTACTATTTCAAATTTCTTTGCTGATCTTGGCAATTTAATGATAACCATATAATATAATTTCTGTTATTTGGTTGTATATTTATTAACTTCTTTGGGTAAAAAAATCTGTAATCCACATCAAATTGGGTACATTTATCTGCATGTTTTGCTAAATTGTCAGATTTAAGATGTAGATAAATTGTATCCCGCTAGTCGCAATTTAGGCAGCTATTTACATTGCAATACTATCACTTTGGTTTGGTTTCAGATTATAAATCAAATTCCCTCTGATAACAAATGATGAACAGCTATTAAATAAATTTATCATAAGTTGTATATGTAAAATAACTATAACAATGCCTTAATTTGTAAGAGTTTGGTTTTTTCTGAACCCCACCTGTCGTCATCTTTTTGTCAGCTCAGTGAAATAAATCAAATTATCCTATTGTACTCCCTGTGTGTATTCAAGAGTGTGGTGAGAGATTGTTCAATTTTATGTTGCCATTGGTTGCCTTTTTGTTATTTTTTATTTGTTTTACAGATCAGTAACTTTGACATATTTGTTATATTTCTTACATTCATTTTAAAAACAAATCATATGTGTATCTGATTGAATCTCTGTGTTCTGATTGGTGTTTATGTGATCATGTGAATTGTAAATGTGGTTGTTTTATACCCTGATGAAGTACAAGTGTTTAAAAGGCATGCATGCTCTTCCATGATAGTGATTTTATTAAAATGGCAATAACCAAGGAATTTCTGGCTTCATAAGGGTGTCATTTTTAGGCAAGATTGGGTTTTCATGCAAGTAATAATGTATTCACATAAGAAGTTATGGAACACTCCAATAAGGATGTGAAAATAATCAGCTTATTCTCTGTCAGTCATTATTATTTTCTCTTTTGTTAATCAGCATTTGTATATAAGCAATATATTTAAAAACTGCTTGCAAGCTATCCTTTATCTAAAGCAGCTACAGAATTATAATTTTATATAATACAAAACGTAAAATGTTGAACTGTAAAATGTCATATTTATATAGTATTTGCTTTGCTTCTGATAGCAAAAAAAAATATTTCCTCATACTTTTTGAGGACACACATGGTTTTCTTTTCAATTTCCTCATGCTCCTTGAGGACACACATTTGTTTTTTTTTATTTCTTCTTACTCTTTGAGGACTCTTCAGTATTTTTTTTCTTTTGATTTTAATCTGCCCTTTGAACTTAGTATTTTCAATTTTGTATGCTTATGTCTGTCATATATTGTAGTTTTCAAAGAGGTGCTCTTATTAACATTCCATATTATATGTATTTTTGTTATTGATTTCATAATTCAGGTTCATATCCTAGACTTCTGTAAAGGCTTTAACAGACAGCATTTAGACTCAAATTAGTTAAAGCCATCCTTTTCTATATTGCCTGTCATTAAGATGAACTAAATTTTGTGTACTCAATAGAAAAAAATAGTGAAAATCTTCATAAATGCATGTAAAAATCTTAAATCATGTTTGCTCAACAGAAAATTCATTAAAATCCTTTACCCTACACAATATTTGTTTATATAATCCTGTGCACACTATCAATTAATAATAAACTTGTTGTGCCCTGTATAGAATTATCACTCATTTGGCACTGGCTGTGAATCAAGCAAAAATCAATTAATCGTTTGGTTTCCATGTAAATACTAAATTTCCAACATTTAAATAATTGTAACATTATATTTTGAGGATAATTTGTATTGCAGCTTACAATTCTTCATTCTTTTTTTACTATTGTTTATGAAAAATAGGGTAGGATTCTACAGTTTGATGTTCAGAAGTTACTTCATAAAAAATTCTATTTATATTTTTGTCAGAGTTTTACTTTTTATAGTTGTTGTTAGTTAAGTGATTGTTAGGGTATTTGTAAATATGTTAATATTGTTTCTGTTTTGATGAAAATGTTGTTAGGGTGTTAAATATTTGAGGATTAATTTTATTGAAATATGAGTACTGGTAGTTCGTAAATGTATATCTTTTATGATAAGGTGTTGCAGTTTCACATGCCAAGGCCAGTACATTGTACTAGTCATTGAAATAATACTATGAACACATTGATCTAGAAATATAAACACATGGATCTAAAAATATTAACACATGGATCCGAAAATATAAACACATTGATCTAAAAATATGAACGCGTTGATCTTTAAATATAAACGCATTTATATAAAAATATAAACACATTGACATAACACTATAAAGAAATAGAATTATGTATGAACACAAAAAAATAACTTTGATACAACTTCATATAATGTTTTCTATAAGAACACAAAAAAATAACTTTGATACAACTCCATATAATGTTTTCTATAAGAACACAAAAAAAAATAACTTTGATACAACTCCATATAATGTTTTCTATAAGAACACAAAAAAATTACTTTGATACAACTCCATATAATGTTTTCTATAAGAACACAAAAAAATTACTTTGATACAACTCCATATAATGTTTTCTAAAAAAAAACAATCTTTCTCAAAAAATTTTTTAAACAGGTCATTGGCCTACAGGATTTAAATTTCCAAAGTATGACTTTATAAAGAGAAATTCTACTTAACAGAGAAAGACATAGTCCCAGGAATGCATAATTTTCAGTTTGTTTTTGTAATTTTTTTTTATAAGTGAAGTGACATAATAGATTTCATCTAAAGAAAATTTAGGACATATCATTATAATAACTTTGAATTTGATATCATTTTGAGAAAGGTAATATGAACAAATATGATACCTGTGTATTCTGAGATAGGTAATATGATAGCTGTGTTCAACATACTGATAGTTCACAGCTCAAGTTTCTATTAAAAAGCTAAATCATTGAAATTGACCATGACAAACATTGGAACTGTTAAAATATTTGTATATATTTAATTTCAATTAGATTTGTTTCTTATGAAAATGAATCTGAGAAATAAATTATTCCTGTATTTCATTACATTATTTTTATAGAACAATGTTATATTTTGAATAGCTGAAAGTTTTCCTATTTTCAGGAAAAATCTATTATCACATTATGTGTTTAGATTGTAAATTCAGTTCACTGTTGGTAATAGTCAGGTGTTTCGGGAAACTGGATATGATATATATATCTGAGATGAGATACTGTAAATTCAGAAATTATTGCAATGTTTTTATTTATATGAAAAATGTAACAGTATCAGGTTTGCAATAATAAAAACTCGCATTCTTAATTTCAGCAGTGATTTCCTTCATAAAACATTTGCAATTACAATAATATAAGAATTCACATGATTTGGCAGAGGTCAAGGATTTGCAATAATAAATGCACACACTAATTTCAGAATTTAGTCGTCACATCTTGCCAGTAATGCATGAACTGTCAAATGATTTAAGTTAAAAAAAATCATACTATGCTGCTCTGGATATTGATTTTTATCAGAAAATAAATAAAAAAATGAAGTTTTTAACTACAATTAATATTTGTTACCTTTCTGAAGATGGACAAGAAGATACTCCTAAATCTAAAATGATCATGAAAGCTTTCATGAAATATATGCAACATTTAATGATGGATACTAAAATCTTCATTTAGCTGACCACAAATTGGTAGTTCATAATTGTGGATGTTTAAATAGTAGAGTTCAGGGTTATTTTAGTATTTATGGACCAAATTGTGTATTTGGATAGATTTGTATATTTTTTTATGACCAGTAACAATTTTTTCAACAGCTTGTGGTGTGGGAGAGTGCAGGAATATATTTATTTTCAAATAAAAGTAAAAAAATACATCTTCATATTATGTTTTGTTTACAAATATCAAACATTGATTATGAATTAAAAAAAATATGTGGGTTTTACATAAATGTGACAGCAACCGAAGAACAATAAAACCTCAAGGACATCTAGAGGTCATCACAGAGTGTTCTACAATAAACAAGTGTATATAGTATGATAAGCTCTAAATCACAATGCATTTAGAAAACTGAAGTACTGTGGATTCATTATTATTCGTTGGGTACCAATTTTCGTGGATTTCGTGGATACAGGTAAACCACAAATTTAAATGTTCAACGAATTACACATTTTCTATAAAGTTGTATGCAAACTTTGGCAAATCCACGAAATCTGATATCCACGAAAATGCAAGTTTTTCTCAATCCACGAAAATAAATGAATCCACAGTAATTAACAGACTGTTCAAGATCTGACATCAATCCTTCATTCCTTAACGGAAAAAAAGCCAAAGATTTAACTAAAGACAACCACTGACTGAGTTTGGTTTAGTACATAATTATATGGCATGGTTAAACAATTTCTGAGTACTTATCTATCATTCTTCTAAACTAAATGGGGCCTTGTTGGCTGAGTGGTCTAAGGAGTTCATCTACTGCATCACTAGCCTGTCAACATTGGGGTTGTAAGTTCAAACCCTGCACGAGTCTGGTGCACTCGGCTCCTATCCGAACTGACCAGGATTGTAATTTTTCGTGATAAAAGTCGGTGGTTCTAACCAGGCACTCCGCCTTCCTCCATAAATAAAAAATTGACCGCCATGATATTGCCAATTGTGCTGAAAGTGGTGTGAAACACCAACAAGATATCATTCGATGTGAACTCGATAAGTGGAATAACAAAAGTTACATATGAAAATGTATAATAAAAACCTATAAAGTACAATGGACAACAAAAACACCGGTACATGGTATGAAAACATTCTTTTAAAAAAAATGCAGAAAGTTACTGAAAGCATTTTAAAGTAAACAAGCATGCTAAGGGTATTGCTAGTGCATTATAATGTCAGCAGCAATCCATCATCATCATTATAATGCCCCCTACTGCTTTATTATTTATGTTGGATGAGTTTACACTTATTACAGACAAGCGTTAAGATGCTGCTGTTGTAGTTTGGAATTTCAATCATTAATTGGGTCAGAATATTTATTTAAAGATGCCGATATTGTTAATGAGTATGCACCCTTTTGTTGTTTCAATGCTAAACATATGGAAATTTTATAGAAAATCCACAGCCTTCCCCCTTGTACTCTAATATTTGACAATTCGATGCTTGATAGATAGAGGATTATTGCATGCAGTGCTAGCAATGATTTCCTTAAAACAAGTTTATAAATTATTGAAACAAACATAAATATGGACCAATTCAAGTACACCTTCTAGGGTGCCCTTGACTTTTAATAGCGACTCAGCAAGAGGTTTTTTGGAATGTTAAGGTTGTTAGAGACTTTTTGTAAACAATAAATGCTAGCACATCATGGACAAACAAGTGAGTAATCTATGTTTAAAATTTTATAATGCAAATCTCTGTATTAAAGTCTGTGGATTTTCTGCAAAAATCTTGGCTTTATTTGCAACAAAATCCCCAATTTCTAATAAATGCAAAACAACTATAAATAATATTGCTTTGAACGAAGTTTCCCTTTGGTATATGTACAAAATGGCACATCTCTATTATTCATTATATTTGCTGTTTTGATATTATCCCACTTTGACAATTTCGTAATATACATGGCTACAGAAGGGGTCATAAACCATAACTGCAGGCCTAATCAATTCCTTGAGGTATCAAGGCTTTTATGCTTTAAAAAAAATATCTAAACATTTTTCTGTACCAGAGGACCTTAATAATCGCTCAACTGAAACGAAACTAAAAACTTGATCTGCTACATCTTATGATATGATCTACAAATGTATATTCAAAATACCTATTCAATTGTTTCTGGAATTACAGAAGAAAAAGTGCATAACTGATATTTTCAACAATTTTCAATGTCTGAGGACATCCTCTGCAAAAATTGCTCAACTTAAACCAAACTCAAGCTTGATCAGTAACTTCTTATGATAGGACTACTATATCAGTAACTTCTTATGATAGGACTACTATATCAGTTACTTCTTATGATAGGACTACTATATCAGTTACTTCTTATGATAGGACCACTATATCAGTAACTTATTATGATAGGACCACTATATCAGTAACTTCTTATGATAGGACTAATATATCAGTAACTTTTTATGATAGGACTACTATACCAGTAACTTCTTATGATAGGACTTCTATATCAGTAACTTCTTATGATAGGATCACTATATCAGTAACTTCTTATGATAGGACTACTATATCAGTAACTTCTTATGATAGGACTTCTATATCAGTAACTTCTTATGATAGGATCACTATATCAGTAACTTCTTATGATAGGACTACTATATCAGTAACTTCTTATGATAGAACTACTATATCAGTAACTTCTTATGATAGGACTACTATACCAGTAACTTCTTATGATAGGACTACTATATCAGTAACTTCTTATGATAGGACTACTATATCAGTAACTTCTTATGATAGGACTACTATATCAGTAACTTCTTATGATAGGACTACTATATCAGTAACTTCTTATGATAGGACTACTATATCAGTAACTTCTTATGATAGGACTACTATATCAGTTACTTCTTATGATAGGACTACTATATCAGTTACTTCTTCTGATAGGACTTCTATATCAGTAACTTCTTATGATAGGACTACTATATCAGTAACTTCTTATGACAGGACTACTATATCAGTAACTTCTTATGATAGGACTACTATACCAGTCACTTCTTATGATAGGACTACTATACCAGTCACTTCTTATGATAGGACTGCTATACCAGTCACTTCTTATGATAGGACTACTATACCAGTAACTTCTTATGATAGGACTACTATACCAGTAACTTCTTATGATAGGACTACTAAACCAGTAACTTCTTATGATAGGACTACTATATCAGTAACTTCTTATGATAGGACTACTATATCAGTAACCTTCTTATGATAGGACTACTATATCAGTAACTTCTTATGATAGGACTACTATACCAGTAACTTCTTATGATAGGACTACTATATCAGTAACTTCTTATGATAGGACTATTATATCAGTAACTTCTTATGATAGGACTACTATACCAGTAACTTCTTATGATAGATCTACTGTATCAGTAACTTCTTATGATAGGACTACTATACCAGTTACTTCTTATGATAGGACTACTATATCAGTAACTTCTTATGATAGGACTACTATACCAGTAACCTTCTTATGATAGGACTACTATATCAGTTACTTCTTATGATAGGACTACTATATCAGTAACTTCTTATGATAGGACTACTATATCAGTAACTTCTTATGATAGGACCACTGTACCAGTAACTTCTTATGATAGGACTACTATATCAGTAACTTCTTATGATAGGACTACTATATCAGTAACTTCTTATGATAGGACTACTATACCAGTAACTTCTTATGATAGGACTACTATATCAGTAACTTCTTATGATAGGACTTCTATATCAGTTACTTCTTATGATAGGACTGTGATAGGACAACTATACCAGTAACTTCTTATGATAGGACTACTATATCAGTAACTTCTTATGATAGGACTACTATATCAGTAACTTCTTATGATAGGACTTCTATATCAGTAACTTCTTATGATAGGACCACTATACCAGTAACTTCTTATGATAGGACTACTATATCAGTTACTTCTTATGATAGGACTACTATATCAGTTACTTCTTATGATAGGACTACTATATCAGTAACTTCTTATGATAGGACTACTATACCAGTAACTTCTTATGATAGGACTACTTATGATAGGACTACTATATCAGTTACTTCTTATGATAGGACTACTATACCAGTAACTTCTTATGATAGGACTACTATACCAGTAACTTCTTATGATACGACTTCTATATCAGTAACTTCTTATGATAGGACTACTATATCAGTAACTTCTTATGATAGGACTACTATATTAGTAACTTCTTATGATAGGACTACTATACCAGTCACTTCTTATGATAGGACTACTATACCAGTAACTTCTTATGATAGGACTACTGTACCAGTAACTTCTCATGATAGGACTACTTTACCAGTAACTTCTTATGATAGGACTACTATATCAGTAACTTCTTATGAGAGGACCACTATATCAGTAACTTCTTATGATAGGACTACTATACCAGTAACTTCTTATGATAGGACTACTTTACCAGTAACTTCTTATGATAGGACTACTATATCAGTAACTTCTTATGAGAGGACCACTATATCAGTAACTTCTTATGATAGGACTACTATACCAGTAACTTCTTATGATAAGACTACTATATCAGTTACTTCTTATGATAGGACTACTATACCAGTAACTTCTTATGATAGGACTACTATACCAGTAACTTCTTATGATAGGACTACTATATCAGTAACTTCTTATTAGAGGACCACTATATCAGTAACTTCTTATGATAGGACTACTATACCAGTAACTTCTTATGATAAGACTACTATATCAGTTACTTCTTATGATAGGACTACTATACCAGTAACTTCTTATGATAGGACTACTATACCAGTAACTTCTTATGATAGGACTACTATACCAGTAACTTCTTATGATAGGACTACTATATCAGTAACTTCTTATTAGAGGACCACTATATCAGTAACTTCTTATGATAGGACTACTATACCAGTAACTTCTTATGATAAGACTACTATATCAGTTACTTCTTATGATAGGACTACTATACCAGTAACTTCTTATGATAGGACTACTATATCAGTTACTTCTTATGATAGGACTACTATATCAGTTACTTCTTATGATAGGACTACTATACCAGTAACTTCTTATGATAGGACTACTATACCAGTAACTTCTTATGATACGACTTCTATATCAGTAACTTCTTATGATAGGACTACTATACCAGTAACTTCTTATGATAGGACTACTATACCAGTAACTACTTATGATAGGACTTCTATACCAGTAACTTCTTATGATAGGACTACTATACCAGTAACTTCTTATGATAGGACTACTATATCAGTTACTTCTTATGATAGGACTACTATACCAGTAACTTCTTATGATAGGACTACTATATCAGTTACTTCTTATGATAGGACTACTATACCAGTAACACTTTTTTGAAATGGTATTACTCCAATTCTTTCCATATGCAAGTAAGAGTCAGAATGATTATCAACTGTCATGATTTTCAAATAATTACACTCAAAGGTGTAAGTATTAATTGGAAACAACCTCAATTTTAATTCACCACAGTTAATATCGCATGACCTGTTACATAATTAAATAGACACAATTTATCACACACCCAACTGAATACACACATTCTTGACATCAATAGTAAACCTACAAATGTATTATATATTTTAATCTACACTACATTAAAATATTCTGTTAATTTTGCTAGCTAGCTGAATGATTAATCAGATGTGTTTTTTTTTCAAAGAAAATACAAAAAATGAAAAAAATATGTATAAAAAATGCAAGCAAATTTTATTTCACTTGTAAAATCAGTGTCATTATCATCTGACATAAGTCAATAATCAAGTTCTAATTAATTAGTTACAATTATCAGAAATTTGGTTGAAACAATAAACAAAATTGCATAACTCTTACCTGAGCATTTTCTGCAATAAAATTTATTTGTTTGTTCTATATTTATATCCCATTATATTGCTATTTTAACAGTAAATGGAAATATCTCAGCATTAGGTAATTGTAGATTCAAGATTCAATACTTTATTATTGTACATTTAAATTTGAATACAGGAAATGTATTTTTTCTTAATGAAGAATGAACACCAATTCAGATAAAAAATAGTTATTATTTTTTTTTATTTTTGTTGTTGAGAAAGTGCATTTCGAAGGCCTCTTTCTGGAAATTATCAAGCCAGTTATAATTAATGGCATATAAACAAATATATTACTTGTTTGACGATTTCCCTTTCCATTCTTGTCAATGACATTAAATTGCAAATATTTATATAAAAAAAAAAATCTGACAAAGTCTAAAATTGAAATATCAATGTATATATCAATATTTGCATCAATATTGCAAAATTCCCTACCTTTGGACATTAACATAGAAATTTTACAGTAAGATTGGAAATGAAAAGAGAAAAAAGAAATTGAAAACAGTAGAGTCAGAAAGAATATCAGACTAGCTATGAATATGGCTGGATCACATCGACGATGCTTTGATTTACTAAAATAATTGGGTAAAAAACATCTACAAAAGGATAATGACAAAAACACATCCATATCTTAATACCAATTCACATTTGCAGTCTTAGATGTATAGAAGTATCAAACAATAAGTTACAATTTGCCTTTTAAGTTTGATAACAGATGTGTAGAAAGTAAAATAACAAAAATACCGAACTCCAAGGAAAATTCAAAATGGAAAGTCCCTTATCAAATGGCAAAATCAAAAGCTCAAACACATCAAACGTAAGAAAAACAACTGTAGATCAATGATGTAAATATAAAAATAAGAAAATGTGGTATGATTGCTAATAAGACAACTCTCTACCAGTGATCAAATGACATAGAAGTTCATAACTATAGGTCACTATAAGCATGAGAAGCCATTGACGGTATTTTTCAATACTTTCATATTCTACAATCAAGATTCTGATTTTCATACACTTCCTAAAAGCAAGTTCCAGTAAAGCCATTGATGCAGACACCCAATTTTCCCCCAGCTCACCTTCTTGAAACAATGATATTTCAAGATTAGATAACATACTCAAACTTCTATTTGGGTCAAGAGATTAGTTAAATATTTCAGTGAGTCGCCATGTTTTAATTGTCCATTTAAACATTATTTTCCTTTATTGACAGGAAGGTCTTGCCCATGTTTATATGTAACTTTCGACATGATAACATCACAGGCAATGTTGACCTTAGCTCTGTCATTTGGCCTGGAGCATACAGCATGGTTATTCAGAATCAAGACATGTGCTGTGTGTTGTGTGCATGGAAATAAACAGTTTTTTCTTGATACCTTCCCAACAATTACCATCAAAAAGAATTGTGGCAGTAATTTAATGGATATATGAACAGATTAAAACTCCTGAAATTACCAACACTTAGATATCGTAGACTACGAGGCGACATGATCGAGACGTACAAGATTCTCAATAACATCTATGATGAAAGGGCATCAAGTGGTATTTTCACATTAAGTAGTGGTTCAACAACAAGAGGGCATTCTTTGAAGTTAGTAAAGAACAGGAGTAGGCTGGATGTTAGAAAGTATTATTTTACCAACAGAGTAGTGGAAGTCTGGAACAGTTTTCCTGAGACAATTGTAACTGCCAAAAACGTTAAAACATTCGAACGAAGACTAGATAAATATTTCACGATCGGAGGTAGCACAGTAATCAACAGTGATAGTGACAGTGAAATAGAGCCAAATATAGAGGAGCAAGCTGATCTCCTGCATTTGAAAACACTTAGGTAGACTTAGGTAGATATCAAAGTTGATGCAATGGACCATTTTAATCTTGCTGTAACTAAGCCTTTGGAAAACAGTTATTAAGCTCATTGACAAGACCTTTCAGTAACCTTAAAATGAAGAACATCTATTCTCTACTATTTTAACATAAATTTCCCAACGGATTGTGAAAAAATTGTTCTCCTCACTAGTGAAATATCTGTTCTTGGCAAATGATTGGTCGAAATTTAATTATGACGTAAAATTTTCTTGGTTTCTACTGAATTTCCTATTGTGACGTCATGAAAAAAGGGGACCATGCCTGATGACGTCACATATAAAGAACACAACTTTCTGCAAATCTTTGAAAAGGAAGGATAAAAATCATTAGAGAAACAGATTCCACCATTATAACTCATGTATTACAATATTTCTCCACTCTCAACAGTTGAATTTTGATTATTTAAAAGCTCTGCAAGCCACACGCTTTAAATATTAAAATTTAACTGTCTCGAGCGGAGAAATATGGTAACACACTTGTTGCAGTGGTGGAATCTATATTTCTATCCATGTTCTCTGAAATGCATGTAAATCCTGGGAATGCTGTTCCATTTCAATCTTTCCCAATATACAACCAACTTGTAAGTTTACCTGGCAGCTTTACACTTACAATTAGCACCTACAACCAAGCAATCAAAAATATTTTGACAATTATACAAATATAACAACTCATAATAGGTTAATTTCATTTGATTTTATTTCCACTGAGGTTAAAGTACAAGTTTAACAGACATCACAGAATAATTATCATTATGCAGTCATAACCTCCAAAACAATCTTACTACTATTACTCACAGTGAAAACCTTGCTCACACAAACATGGTACATTTAAATTAATTATAATTGAATTATTGTACATGATTGTGTCCTTAACAAAATCATGTGACTGTTCATGTCCTCCATGTAATAGCAATATTATAAATGCAAATTTTCTGAACACAAAAATAATCTGATCAATCATGGTTATATACTGTTGAAAAATTCTTTAATTGTAGACCAGGACTGGATTTTTTATATAAATAACTTTAATCATAAAACGAGCCCTATTCCTTTCAATTGTAGGCTGGTAAAAAATGTTTGGTACATATTTATCTCGTGTTTGAAATTAATTTATGTAGAACCAGAAAAGTAGCATTTGTATTTCTAGTCTGGTTTATTTCATGATAAAAAGAAAAATAACGAGCAATGTTTCCCTTTCCATTCATACAAAACTAGGTTGCACTTGACTTCATTAACCTTTGAAAAAAGAAATAAGGAATTATATATATGACAGACAATTGTCTATAAATTTAATCGAAATTAAAATAAAAATGGTTGACAAAGGATAACTTCTGGATTGGTCCCATATTTTAAATATATTTGGCCGATATTCATTGTAAGTGTTCACCAACTTCAATCAACACAACCTGAAATACAACAAATTCCTTATTAAACTGATAAACCTCTAACATTTAATTAAACTCTTTACAAGTAGATAAATTCTTATGCCGGCTTTTGTTTGTATTTATTATTTCATTTATAGTGTATGTAAGACGTGGTCACACAATCCTGGCAAGACAGTATTGTAAAATATGTAATTCACAGGTTTATTGTCATGGATAATCAATCTTGTTACTATATAATGGTATGAATTTTATATATGTATTATTACAAAATGTCATGAATACTAGCAAATTATAAAAGAGAGGATACCAAAGATACATTCAAAATTGTATAAGTCGAAAATAAACTGACAATGCCATGGCAAAATAAATGGGGAATATGTCCATGGGACAAAGACGATGCCCCCGCTTGCATATAACATTACAAAGGGACATAACTCAAGAACGGTAAAAGTGACACTACCCAAATTCGTACTTGATCTGAGTTTTGTGGTAATCAGCATAGAGTATAGTTTCATAGCATTTGGTTGAAGCAAACTAAAGTTAGAGAACGGAAATCAGTTTTGGTAAAACTTAATGACCCCTCCACTACAGCGGGGGCATAAAAATAAGAATTCATTATTATCTGACATCAATAGTATTACAATACAGTAATTACTCAAACACATAGATTTCTGTATGTTTCTGTTCAATTTTCTTGTTTGAAAAGGTAGCAAGGTTAAAGATATTTTCACACTCCTTACAAAATCGAAAATGTATGAAAAACTTAAAAATGGAGAATAATATCTAAACTATATAAATTCTTAAGAAAACATTTATGAATACAAAACAAATTTTTATAAACTGGCTAAAATTTTCCAAGTGTCCTTCTACCTTAGAATCAGCATGGAAGTAATACACTTTGTTTTATTTTTCAAAAAATCAAATGAATTTCTAAAAATCATACTCTGTCAGGCACCACAAAATTTACCTGACCTCAAAATTGAGAAACAAATATTTTGACCCAGTAAAATCACTAATATTACATACACTTTTACAATAATGCTACTGTGGCCATACTTGTACAATATAATTTGACTTGCAAACCATCTTTTGCAGGGTGAGACAGTATTTTTATAAAAGTATCACTGGTTCAAAACATCAAACATAAAGGCATCTAGTGATTACAACACTATACAGGGGTCAACAACCAACAAGCTTTTACACTGTATCATATATGTACATATGACAAAATATTTACATATATTGTTACCATAGTATCAATGTGTTAAAAGTTTTGGCTTGCACTTTATTAAAAAAAATAATTCACAACTTTCTTCCTGAATAAGCAGCAAAATATTAAGCTTTTGTTTTGAGAATATTAATATCATTTTATCTACAAAATTTTTTTTTAATTATGAAACCACTTTTTAAAGGAATGTTATCAAGATGCCATTTTGATAAAGTTAATATTTTCTTGATTATAAAATGATAATGATTTAAAATGAAATGCTATATTTATATATATATAAAATAACCTTGACATAAAATCTTGGACCATGGGCTATGTTCTTAAAATATCTGAAGTAAAATTAATAACATGATAGAATAAAACAACAATTTTTTGCCTTTAGGAACTTTTTTCCTATTCAAAGAAACAATAAAAGTATGGACAAAAAGTAATATCTGATTACATTGATAAATGTATAAAACTGATAAAGTACCTATAAAAATACACAGAGCTGAAAATGATATAGAAATTTAAGGAAATGAATATTCAGACAATTTTTCATCATTATCAGAATGAAGTCTTAAATACCATGAGAAAGAATGGAAACAAGTGAATCTGTGAGCTACTGCTCACTAATAATACCCCCGCCCCGCTTAAAGTATAAGGTAAACAGGAAGTTGTTGAAAGATGAATCTGAAAACGCATCACACGGTATAGCTGACTCATATAAAGCCTGAAACCAAATTTCAGAAATCCTTGTAATGTAGTTCCTGAGAAAGATGTGACGAAAAATATTCATGGGACGGACTGACGGATGGACAGACAGAGGTAAAACAGTATTTCCCACTTTTTTAAAGCGGGGGTATAATAAAAAGGAGGGGAATTCAGGTCCATTTTGGCCAAAGAAAATTAGGTTTTTAAGAAATGCTTCTAATTTGGTAATAATATAGGGAAATGTAAATGAATAAGACAAGATTTGTAGTTTAATACCATTATTACATTACATCATGTCCATATTTCACATATTGGGATTTTTTTCAAATTTATGCAGTTTTCCATCAATATTTCCTAAGTTGAAATATTGGCAACAGCAAAATACCAACTAAATAATTCTAGACAGGCATGTTATAGTTATTTACATAATCCCTCCAAATTTAAAGTTGTTATTTTGGTGTGCCCATACTTTTCTCATCTTATATATACACAAAACAAGGGGAATAAAGAATTATACACAGTACACTAATTTTGTCATGGTTTTTCCCAAGGTAACTCATCAAATGTTAAATCTATTTGTAGTTTTTATGCCTTTTACCTTAGTCCTGTTAGAGCAAATTATTATTTTTTTGCTAATGATCATGTATGGTAACTTTCGAATTTGCTCTAAATTTTGGGCCAAATATGACCCTTATTAACCTACTCCTTATTGTTAATTTTGTAAATAATGATAATACATAAATTGAGAAACAAAAAGGGTCCTTTCACCTATCTGTGAAAAAACTGATTTAGAAAATCAAAACTTATATATTAATGACATATCTATTATTGCACAATGACAATGCAAAGAATGTTTTACAAAGACTAGAGAGAGTTATTTACATGGAATAGTTTACAAGTAGCACTATAGAATAGAATATTTACACAAGTCAAAATGTAAATAAAAATTCTCATAAAACAATGGTGTAAATGAGTATAAAAATTATAAGACTATAAATGATAAATGATAAATGCCTGTTGGAAAATTTTATTATTGAAATATTTTGTCATTGGGTATAATAATCGTAATATTAGGAGGTACTGCATTCACAAATTTCTTGCATGAAGTAATGGCAAAGCTGTTTTCCTAAGGGCAGAATCTGAGAACTATCAATTCCTGATATACAAACTCAGAATCATACTTTTTTCTATAAATATTTTGTATGTGAATGCAACTGAAAGAGCATTGAACAAAAATCTGCTTATAAGAATGCAAATCTAGAAATAACTTTTAACTTTACAAATAATCTTTAACATGATTTAAAATAAAAATACTCCAATAAATAAAACTGTGTATTTTTACAAAAAATGCAAATAGAAGTTACACAAAATGATTTTTTTGACAACATAAATAGTTAAATGCAGAACTAACTAAACATGAAAATGAACACATTGGCTGTAATTTATAGATGATTAAATACTAGCTGGTACTGGTCGAAGGATGTGGATTGTCTCCCCTTATCTGTTTTGCTTCACCCATCAGCGTTGATAGCATCTCGTTTAATTGGTCATCTTCTAATTTAATGTCACTAGAAATACTGCTTCTGGATGAAGAATCTAAAGAAAACAAATCTTAATTTGAAAAAAAAAAAAATATTTTCATCTTTCTTTCTTTCCCCCCAGAAATTGGTTACTACATGAAGCTGAACATTTCAGTTTATAAATGATTGCAATTTAGTACTGTGTGCCAAGTAAAATGTTGTTTTTTTTCTCAGTTGAAAAAATGAAAATCCAAGAATCTTGCTGATGGTTGGTAAGAAATCAGATTATAAACTTTGTAATGATCCAGTATTGGTATATTTCACTAACCACACACATTATTCTAAATCTGGGCCCACAAATCTTTGCTCTTACCCTTAAATGCTGCATGCTTAGGGGAGAAGCAGTAAATACCAATTTGTGAAATCTTTGGTTTGATCCTGCCTCCACACTGAGGGTACCACCAGACCTCTGAGGCAGTCAATCAACAAAAACATCAACAATAATGCACATATAGGCAAGTTTTTAATGATAAAATTTGTTGTATTTTCAATTCAAAAATCATACAAATTATTCAATTATTAAAAGCTAATATTTTTTTATAAATAATTTCAGGTTTATATTTTTTACAACCCAATAACATTGACATAGTGGATCCATAACCAAGTAAGGAAAGGGAGATAAAATTTATCACAATGAAATTATCTCCCTTTCCACACTAAATTTATTAGATTCCTACCTGATATAGGTGTGTCATCATAAATAGAACTCTTCCTGAGGAAAGATTTTTTACGTTTTGACGGAGATGGAGAAGGTATATCCATTATATGATCACAAGCTTGTTTCCACAACACTACAAATACAAATATCATTTAAGTATATTTAAGAACATGACTACAGTCGTTTTCTTCTTAATAACTGGTAAATTGGAGTTTTGATATGTCAATACTTTTAGAATGTCAGGCTCAAATTAACTATCAATAATTTGCTCCAGTAATCTCCAGTTTTATAAAACAGTGTATCATTACCATTAAGTGAATATGTTCTTTTAATCTATGAGGTCTGCACATTTACTTTATAGTATTAAGTTATGCCATCTCCAAAATAATTTTAAATGTACAATGGCACATGTTATGAAATAATTCTGTCAAATATGTTCCTTTCAATGTAATTTGTAAGAGATGATGTGTTGACCAACTTCACCATATATAAAAATGGTGATGTCCATGTTTTCCTGAAGATTTTGTAATGATAAAATGTTTTGGATAGACAGAGACAGACACACAAAGAAAATTTTAACTCTTCTTGCATTTATTGTCAGAAAGATGTTTTCAGAATAATATATAACTGGTTATCTGTATATACAGATAATGACCTAACATAGATATATACTAGAACACACCCTCGACATCCCGGGTCTGTGTATGAATTAAAGTACCTATGCATTATTTTAGCCTGGATTTTTAGCATTCATATTGTCATCTGATAAAGTCATGCTGATTATAAGGTGCAGTTTTCACTGCTTTCAAAATCTTTCTGTTTGAACCCATCCTGGTTTTCTTACTACAACCGGAAACTACATGTAACATATACTATTGGTATTGGTATCGGATTCACCCCGGAACTTGTTAATTATTGGTAATATTAATTATGTGGAAAACAAAAGGCCTGGAATGGTATAATTTTTTTAATCACCACCATTGTCCTATATTAGTTATATATAAAGTTGATTTCTTTGATTTGTCGTTTTTTCGTCACGCTGGCTAACAAATTGGACCTCATTATTTTAGTAGTATATATATAGATATTGACTTACCTTGGTCTAACAAATGTTGCTGTAGAGCATCCCACCATTTTGTAAGTTCTTCCTGATTATCTGTGGCCATTGTAAACAATCCAAAAGAATCTCTCTCACAAGTCCGTACATGGAACATATGAGATCTTTTAATTCTACTGGGATCCGCACTACTAATCTGAGTATTCTGAAATTAGAAGAAATTCTTATAAAAAACTGCAAATGTAATTTACACTGATTTTCTGGTTATATCCAACCCAATAAACACAATTAGGCAAAATACATACATTTTGACCTTCAGTGCTAATTGTGTTAATCCTGCCATATGTTTATGTGTCTCTCTGATGTCAAGAACTTCTCATGTAGTTCTCATGGTATCTTACTGATTATGCTCATTTAGGAATCCAAAGTTGACCACATTTATTGGATAGTCTCCCCTAAATTTATTCAAACCTTCAGATTATAGATGATTGATTGTTGTCATATGGACACATGGTTATAGTTTTAAGATTTTATGATGACTATAAGATGTCTTTTCATTGTTGCTAAAGCTGTTAATATGTAGTTCATCCCACAACTCTTTTTATTCATATTCATATGTTATAAGTATTAGATACTACCATGAGGTGTATATAAAGAGAATTCTTACTTTGGTGATTGGAATTGTGACTAGAGGTTCTGTGACTTCTACATCATCAGAAGATGACCAAAAATCTAATTTTAGATTCTTTAACACACACCAATATCTCTTCCACTTAGCTAAATCATCATCTTCCTGGAAAGAGAATAAAGATTACACATTGACACTGTATTATACTATATATACAGTATATGGAATGACCTGGTGTAAGGCCAGACTTTTTTTGTTATCGAGGAAATTTGTCGAGAGGGCAAAATAAAAATAAAAGTGCAATATTTGTCCAGTCGGTACTATAAAATAACAAGCATTCTGAGAGTATTGCATGGCAATACATAATCCCCTACCAGGTAAAAATTCGTTTTACTGGAACAAAATGCTAACTTGTTCTATAACTTGTCATGGTGTAAACAAAAAGTAAATATCATGTCAATATCTTCAAGCATGACTAAAAACAGTGTGGAAAACTGATTATATGAGTGAAAAAAACATTAGATATGTTTAATAGTTCTCTAAAATTAGATATGATGTGTATATCTATTTTCAAATTATAATCAAATATAATTAATAGTTCCAAATATTTTTTCTTTCATTTGTCACAAACTAATATAGTAATATAGATTTGTAACTTATCTATAAAATGTCAACAACATTTATCTACACAATGTAATGTCTTGAAATATATACATTAATAAAAATAGATTATTATCTAATTAAAGGATTTCTCTTCATAAATTTTTCTTTATATATATAGCATTCAGAAAATTAGTTTATACTAAATAACAAACAAACCTGCTAAAAAATTCTTCAAATAATTTAACAATGAATGTCTTTTAAAAAAATGAGTTATCTCCATTTGTACAGAAATATGGTTTAACATAGTACTCTAACATTAGATATGGTCCAGAGTTATGGTCCATAACTCTGGACTAAATTATCAGACCGAAACAAAATTGGAACTTGATCTGTAACTTGTCATGATAAAACAATATACCAAATATCAAATCAATATCTTCAAGCATGAAGAAAAAGTGTGGAAAGCTTATTTGGCGGACTGACAGAAGGACAGACAGACAGACAGACAGACAGACGGAGTGCAAACCTAAAGTCCACTTCAACTTTGTCGGTAGGGGACTAAAAATAAAATCTTCATATGCGTTCAATTTTTTTTTTCTAGAAATTTATCAAATGACAAGAACTATGAAAGGAGAACAGACAAATACTTACACCTATCTGTTATGAAAATATGAACTATGTTTAATATGAAAAAGAACAGATATGGGACAATGGCACGAAAACATCACCAAATACCAAAATAGGTTTTTATTCATTCTGTATTGCCTCTTAATATTGATCCAGGCAAATATATATTCTCTCCCAAAACTTTATATTTAATGGCTGGGGCATGATTTAATATGTTTTTTTTTAAATAAATAAAAGACGAACGTGTAAAGGGCACAGATGCCCTCACTGGCTAAACCCAAAAAGGGACATACATTAACTGGAGTATGGTGAAAGTGACACCACCCAAATTAGAACTTGTCACATCTGTGTTTGGTGGTATAAATAAGCATTGCGTATACGTCTCATATAAACATGTATACTGTTTATAAAACATACTTAAGTTAGAGAATGGAAACTGAAAAAGGGACTTTCTGACATATGGACGGACAAGGGTAAAACTTAATGCCAATGTAGTCGTACCAAGGGAATCAAAACCAAATATGAGCTGAATCCTTGATATCAGAAGCAGAGTTATATGCATCAGAAATGTTGGATGGATTGATGGGCGGAAGAACGAACAGATGTGGGGGTATACTATTCTTGGGAATGATTGGCTGATTGACAGATAACAAGTTACTGGACCTACTTTAGCCATAGGCTAACACAGTTTAAAAAACAAGCAAGTCGTTATAATTCTATGAATGAAGAAAACAACACCCCCACCATATTACAATATACAAAGTTTATTAAATAAAGTGATGAATGTTCATAAATAAAACGTGTTGAATCGACCAGTAAACTAATTCGAATGACAAAGGAATATAAAATTTACCAATCAGAGGAGATTAAAATTTGAAAGATAAAGTATGCATACAAAAAGGTACTACGAGTAATGTCAAATGTATCCTAGACTGAATTAGGAAACTTTAATTAATTAAAGAAGTTTTTAAATTGAATTTTTATTGTATCGTTTAATAGACCACCCACATCCTACATGGGCATGATTTATATAGACTGATATCCTTGACAATATATAAAAGGATCCCACAAAAAAGGAAAAAGACAAACCCAAAATACTCCAAAACACTGACAGGCACGTCGGGTTGCACACCGGCATCGTCTGTTTGAATGGGGCTGATGCTAACATTCATGTCCGCCAATTTAGTGGACAACATGGTACCAATTGTGTCATCTTGTTGACATTTAACGAATTTCAACGATCATAAACTTCTATTGAAAGATCTGGTTTTAAGTTTTATGTAAAAAACGATTCCCTGGCAGAAGTCGCTATATTATTTTCTGAACATGCTAAGGCCTTTTACAGCTGACTATGTGGTATAGGTTTTACTCATTGTTGAAGGCCGTACGGAGACCTATAGTTGTTAATTTCTGTGTCATTTGGTCTCTTATGGAGAGTTCTCATGGGCAATCATACCACATCTTCTTATTTTTAAAAGAGAAAAATTGGAGACCACGAAACCATACTCATATTTTTATTACTTTCTGGGGATTTCGTGAACAGTCGGCAGGAAAAATAAAAATAACAAAAATGTGTCCATAGTACACAGATGCCCCACTCACACTATCATTTTCTATGTTCAGTGGACCGTGAAATTGCGGTCAAAACTCCAATTTTTGACATTTAAATTAGAAAGATCATATCATAGGGAACATGCATATGTGTACTAAGTTTCAAGTTGATTGGACTTCAACTTCATTAAAAACGACCTTGACCAAAAACTTTAACCTGAAGCGGGACAGACGGACGAACGGATGAACAGATGCACAAACGAACGGACGCACAGACCAGAAAACATAATGCCCCTACTACTATCATAGATGGGGCATAAAAATAGGAAGCACTAGATAAAAAAAAGTCAGGCCAAATGAATGACACATGTACTGTAAAGGCAGTGAAGTCCTCTCAATGGTGAAACCGCTTAGAATTTCTATGGCCAAATAAGTTGTCGTCAACTGCTTATAAAAACAACTCTTTTTTTAATAGATTTTATTATTCATTTTATTCATATAATATTCTTGTAAGTTGAAAGTTTCACATTCAATAAGATTTCCTATAAACAAATCATTTGAAAACTACTGAAACTTACTTGAAGATTTAAGTAGCCTATATGAACTGGATTGATCAGCGACAGAGGTTGAGCCACAATTCTACAGCAGTAATGACCAAACAATGGAAGCTCACAGCTACTATTACTATCTGTTAATGAAAAGTCAGTTCATGAAACAATCATAATGTCAGCTCTAGATGTATAAGATGACTGTCTACAGAAGATTTATTAAGTGTTTTCACAATAAATTAATATGCAAGGCAATAATGAATTGAAAAGAAAATAATTATCTTTTTTTGCCTTTGTTTCCAAAAGAAATTCTAAATATCCAAACATTTTGGCAATTTTTTCTTTTTTTTTCATTGATTCATCTAAAAGCATTATACAAACATCCAACTCTAAAGATTATAAAATAAATATTTGTATTAAAGCAGTACCTGAAACTGGTTCCACAACTAAATCAAAAGTTCCAACAGAATCATTCACACCTTGTAGTGTCATAGTCCCTTGGGCAACCATGTCAAATCGTGGACCCCTGAAAAAAAAATAAATCATTTGTTCAAAAGGCAAATATGTCAAATGGTTGACCTGTGAAATATATAAACTGTTGTCACAGAGATATGTCTCGCCTATTTGTTATTTTGATAATACAAATGTTAAAATTAAAACAGCAATACTTTAACATGTACATGTAAGTTATGCAAATATTCAAAGTCAATGAACCATGACTGAAGGTACATGGCAAAACAATCTCCATGGAAATGAGATGTGCCAATGCTAATACAACTGCATACCAAATACCATAGACTTATAATAAGTCGTTCCCTTTCAACTAACCTAAACACAAACATTAGTGGTTCCCCATAAACTGACCTAATCACAAACTAATACATTTAAACTAAGCAAAGTTTAGAAGTCAATAGACCATGACTGAGGGGGCAGGGCCAAATAATCTGCATGGTAATGAGATGTGCCAATGTTAATACAACTGCATACCAAATATCATTACCTACAACTAGTGGTTCACCATAAACTAGACCTAATCACAAACTAATACATTGTTGACGCCGCTGCCGCTGACTCCGGAAACAGCATACCTATGTCTCGCTTTTTGACTCCGTCAAGGCGAGACAATAAAACATCATGTACATTCTGTCAGTACCTATATTTTGCCATTGCACAAGATCTTAATTTTCTCTGACAGCTAAATCCATTGGATGTTGGATGTGTACTGATCGATATTTTAGTCTTCGAGCATGATTTTTTCATTAGTTGTTATTGGCTTTGAACTAGCTTTCAGTAACTGCGAGTACTCTCAGATATGTTTTTTGTGCCTTTAGCTATTTTGAGATTTGTATCAATCTGATGAGTTTAGCCCTTTTCAACTGATTTGTATAGTTTGTTCTTATGTTGTGCTGTTACATCACTGTCCAAGGTTAGGGGAGGGTTAGGCACCCACGAACATGTTAAACCCCACCACATTCTGTGTGTGCCTATTCCAAGTCAGGAGCCTGTAATTTTATTGCTTGCTATGCTATATGGGTTTTGCTCATTGTTGACAGCCATACGATGACCAATAGTAGCTAACTTCTATGTCATGTGTCTCTGGTGGAGAGTTGTCTCATTGGCAATCATCTCATCTTCTTATTTTTAAAGTGATACAGTAGATGAACTACTTAGAGCACTTGACCACCAAGGCCTCCTAGATAATATAAAAGCACTTTAATACTTACAGAACCATATTTCCTATAATGTCTGTATCATGCTGAAATAAAAACAAAGTACATTTAAATCACTATATATTTTGTCCTATATTCTTTAATGGTAGTTTTCTCAAGTATATGTCATTTACATGTGGTAGAACATGCAATAAAAGAGATACTGGGTATATGCAACAGTGTGTTACCATTCAATTCACTCGTTTGAAAAAGTACATATTATCCTTAATGCAAAATAGTTCTCTGCATTTTAGAATTACAGAATAATATTTCTGATATTAGATTATGCATTATTTATAAAATCCAGTGGCAAGATCTAAATTGTACAATCTGAAAGCTTTATCAACAAACATTTGCTCTGGGAAAATATCAACCCAATGCCCCCGCTTGTAAATATAAGCCAAATTCAGCATTTTCAATTTACAAAGGGGCATAACTCTAGAACGGCAAAAGAAACGCCACCCAATTTCAAACTTGATCTGTTTTTGGTGGTAATAAGCAGTGTGTATAAGTTTCATAACATTTAGTTGAGGCAAACTTAAGTTAGACAGTTGGACATTCAGAACGAAGAAAGGGTAAAACTTAATGCCGCCTCTGCCGTGCAGGGGCAGAAAAAAAAAAAAAACAGGAGCAAAACACAATCATGTGATCAAATATATACATACTAATCCTGACAATCTTTTTCCTACACTCCTCCCCACAGAGCCAGACAAATCATTAATCTTTTTCTTCAGTTTCTTTGGAGTGCTGGCAATTGTCAAATCTTCATGCAGCTTATGGCAAAATATTTCTACTTTACATTCAAAATCATGTGCAACATTTTCACTGAAAAAAAAAATTATCTGGTGAACCTTACAGACTTATGGTTTACTAGCTTGTTTATATTTTTGTTTACTATTTGCTAGATGATTGTATATTTCTTCGTGTTTGAAATAATTTTCAAACAAAGCTTGAGTTTTATTTATTCAACCATTTAACCAGAAAAGAAATGAAAAAAATCTAATACTAAATAACATGTCCAATTTATGACGAGAGCTTTCTTTAGTGAAGTTGACAATGTAACTTGATATGATATATGTATTTTTGTTGTACATGTACTTACAATACAAGGGTATCATCAAACGTCAAGTCTGTCATACTCCTGTCTACATTGTTTATCATGCAGGTATCGTATATATCACTATCAATCTTTACCAGACAGAATACAGCATATCTTCTGTAGTCTGAAAAAAGTCAGATTTATAAAGAAATTTAATTTTCAGAAGATAATGCCCTGTTCAATCTGACACTCAATTTATACTACTGTGGATTCATTATTATTTGTGGGATAGTAATTGTCATGGATTTCTTGTGTAAAGGTGAACCATGAGTTTAAATGTTCAACATTCTAAAGAATTCTATAGGCTGGCAAAACCAAGAAATCAAATATCCATGAAAATACAATTGATCGTCAATCCACAAAATCATGAAAAATAAATGAATTCTCAGTATTTCAAGCTAATATTTTTGTACTAAAATTAGATATTTCTTCCTAATAACACTTGAATGAGTTTGTTTCTAAATGTCAAACTCATAATGATTATATCCATAGGAACATGTTTAGCTACAGGTATGGCTGTACAAATAAAAAAAAATCTATTCCAAAATCTCTTAAATTTTTGCATCTGTGTTTGAGATACCAAGAGTCCATTATATTTATTTTAGTTATAGTTCCAGCTTTTCCAAAAATAACAAGTGAAACTGTGAACTACTGCTCACTGATGATACCCCAGCCCAAATACTTGACGTTAAACAGGAAGTTGTTGAGTGTTAAATCTGAAAACGCATCACACGGTATAGCTGACTTATATAAACCTTGAAACCAAATTTCAAAAATCCCTGTAATGTAGTTCCTGAGAAAGATGAGACAAAAAATATTCATGGGATGGACGGACGGACAGACAGATGGATGGATGGATGGATGGATGGATGGACAGACGGACAGACAGAAAAACTGACGGAAAGACAGAGGTAAAACAGTATACCCCCACTTTTTTAAAGCGGGGGTATAATAAAAACTTTGTTGGATGGATGGCAGTACTGTACACCCTTCACAGGAACTTAATCCTATAAATAGAACTGTAAAAATTTGTGTAGATGGCATACATTTATGTCTAATGTTTCCTATGTCAGTAGCCACCATGACAATCAAATAATACATGGGTTGTTCCAGCAAGGCACTGCAAAATCTCAACTATGAGTAGGTGATTTTGTACAGTGAAAATGTAAAAGAAATTCTAAAATTGCCTCTATATAGATGGTTATCCAATTTTCAAAGTCCCTTACCTGGATACAAATAATGCTTAAATGGAATAGCCATGAAGTGCTCTCTCAATCCCTGAACAACAATTTTTTGGAACAGTCCTAAAATCTACTTTATCAGAAGTCATCATTTACTCCATGTTTCATAGATTAAAATGATAATTACTGATCTATTTAATCTATTTAATCTCTTTATTTATAGATTATAATTATAATTAATTACTTCTATCTAATCTTGTAACTTTTATAATTAATTTATGCCAATTATGTGAATTATATAATTACTGTTTCTGCTAATGTTAAATTTGCTATCATTATATTGCTAAAGGGTAGCATCAATCCTTGTTAAAATATGTCTTAGTGCATGATAATGAAGATTATTCATAAAACATAATGATTTAGACAACACTGATAACTAAGCTTTTTTTGTGTGTGAAATGGATTGTTTGAGGTTTGTGAAAATCTGTTTGTTCATGACATTTTTCAATTCATGTCTACAAATTTTCCATATAGCAAATCATTGCAACACACTATTATTTTCATTACAAATAAATTTAGAAAAAGGAGAAAGTATAGTACATTCTAGGACTTAGTTTATCAAGATCTTGTGATCATTGAAGCATAAAGATCACATTTATTTTGCATTTATGAATAATATTTGGGGTTATAGTTGTTTATGTGTTTGTTTTTTTCTCAGTAAGTGCCAGACAAACTATCCTTTGATACATTTTGGTCATTTTTCCATATTAATCGTTTGAAATATGAAAAGCTAAATTTATCTTTATTGTACTTTTCATTTATCTGCTTTACTGTCCATTTCGCATTATCTTTATATGAAGATAATCGATTTGACAATTTGTAAAGAGCTGTTGAAGACCTTCCAGTAACTGTCTACACATGGAACATCAATACAAGAGCTGTTGAAGACCTTCCAGTAACTGTCTACACATGGAACATCAATACAAGAGCTGTTGAAGACCTTCCAGTAACTGTCTACACATGGAACATCAATACAAATGCTGTTCTTCGATAAATGGTTATTCCCAACTGCATGCATATCTTGAAAATTGTGTCCCCCACAATCCCATATTCCTTCTGCCCTATGCTGTTTTGAATTAAACCTATTTTCATATATTAAGAATTCTTGAAGTAAAACATGAAAAACTTACCTCCTTTGTTTTTAAAATGATCTGTATCTTTCCACATCAAAGGTATTCGTAAATCTGGAAAATGAAAAATAAAGTGAAAAAAAAATGTTTTCTATATCAACAGACTGGAATATTCTGATACATATAAATAGGTAAAAAATCTATTTGTAATATAACAATTAAAAGCAAATAATAAACAGTTATTGCTTTAAATGCTTGAAAAAGTCAGCCTTAATTATTTATTTTTTCTAATTCACAATAACCTAATACATTCATATTTTTTGGACACAAAAATATTGACAGGAATGACTTTCTTTTTGAGATTTTCTGTAAGTCCTACAAAGACTTGCATAAAGGTTGGTCCATAGTTTTTCTGTGAGCCCTGCAAATATTTGCATAAGGGCTGGTCCTTTCTATTTCTGTAAGGCCTTTAGAAACTTGTAATATGGCTGGTATGTTATTATTCCGTTAGGCCTGTATAAGGGCTGGTCTCTTAATTTTCTGCGAGGACTGCTGTGGGTTTTTTTTTTTATCATGAAGACTTGTAATATTTTTTTTTACTACTCCAGAAGTTAAATAGAACTGTTGGTAAACATTTTGTGTAAATATGGCCATTCACAGACATTTTTTAAGGAAGGACAAGTATTATATTCTTTTTTTTTCACACAAATTAAATCACAGCTAAGTTTTCCATATTTTCAGTAGAACCCCAGGTGTGCTCAATCTAAGTCTTACAATGAAAGTGAAATAAATTACATGTAAAGATTTTGATATCTTAAGATTACACAAAGACCTAAGAAAATAAAACCGAGACAAACAAATATTGACCAAATGATTGGATATGGACACTTCCAGATAAATACATTAAAAAGAGATAACCAATATTTGTAATGGGTGACTTTGAAAGTGGATATTCCAGAATGACAAACAGAACGACCTCGTTTAAGGACAATACTGATAAGCTACCAGTATAAACAACTATTTACATATTCTGATGGCCTTTAGTTGAAGATTTTTACATTATATGTACAAACAGTTACATACACTGGTGTATGTGTTATCATATTATCATTATTCATATAAACTTCTGTACATTTTATGGCAGTACAAACAAGCTAGAATTAAAACTATTGCTGACTAACGATACCCCCACTAAAAGTATTCCGTAAACAGAAAGTTTTAAATACTACTCATTACACTGTAAAACATGCTAATATGAATGTTGATACCAAATTTCAGAATGCACAGATTCATAATTACTGAGCAAAATGTGATGAAAACTTCATAAATGGTCATAATGTAAGAATAAGATAAGATAAGAATTTCATTAATCTAATCAAGAACCCATAAAGGGCATCATTTCACAACAACAACATATGCATGCACTGAATATATAACTGATAAGAATTCTGTCAACTGGAATTCAATGAGCTATCAATTTGAAAATGAATAGTCGAGCATGTACACATAAAGCTTGATACAAAATTTTATGAAGAAATTTCATGAATCTGAAGGACAGACAGGGGTAAAACAGTGTTCCCACCTCCTTATCATTTCTTTTTTTTTTTCATATTCATATTAGCAGTAGGACCAGAAAAGGATTAAGTCTGAATTTTGTATTATCTCAACTAATAACAAATGTTGACCTGTTATAATAAACCTGGCATGTTTGTTTGTTTTATAGAAAGTATTAGCAGCTTTCCAAATATGATATTTTTCAAGATTTTGCCCAGATTTGCTGCTTTAATGTACTTTAAAGAGCTATTTCTTTTGGGTAAACATTAGTCACACTCTTCAATCAAAACCCCAAATCACATGGCTGAATTACACATCTTCACGAAACATGTTGGTTTATGCATATATGGTGGCTTTATGGCCTATGTTTTCTAAAGCAAACTTCCGGTATAGCCAAATTTAGGCCTTATTCAAAATTCCTTAATTAGGAGTGTACAGTTGGACAAGAGTTGTACAGAATGGAACCATTAACAGAACTGGCAACTTTTACATTTCTGGTATGAAGAGGAGGGATAGTGATTTCTCAATTTTTTTATTTTTTTATTTTCGATGAATGGAATTTCACATTTGGATTTCCTGTCTTATGACTTCAATCTTCTTTGCAATTAGACTTTATTGATGACTTTTACCTGTAACACACACTCTGGCTGTACATGGCACTTGGTTACCCTCCACTGACCTACAAAATACAAAATCTGACATGAACAAATTACAAGTAATCATCTAATATTTGTACATATATTGGGTATTTAGATTGGGGTAATTATAGGTTAAATAAAAGTCGACTACACTCTTAAATATATAAAGACTTTGTATATATGGCATCATAAAACACTTTTCCTTTCTATTTCAACCTTACAATGTTTGTACCTTTACTAGTTGGCCAAGTTATTTGACTTTTCTGATGCACTTTACTCGAGGATATTAGTGCACAATTTAAGGATGCATACATCATTACACGTCCTTAGGGTAAACACTACATAACATATTACTTTATAAAGGAAAGTCAACAAATCAAGGCAAACCACATTTGTTTACTAAAGGACAAAACAAGTGCAATCACTACAATGTAAACATTTTATTTTACTTATGTTTTATTCACATAATACTTCAGTCCTTTTCAAAGCAGTATTTTACTACACCTAGAGACAAGCCTACAGAAATACATGTAATAACTTCCCTGGACGACAGTGGAAATAGGTATCAAGACCAAAACTGACTGTAAGGCAGGGGTTGAAATTGTCTGTAAAACCTCAATAGCCTTAGGTTTTTCAGTGCTTATATTTCACAAGATCAAACAGAACAAGTGCTAGACCAAGTCTAATAAAAGAACAGAGTTCCAATGTCCCCCGTGTTGCACATATTTTATATTTCCAAGGGGCATAACTTTTTAAAAAAGTCGATTGTCTACCATTTTATAACTTGTCCGAGATATTGCTGATATTAACCTATAGTATAAGTTTTATAAAATCTGGCAATAATTGTACCCGTGAGAGCGTTAACGTGGCCATTTTCCATAAATTTAATATTTCCAAGGGGCATAACTCCATTAAAAATAGTCGATCGTCCACCATTTTAAAACTTGTTCGAGATATTGCTGATATTAACCTATAGTATAAGTTTTATAAAAATCTGGAAAGAATTATACCCATGAGAGCGCTAACAAGACCGGACGGACACCCGGTATTTTCATGTCCACCGCAACGCATTACGCGGGGACAACAATATCCTCATATAATGTAACAAGGCTGCCTTACAATGTTACTGTAAACAACTTAGTGTTTCTCCTCCTCACTAAGCTTTGTTACAATCTTTAAGATATATTCGATTTTTTTAAGGAAAAAATTCTGATTCACTGAATTATTGTCACTCGATAAAGTGGATAATCAGCATATTTTCATCTTATTTTTTGTTAAAGTTTCTAGCTACTTTCATGAAATCAGCTTGCTTTCATAAAAACAGCTATATATTTATCACAGAGAATTTCTCTTATGCAAAAAATGACTTGCCTGTTTAAAAAAAAAACTTTAATAGGAAATTTAAGTCTATGGATCTCAAAATCTTAAGCTGCAAATATAATGTAATATTATACATTTATTTCCCGTGCCGGAGGGAGATATGAAGATTTGTTCACCCAAGAATATTCATATTTCACGAAGGCTCTGCCCGAGGGAAATATAATTTTTCGAGGGTGAGCAAATCTGCATATCTCCCGAGGCAAAGGGAAATGAATGTTTTATTCCACTGCCTATGCTTTGTTTACTATCAATATATTAAATATTATTTTGCATACATTTTTTTTCTTATCCGCTTGTTTTTGTAAGTCAAACTAAACACGACATACCCATTGATAAACAGTAAGGATCAAAATTTAATTATAAGTCTTTTTGTTTTATCGTCTGAAATAAATTTGAACATGATAATGATTTTTGCTATCGCTATTTTAAGAAGAATAAGAAGTTCTAAACGTTATGTACATTAACCGAGCGTAACGTCGCACGAAGTAATCCCGACATTTCAGAGGGGAATATGATCCTCAGAATGGAATATGAAGATTTGTTCAATGACATGTGGGATAGTCTCAACCAATCAAATATTGATTAAACTATCAATATGTTTAAACAGTGGAATAAAAGTCTTTAGTTTCTTGTTATGTTGGACTTACGTTTGTCTACCTAAAACCTGAGCAGTTTTCCTTTTCTGTAATTCTGACATGTAAGCCATAATACGATGGTTTGAGGTAAGCAGGTTACGAGCAGCTTCCAGCAGTTGTGACGGATGTTTAGAAGCTGCCAGTAGTTTGGTTGTTCCTTCTCGCATTTTAATCTCATGGTCAATCTTCTGCTGTAAGTCATGGTCCTACAAAATAAAAAACTCAAAATATTTAACAATAAATCTGATGTCGAAAAAAGAAACTAACAAGACATGTTTACTCATTAGAACAAATTATTGTAGTTTCAGGATCCTATACTTTGGACCTTTTTGGGTAATTATTTTTTTTAAATCAATTTTTCTTGATTTTAACAAATTCTGTTTATAAGAGGTCAGGACAATTTATTGCAATTTTATGAGAATGAAAATATTTAATATCTATCTTTCTTTTCACCACAGGAAAGGCATTACTAAGTCCAGACGTCAGATTTGGTGTCAATATATGACAGCTTCTTACATTTGTTATTAAGTAAAATTAGAGGTGATAGAATAGCTGATATAGTTTTGATTAAAACACATGACCAGCTGTCGGACTGTTATTTTCTGACAAATTGCCTAGTAAGGGCGATAATAAAAACAACTTTTCATGAAAGATAATTAGTCATTTACAGGTTAGCTGATTAGGTTTTAAGACCAAATATCAAGACTTGTTTCAATCAAAAAGAAAAAACCACAGAATTAACTGGAAACAAGAGTGCACATGCTGAAATGTCTTGCCTTCTTTACTTATCATTGATATTATGATGATAGTTGTAGTAAAGCTTTATATGTAGAACTATCAACATAATATCAATATAATATCACAACTTATCCAAGAAAATGAGGTCAAGGTCATATAAACCAAACAAGAAATACATGTACACCTTACAATCATTCAATACAATAAATATAGTTGACCTATTGCTTATAGTTTAGTAGATACAGACTTAACCAAGAAAACTAAACATTGACTAATGAACCATGGAAATGAGGTCAAGGTCAGATAAACCATGCCAGGCAGATATGTACAGCTTGCAATCCTTCCACACAACAAATATAGTTGACCTATTGCTTATAGTAATAGAAAAAACAGACCAAAACACAAAAACTTAACACTGAGCAATGAACCGTAAAAATGAGGTCAAGGTCAAATAAAACATGTCAGACTGACATGTACATTGTAAAAATATTTTCATACAACAAATATAGTTGACCTATTGGATACAGTATTAGAAAACAGACCAAAACACAAAAACTTAACTTTAACCACTGAACCATGAAAATGAGGTCAAGGTCAGATGACAACTGCCAGTTGGACATGTACACCTTACAATTATTCCATACACCAAATATAGTAGACCTATGTTGCATACAGTATAAGAAAAACAGACCAAAACACAAAAACTTAACTATAACCACTGAACCATGAAAATGAGGTCAAGGTCAGATGACACCTGCCAGTTGGACATGCACACCTTACAGTCCTTCCATACACCGAATTTGCTAGACCTATTGCTTCTAGTATCTGAGATATGGACTTGACCACCAAAACTTAACCTTGTTCACTGATCCATGAAATGAGGTCGAGGTCAAGTGAAAACTGTCTGACGGGCATGAGAACCTTGCAAGGTATGCACATACCAAATATAGTTATCCTATTACTCATTATAAGAGAGAAATTAACATTACAAAAAATCTTAACTTTTTTTTCAAGTAGTCACTGAACCATGAAAATGAGGTCATAGACAATGGACATGTGACAGACGGAAACTTCGTAACATAAGGCATCTATATACAAAGTATGAAGCATCCAGGTCTTCCACCTTCTAAAATACAAAGCTTTTAAGAAGTTAGTTAACGCCGCCGCCGCCGGATCACTATCCCTATGTCGAGCTTTCTGTGACAAAAGTTGCAGGCTCGACAAAAAAGATGAATGGCCTAAAAAGTTTTGTAGAGTTATGAGTCAAGGTAATGGAAGCTTTGATTGGTATAAACATAATCCAAAAGGTATTTGGCACTAGTTCTTTTGTGCAGCTTTAAAGCAATGTAACTGCCTTGACACTTTCACAGCACATACTTAGACACTCAAGGATCCAGTAGTAATTTATAACTGGAGTAATTGATTAAAATGAGGCAGTTGCACTATCATGAATCTAAAAGCTGATTCTAGAACTAATAATATTATTACAAAAAGAATTAAATTAGTAAACTAGTAAAATTATCTTTATTTCTAAATATGAAACAATAGTATATTTCGATTACAACCACATCCATGTGCCTTTATATCTCTATAAAGGGTGCTCTTAAAGTGTAGTCCTCCACACAAAGGGTGCACTAAAAATGAATCCTCCACACAAAAGGTGCCCTTAAAATGTAGCCATTTGTGCCAAGAATGCTGTCTGAGAAAAAAATTAACAGGTACCCTGTCCTTTTCAAAAACAACGGGAAACACTATACTTGCAGAAATTTAAAGAACAAGTTAAAATTTCATGCAATCTTGGCCAACTGTGCATCTCAAAAAACTATAGGCTAAAATATTTATAAATTTTGTGAAAAACATACACAGCACACACTTAAACTATCTGAAGGATTCAACAGCAGAGATTTTTGAGCCAATGCATTGAATATAAAACATCGACTCAGTTGTGTAAGGCAACTGTCCAGTAGCAATTAATGCTTAAAGTAAATATACTAATGAGCATGATTTACATCAGATTTTAGCTGTATTACAATGGAAAACTTAGCACTACAGTCAAAGCTTGCAAGCTCAATGATAAATGTGCTTTAGTCTTCTTTTCTCCTCATAAAAAAATCACTAACAAGAATGTGTCCATAGTACACGGATGCCCCACTCGCACTATCATTTTCTATGTTCAGTGGTCTGAGAATTGGGGTCAAAACTCTAATTTGGCTTTAAAATTAGAAAGATCATATCATAGGGAACAATTTTGTGTACTAAGTTTCAAGTTGATTGGACTTCAACTTCATCAAAATCTACCTTGACCAAAAACTTCAACCTGAAGCGGGACAGACGGACGGACCAACAGACACAAAGACCAGAAAACATAATGCCCCTACTACTATCGTAGGTGGGGCATAAAAAAGAAAGTAATGTCTGAACATCAAGCATGATAATAATTGCTAACAAACTTTTATTTTGTATTTATTTTATCAGAACTTCCACTTCATTTATATTTTTAGATTATTTCATTTTGTACAACAAATCATTTGTATTCTTATTCATACACCTTTAAACTTGATACCACACATGTGCCATAGGTCACAGTGATAACACTGTTATGATACCTGAATCGAATTTTGATATCACATTATAAATCCTGATAACATTTCATTTATTTGTAGCTACCAATACAACATAAAAGATCAAGGAAGCTTATGAATTATTAACAAAAACCATGTCAAGGATAAGATAAGATAAGATAAGACTTTTATTAATCTAATCAAGAACCCATAAAGGGCATCATTTACAGGATATATGGGTAACAGAGATCAAACAAGATGTTGTGCATCTCTTATATAGTTCTTATTTCCATAATCCCTTTAAAAACCATCTTTTTAATTAATTTGCATATCTATATATTGCAAATGGAAGACTAAACTACTTGGCTGGCATTTTAATAACTGGTACAAGTCAAGGAGAGATTAATTTTTTTGACATTTTTCAGTTTGTATCAGTTGTAACCTGATTACAAGTTTTCAAACATTCTGATATTTGTAATAGTTTTAAAACTAGTAAATTGACTGAACAAGTGTTGACAGATCCAAGATGAATGCAATTTGTCTACATACCTTATCCTGTTTTCTTTTATAAATAAAAGAAAAATATTTCCTGTGTTAGTGTGTATTTACTGTGATTCCTCAGAATTGCAGGGGGAGTGTAAACTGATGATTTATTATTATGCATATAAATTAAAGAAGTTTGAGAAGCATATTGAACTATAACTTTAGACTTTTTTAACCAATATTGCCAGATTTCAAAATATATGTTAGACATGACAGAGGCAGATCTTTCAGGAATATGACCATAAAATATTCTATTACTAAGCCAGATATTCACTTTATAACACTTCTTCATCATAAACCGTGACCTAGATGTGAAATATTGGACCTATTCTCCCATGATCACTGACAAAATGTTTAAAAACTGTAATAAAAGTTAAGGAGTAAAATCTATACTACAGAAAATGATAATAATATGTTATTCCTACACAGTACTATTGTATAAGGTTTACAGCACTCAGAATTAAGAAAACATTACAATGAAATATGTTTCAAGCATGAAAAAAATCAATATATCTATATTTTCTATACAATGAAGGTATGTTCTTTTTAAACTGAAAATTGCAATAATTTATTACCCATTTAATTTTCTGATGTCTGAAGTACAAAATGTTTCAAGCATATAAACAAATTTAAAGGGCTTGATCTTAAGGTTATTTAAATATTAATATTATCCTTTACTTGTAAACAGGAAATTTTTATTGACAATAATTATAATTTAATTCATAATATTGACAACAACTGAATCCAACTACTTCCATACATCTGGGGGTATGGACTTCAATTACTTTTTATCTGACAACAAGAACTGACCACCCAGGTTTACAATTACTGTTTGAATAACAATAAAACAAGGACAGACCCAAATAAATGTCACTTACCATATATGTTACTCAGTACTGGGTGTCCAAATACATGTACTTCAAAAAGTAATTTTGAGGAAAATTAAACATTGAATATGTGACTATGTTAAGAAATTAAAAATAAAGAATTACAAAATTTCTAAATTTTTAAGCATTTGTGTGGTGATGTCATTAAGTTCACATGTACATGTATGTTTCAACAATTTGGTCTGTACACAGACTGGTAAGTATTTTTGAAAAGTATTGCAAACAGTTTCATGCTGTTCAAGTGAATCGATTTGAAGAATATTAATGGTACTATAATGCAGTAGAATATTTGACTCCTATTTGCTGCTACCATTTTCTGAGCTCATGTGATACTTCTGGTCTGGTTGGGCTTTAATCTTCATTACTACATACATGTACATGAAATTATACATGTATAATCAATTAATGCTGCTTAAAACACATGATGTCCAATTATTCAATCAGTGAATAAATAAGCCCCAAAGTGCATCCAATTGCACAGCTTACCGGTACAATTTACCGTATTACAAATAAGGAAATAAAATGTGTCTTGTGACAAATTCCCATTGCTTATGTCTCTTTAGTTTCTCATTTATTCAAGATGAATTTTATCAAATGTGTAAGTTCTTTTTAAAATATATGCATAATGTTTACAGTAACTGTAGCATGAATTTAAATCATGATCATTCACGATAAATATACATTTTTTGTATATATATATATATTATATATATAAATGAAAATCTTGGGACCCTAATTAGTTAATAAACTTATCTATGTGACCTTTGTGATATGGGGTCCTGATTTTCCAGCAGCATAAAAATGCTGACACCACAATCTGAACATATCCTATATGTGTACAGGATTTCATTATTGCATTTCAATTATTTTTTTTGAAATTGTAAACAAATTTGTTCATGCCTGTGAAAAAGATCTATAAAAAAAGAACTTGATACCCTTTGAATTCTTTATCTATGAATCTATGCTAACTACAGATGTTGCAGAAGTGAGGTAAATATTGTAAGATAAAAATCTCTCTATGCAATTCGGCATCAGTATAATTAGAGTTCAAGATGCAACAGATTTTTCACTTCATTTCATTACATAAAGTATTAAAGATGTGGTAAAAGTAAGAGTTTTCACAGGTTGTTGTTGGCTGCAGTGAATCATTGTATTGACATAGCTAGAGTGAGTCATTGCTGGGTATTTATCCAGTCTCCTGTCTATAACTTATTGTGTCAACAAACAATAAATTTTATATTTGGAAACCACATCATATAAACTTGATGTACATGATAGTACCAGGCTACTATATACACTTTGATAAAGGCTCTTTATCTCTAGGACTAGAACTCTTTAACAAAACTGTCCTTAAATGAGCTGAAACTAATTTGATTTTTATTTTTGTGCACACCTCATCATTTTCTACTAGTATTTAGTCTGAAAGACCAGCTATAAAACTGTAATAACTTTAGTTTCACAAAATAACTTATACATGTACCAGACATTCTTTTTCTTTCTTTATAAAAATAGTGTTTAAAATATTAATCATAAGTTCTAACCCTAGTAAAACCTGTTAAAAACTGAAATCTACTGATCTAGTACAAATCTCTGATATTATCAACAAATTGTACTTGGCCTTTTCATAACTTAAAATATGAAGACCCTCTAGAATGGAAAGATACAATACATTAAACAGGTGCTCATCTGGATATAAAGAAATTCATCTTAACCCATTACCTGGTGTTTAGGAAACCACAAATTGAGAAAAAACCACAAAAAGAAGCGCTACCGTGAATATATCATACAGAACGGATATGATGGTTTTTCTACCTGACTGATCTACTATAAGATAAGAATTTTATTAATCTAATCAAGAACCCATAAAGGGCATCATTTACAACAATATTAAGCACAATATGATTGGAAAAAAGAAAAACTATATCCTAATATAATACTATCATATATTGGACAGGATCAGAGCCTAACACATCATGTGTCTTACATAACATTAACAATAATTGCATAATAATTTTATATATTTTGTATCCACCTGGATCTTATTTCTAAACACTTAATTATATAATTGCCTAGGCACATAAGAGTTGGTAAATGCTCATTTGTGAACAGCCAGAAATATTTTTTATCCTTGGGTAATTCTTTAAAATTATTACAAAAACTGTTTACTTTATCCCATAATAATTTTCTCTGTTCGTTATATAAAGGACAACTTACTGTGAAATGGGTCTCATCTTCAATAGAATTTGATCCATGTGATAGGCAGTGATGACATAGACGCTGACTTCTCTCTATGTATTTTTTACTATACCTATCTTTCTCAATTTTAAGATCATGTGCACTTATTCTCAATTTACATATAGCTCTTCTTATATTAAAATCTTTAATTGATAAATAAGCCTCCTTTACGAAGTCAGTCTTGAGGTTGAAATAATTTTCTAATTTACTATTACCTTGTGATAAGGTATCAGATCTTTTGACCCCCCAAAATGTTTTAAAACTGTTACAAAGTTTACATTTTACAAATTTAATTAATCTATTGAGCTTTGTATTCAAATTTTGTATATCAAGTGATTGAAGGACATATCTCATAGATGAATACCAACAATTAATGTTTCCTGCATCTAAAATTTTATTACAAACATAAGCATCATAAAGTAACCCATCGTCCAATTTGTTAAGCCTGTGTACATATTTTACCATAGATATAATGACAGTAAAATAAAGAGGAAATCTTGCAACCTCTGATAACACTGCCAAATTTGAGGCTTTTTTATTTACACCAAGAATATATTTTAGATACCTGAAATGTGATTTTTCCAAATAATCATTTATGTAAATTAATTCAAATAGATAATCACTTTTTTTCTTGCAAGCAGCAGAGTTAATCTTAAAGGTACCCCAGATTTCACTACAATATAATAAAATTGGTTTTATTGTGTGATCATATAAATGGATTGCAGTATCAATACTTGGATTACAAGCTGACATGGATTTTTGTAGTTTAAATTTTGCCTTTAAGGACTTTTTGAATAGCTCTTCTTTCCCCTGCTGAAAAAGACCACTGGAAGTAAAGACTATCCCTAAATATTTATATCTGTTAACACATTCTATAGCCTCATTATCTAAACAAAGTGATATACAACAATATACTGACTGTTACAGATAATTATATGTTACAGACTAACATGTGAACTAATGGTCAAATAACTAAGTAATAGGGGGTGTAGGTGTTAATATTGTCAGGTAGACATTTAAACTCCATGTACTTTCTACACATTTACAAATAGAAAACAACAGCAGCAATTTGTTTGAAAGATTAAAACAGATACAGAAGTCCTTTATATACAACAATCCATTCTGCTTTGAATATATGGCCTGTTGGTGAGAGAAAAAAACTTATTTAAACAACTCTTCAGATAATTTTAAGAGATGTGGCTTACTACAGGTCTAGGAGGGAATAGTTGTTTGAAAAAGTTAGATAAAGTAGCCTTTCATTGGGGCTACAATTTGCCTGCATTGATGGAGGCCTTAGTTAAAGAAGGTTCTTGACATACCTCTTCTTCGACTTTTGCATTAGTTTTTTGTGTTATTTACATTTTTGTACATAAAAGATCCAAAGACTAAGGGATACATGAAATCATTTATAATGGATATTCTGGATATTCTGGATATTCTGGATATTCTGGATAGTAACTAATAGTAGGAAGTCTACAACAAAAACTAGGCACATTTACACATGTACTACATGTATGTCAATGTAAGGATACCTCATAATAAAATGCATTTACACATGAACAATAAAGTATGACCTTCAGCAATGTTAATGTACTGTATAATTCCTCAAGTAACAACTATCATTCAAGTATTATATATGCATATACCAGCCAAGTAAAACAGTCTTGCTGAAAAAGTTTTACAGTAGTGAGATAAGTAGTTTAGGTTTCAGATTCACTGATATCAAAAGGAAAGAGAAGGTGGAATAACCTAACAACTTTGACATGATCAGTAAGACAGGTGTTAATCTTGTGATATATGTACCTGTAAATCTGATAGCAGGGTTAATCATTAACTTATCTCTATCATTTAACATAGAGAACATGTACCTATAGATTACATGGCATTGTAAAGTGATTATTGTTAGTCTATATGTTGAGCCAATAACTCCCTCCCCAGTGTAGGTTTGGTCCTTAGCACACATTCAACTTCTCAGTCATTATGGCTCATTGATGTCAAAAAATTTGTAATAAAATTCCCAACTCCAAGTGTTGTCAAATATACACTGAACTGTAGTAAAGCAGTCACTGACTCCCGTTCCAGAGCACCAGAGTTTAAGGGACACACCAATTTGGAGAAGGGTTTGAGTTCCTTAAGCTTCATTTGCATTCCAAGATATCTAATTTCCTAATGTCATCAGGGTCAGTCTTGTTAGTCTGGTCATGCTTGTCTATCCTTCCAGTTGTAATTTCATTTTTTCACACTCAAGTGACATAAAAGAGAATTTTCTTGTATCAATAGTTAGTTCTAAGGGATAGACAAAAGACATTTACCAATCTGCTATTGTCAAATGATTATATGTTGCCTTGTCACCATTTTGACTTTTGTCAAATAAGAACATGAGTAACACCATCCAGGTGTCTACTGGAATAGATACTAATGTAGTCTTTAGTAAAACCTGAGTTAACCCATGTTTTAGGTGTGATTTGTGTCCCCATCTTTAGTTTTCTATGTTGTGTTTTGTAGGAGGTTGTTTTGTCTTTTCATTGTTATTCATTTTTTGACATGGCATTATCATTTTTAACTTATGAGTTTGAATATCCCTCTGCCTCTCTCTTGGAATATTTCCTGCACTATTATTCAAACAATTTGTTTAACCTAGTTCTGACTGACTAGGACCAATCACTTTCAATTTCGAAAGACAAATATTTTTTCATCAATATTCTTTTGTTTGAATAATGATAATACTTTGATTCACAGACATGATCTTACTGAAATCAATAGCTCACCTGTAGACTAGAAGCAAGCTGCCTAAAATAGAACAGACTCATGTCCTCCAAGATAAGGGGAGATGTAATGTCCTCACTAAGAACGGTCTCCCCATTCTTACTATTACTCCTTCTCAACTCTAAAATTGGTAAACACTTATCCATTCTGAGGAATCACAAATATTTTACCCCATTGTGTTGCAAGTTTTTAACAAATTCAATAAAATCCAATTTTTCCTTCAATTAACCACTAATTTTTTAAATTCTCATTCATAACACACTTATGACACATTGTATTATATGTTTCCCACATATGTAACGACAAGAGTAGCCAAACTTTTACCGACTGTGGAAAGTGAAATCGGTGTTCAATCGGTTTGTATCCTTTCCATGAATGACAGGTCAACAGTAAAACTTCCCATTGATAAAGCCATTTAAATCCAATGTGAATGTTTGTCATAAAACCATGAATATGTAATGACTTTTACCTTTTATAAATATCAATATTCAAAATCCTCAGTTTTTAATCTCTTACTTAGGTCTCTGATCACAAACACCTGGTAAACTTTTTTTATCAATAAGTTAATTAAATATTTAACAAAACAATGTTCACCTAAATCATGAATTGTATGTGCCTCTTGAAATATTTATTCAACTGCTTATCTGTCACCGATTTAAATAATAACTTTAAACTGTTATCCAATTTTTTTGTAATCATGAATTGCAGACATCCTTGGTTTGACAAGGATGAGATGATAAATGAAAAGGTCAAAGTTGAAGACACAGATGCTGATGAATAATTAGAATTCCACTAACTGTCTGAAGTCTTCATATTTTGTTCACTGTCAGCTCATACATCTGTTTCCATTCATGTAATGTACAATACTTTTCTCAAGGTTTACATATTATATAAACCATTAAATCCAAATGTTTTTAATGTTGTCAGTTTATCATTGTAAACAAAATCAATAATTCCAACTCTGACATTTGAAACTTGCAGAAAATTAAAAGTACCCAAATGATACTAAATCTACACATATATCACCCATTGTCTTTCCACCTGATTATGGTGTTAATTAAGTGTATTAATGAGTCATTAATTGTCCAGCTACCTGGGACAGGTACTCTGCTATCATTGATTGGGTTTATTGACCCACACAAAGATGATAACTAATCCTTTGTGTATGTTTACATGTGCTTGTCATGGGGCACCTCAGGGGGAAATAGTAAATATACCTTTGCTAAAATTTTATCACCTGAGTAAAGACTTACATACTTTGATGTAGGTAATGTTAAGATATATTCAAATGTTTCCTTTTTGCCTTAAGCAATAAATTCCAGTTAAACCTTTATAAACTTAATTGCATGTTAACATGCATAATGATATAGGAATACCAATGAAAGGTAGCAAGGAAAAGATTATGAATAATAGGATTTAAACTTACTTACTTACTAGTGGTTTAATGTACACTCCTTTCTCATGTATAAATAACATGCATTGTGTACACCTTTTTTAAAAAGAATTAAAACTGTACATACATGATAGAAGATAGGAGGAATAGATGCTGAAGAACACTAACTACAAGGTTGTTCTCATTCAGATTTATTCTAGATCAATGCTATTGGAGTCCTGTTATTTGTAAACTTCAGGTCAATGCTATTGGAGTCCTGTTATTTGTAGACTTCAGATCAATGCTATTGGGGTCCTGTTATTTGTAAATTTTAGATCAATGCTATTGGAGTCCTGTTATTTGTAAACGTCAGATCAATGCTATTGGAGTCCTGTTATTTGTAAACTTCAGATCAATGCTATTGGAGTCCTGTTATCTGTAAACGTCAGATCAATGCTATTGGAGTCCTGTTATTTGTAAACGTCAGATCAATGCTATTGGAGTCCTGTTATTTGTAGACTTCAGATCAATGCTATTGAAGTCCTGTTATTTGTAAACTTCAGATTAATGCTATTGGAGTCCTGTTATTTGTAAATTTCAGATCAATGCTATTGGAGTCCTGTTATCTGTAAACTTCAGATCAATGCTATTGGAGTCCTGTTATCTGTAAACTTCAGATCAATGCTATTGGAGTCCTGTTATCTGTAAACTTCAGATCAATGCTATTGGAGTCCTGTTATTTGTAAACTTCAGATCAATGCTATTGGAGTCCTGTTATTTGTAGACTTCAGATCAATGCTATTGGAGTCCTGCTATTTGTAAACTTCAGATCAATGCTATTGGAGTCCTGTTATTTGTAAACTTCAGATCAATGCTATTGGAGTCCTGTTATTTGTAAACTTCAGATCAATGCTATTGGAGTCCTGTTATTTGTAGACTTCAGATCAATGCTATTGGAGTCCTGTTATTTGTAAACTTCAGATTAATGCTATTGGAGTCCTGTTATTTGTAAACTTCAGATTGATTCCAGATCAATGCTATTGGAGTCCTGTTATTTGTAAACTTCAGATTGATTCCAGATCAATGCTATTGGAGTCCTGTTATTTTCTTTCTACTTAATTTGTTTCCAGATTGTGCTGAATTTCTAAATTTGCCATGTCCATCTGTTCATATCTTGAATATTCAGATTAATTTCAGTTTGGATGGTTTTCTATGAGCTAATCTACATGTGGCCTTAACCTCCCCACCCCATAAAGAAAAATCCTTACAGGTATAAAAAAAGCGTACCCCTGACCACTGAACCATGAAAATAAAATCAAGATTAGATGAACCAAAAGACAAAAAAATATGCAAAAAAATCTTTAATAACTTGATTACAGGTGTAATACCACCAAATCATAGCACTCACATCCGGTTGCATACGAAAAAGGGTAGAAAAAAAAATTCCCTTGAATTTGACAGTTGTAGGAAATTAATCCTACATTTCATTGCTGTAAAAATTTTCTGAGTCATAAACATATATCTTGGGTGTTTCAAAGCACCATTATTTTTTTATTTGGTGTTTCTATAGAATATTTTGGAAACTTGAGGTTACATGGTTACTAAAGCTTGTACACAGGGAAAAAAAACGGGTGACAATTTGATTGGTTAACTTCCAGTGATGGTTATTTTCTTATATGCAATGAAATGTTATGTGAAATTTTGTCTATAGTACTGGACAGCATACAACTTTACTCATGCCAAGTATTTCTTTATTTGAAACAAATATAAATTCTGCACAATTTTTTGAAAAGTGCAAATTTAACAAAGACTAAAAAGGGAAAAACAATGGTGGTATTACACCTACAGCCAAAAACATACAAAAAGTTAAAATAGTCATTAAAGGGCAATCACTCTTGGAGTCAACTGAAGACTTCAGCCATATTGACTTATTTGTAGAACTTGTGATCTTGCTGATCGATCTTACTGTAAAATTTTTATGGTGGGTTCTTGTTGCTGAGTCTTTAGTTTTCTATGTTGTGTTTTGTAGACTGGTTTGTCTTTGCATAGTTTTTTTCTTTTTTTGCCAAGGTAAAAATGTGCCAAAAATAAAATTACAATTGTTTGATGTCGCCTACCTACCCACCTAGAAAGCAGCCTATACGAAAAAAAATTTATGACACAAATCAGTTCAAATTTTTTTTAAAGTTTTTTTCATGCTCATGTGTTGTTTTATTGTCTTCAACATGAAACTTATGGTGTTGGCCAAATAAAAAAAAATATCCCTACCTTCCTACCCAACACTAAAAGGCATGGGTAGGCAACATCAAACAAAGAATTTGTTAAGGGTAGCTTTGTCAGTTTGTCTTCCACTTATGAGTTTGAATATCCCTTTGGTATCTTTTGCCTTTCTTATGTAATTGTTTTCACGATAATAGCCATAATGAAAAATTCTTGCTGAAAATTGTCATTTAAGGGCAATAACTCTTATAAATAGTTGTCTGACAATAATGGTCCAAATAGACAGGATGTAGATTTTGATATTTCTGAATCTATCACAGTTTTAAAGATATTAATGATTACTTGAATTTTCCCCCCTATGTCAGTCAGGGGTACTACTTGTACAAGTAATTTTTATTTACTTGAAGAAGTAAATATTAATATACTTATAGAAGTAAATTTGTAGGATACTTATACAAGTGTATTTTATTTACTTGTATAGGTAAATTATGTTTTGGCTTAGTTATGTCCCTTAGACATTCAGATTTTTTTACTTATACAAGTAAAATAAAATGCTCCGCAGGGCGCAGCTTGATATGACCGCAGAGGTCGAACCATGAATAGTTGGGGCAAGTATGGACACAACATTCAAGCTTGATACAGCTCTGAATTTGGATTGTGATTAAATATTTGACACAGCATATGTTACTGACACAGAATGAATGTGGTCTAAGAACTTAAAAATTTTAAATTGGACATTCACCTATTATGGTCCAATATCCAAAATTTAAATACATGGTTAGATTCAGCATATCAAAGAACCCCCAAGAATTCAATTTTTGATGAAATCAAACAAAGTTTAATTTTGGACCCTTTTGACCTCAATGTGGACAAAGTTGATAACGGGGCCCAAAAATCAAAAATCTAAATACATGGTTAGATTCAGCATATCAAAGAACCCCATATATTCAATTTTTGTTGAAATCAAACAAAGTTTAATTTTGGACCCCCATTTGGACCAACTTGAAAACTGGGCCCATAATCAAAAATCTAAATACATGTTTAGATTCAGCATATCAAAGAACCCTAAGAATTCAATTTTTGTTAAAATCAAACTAAGTTAAATATGGACCCTTTGGACCTTAATGTAGACCAATTTGAAAATGGAACCAAAAATTAAGAATCTAAATACACGGTTAGATTCGGCATATCAAAGAACCCCAATAATTCAATTTTTGATGAAATCAAACAAAGTTTAATTTTGGACCCTTTGGACATTAATGTGGACCAATTTAAAAATGGGGCCCAAAATCCAAAAACTTCATACACGGTTGGATTCAGCATATTAAAGAACCCCAAGAATTCAAGAATAAAACCCCATTGAAATTGGTCAAGAAATAAGCAATTTATACGAAGTATCTTCTTTTGCACAATACTGTGCAATTGAATATTTCTTGCTATTGCGCAATACTGTACAATTGGCAATTTCTTGCTATTGCGCAATATTGTGCTATTGGATATTTCTTGCTATTGCGCAATACTGTGCAATTGAAGATTTCTTGCTATTGCGCAATACTGTGCAATGGAAGATTTCTTGCTATTGTGCAATACTGTGCAATTGAAAATTTCTTGCTATTGCACAATACTTATTATATAATAATTTACACATCCTGTTTGGTGTGTATCTCCTACCATATCATTATTATTTGCTTTTAAATATAAATCAGAAATAACCAACTTAAAATGGAAAATTTTAATAGAAAAAAAAAAGGAAAAAAAGGAAAAAAAAATCCTCCCCCCCCCAAATTTTTTGAACCCCCTTATGATTCATCGCCCACAAACTCAATCCCAGCCTTCCCTTTGTGGTATGGTACCTTGAAGTACAATTTCAGAGAGATCCATACACTTACACACAAGTTATTGTCCTGAAACTAGAAAAATGCTTGTTTTTTTTCCCCTATTTGGCCCCTTATTCCTAAAATTTTGAGGCAATTACCCCTAAAATCAATCCCAGCCTTCCCTTTGTGGTATGGTACCTTGCAGTACAATTTCAGAGAGATCCATACACTTGAACACAAGTAATTGTCTGGAAACTAGAAAAATGCTATTTTTGGCCCCTTTTTCCTAAACGTTTTGAGCAATTACCCCCAAACTCAATTCCAGCTTTCCCTTTGTGATATGGAACCTTGTAGTTCAATTTCAGAAAGATCCATACACTTACACACAAGTTATTATCATGAAACTAGAAAAATGCTTGTTTTTTGCCCCTTTTTTGGCCCCTAATTCCTAAAATGATGAGGCAATTACCCCCAAAATCAATCCCAGCATTCCCTTTGTGATATGGAACCTTGTGGTACAATGTCAGAGAGATCCATACACTAACACACAAGTTATGTCTGGAAGTTACAAAAATGCTTATTTTTGGCCCCTAATTCCTTAACTGTTGGTACCATAACCCCCAAAATCAATCCCAACCTTCCTTTTGTGGTATTGAACCTTATGGTAAAATTTCATGGAGATCCATTCACTTAAACTAAAGTTAGATTGCGAAAACCAATGTATCTTCGGACGACGACGACGCAA